TGCAAATTAAAGCCTTTCCTTTTTATAGCATACATACGAATTATATTTTTTTCAGTGATATTAGCCGAATATACATATAACTTCGGACTACCAAGAACCAAATATAAAATAAATTTGAACATTGACGATTACGATTTAGAATTAATCAAAATAATTATCACAAGTTGTTTGCATAGCGATATTCGCCGTAATTAAAAATCAAATGACACTTTAATAGAGAAGGTCTATGTATTCATTCCTATAAAGATCTTTTAAGGACCTCCTAAGTTTATTACCCATTTAAAAATTAAGTACCCGGAGGACCGAGCTTTGCTCGGTTTGTTTTTTTTTTGGTAAATCGTGTATTTTGGAAATTACATTTTGATACAAATTACTGAGTAATGAAATATGCATAATATTTTTTCGATCTTACCGACGTAATAATATGAAAATATGAACTGATGTTTTTCACAAAAGAAAGAACTTTAAAAAAAAAGGGAAAAAAGAACAAAATAACAAAATTATCAAATCGACAAAAACTAAAACGTAAAGAAAGCAATGATATGGAAACGAAAAAAAAAGTAAAAAAATAAGTATGAACGTGACATGAACCACGGCCTTCGGTTTCGGGGCCGCCCGATTAACGACCGAGCTATTATAACATTTTTTTTTCGGTGAAATTTACCGTCATATTCGAATGATATTTTTTATTCCCTGAAAACAGGGATAAAAGGACATTTTCTAAAAATGAAACCTAGCTAAATCGATTTTTCGCCCCCGAATCTACGCACATATTAAATTACATGAAAATCGCTGGAGCCGTTTCGAGATTCCCAAGAATTGCTCACCTATAAAAGGTTTTAAAGGTGTAAGTTAATACGTACACAATTACTCGTACATACACGAATATTCGCTACATCATGCAATATATTAAGTACTGAAATCAAATGTATCTATGTACTTGTTTATATACATATGTAAAACTTGTTTTATTAAATCAAAACTATCAACATTTGTAAACAGTTGTGATACAACTGTTGATTCCCTCTACACGAGCAAACTTCGTTCAAATTCCGGTGCTGGAACCAATGAAACAAGAATGATGATTTCAGTTTAAGTGCTGATTGATCACTCATCTGTGACGGAAAAATCGTGAAGAAACCTACATATTTACGAGCACATAATATTAAAATAAATATTTAGAAGGTATGTGAAATCTGCCGATTCGCGGTGTATCATCGCTTATACTATGCTCTAATACTATCAGTACAGAGCAGGCCTTTGCCCAGCCTCCGAGTGCGTGAATTAAATTTCACCGCTTCTCGTCCGCTGTAAGATTTGTATTCCGTATGCATGCAATATGCAAACCATCAACTCAGCCAATCAATATATAATAAAAAAAAAACTAGCTAAGAAATAAAACTCATTGATTAACCATTTACACATACGAAGGGATTGTGTGAGCGTCTATAGGTGGAGGAGAATCCAGCGATTTTCATGAAATTTAGTATGTGCGTAGATTCGGGGGCGAAAAATCGATCTAGCTAGATTTCATTTTTAGAAAATGTCCTTTTATCCCTGTTTTCAGAGAATGAAAAATAATCATTCGAATATGACGGTAAATTTCACCGAAAAAAAAATGTTATAATAGCTCGGTCGTTAATCGGGCGGCCCCGAAACAGAAGGCCGTGGTTCATGTCACGTTCATACTTATTTTTTTACTTTTTTTTCGATTCCATATCATTGCTTTCTTTACGTTTTAGTTTTTGTTCATCCAGATAATTTTGTTCTTTTTTCCCTTTTTTTTTAAAGTTCTTTCTTTTGTGAAAAACACCAGTTCATATTTTCTTATTATTACGTCGGTAAGATAGAAAAATATTATGCATGTTTCATTACTCAGTTATTTGTATCTAAATGTAATTTCCTAAATACACGATTTACCAAATAAAAAAACAAACCGAGCCAAGCTCGGTCCTCCAGGTACTATATATAATCCGAATCTCGGAAACGGCCCAGCGATTTTCATGAAATTTAGTATGTGCGTACATTGGGGGGTGAAAAATCGATCTATCTAGGTTTCATTTTTAGAAAATGTCCTTTTATCTCTGTTTTCAGGGACTGAAAAATATCATTCGAATATGACAGTAAATTTCGCCGAAAAAAAAATGTTATACTAGGTCGGTATAATAGGCCGCGGTTCGTGTCACGATCATTTACACACTTATTTTTTTACTGTTTTTTCTATACCAGATCATTGCTTTCTTTATTTTTTTTAATTTCCAAAATACACGATTTACCAAAAAAAACCTCCAGGTACTTTTTAGTAAGTTTCTAAGTTTTTAGTTAGTTGCTTAATGTATAGAAGCTACCTGAAAATTCAAATAAATAAATAATTGCATATCGAGAACGTTAAATCTGTTGTTTACATCTTAATTTATGTCAATATCTCAAAAATTGAAACGCTTATATATATTTTGTGTATGTTGCAGAAGGAGTTGGTGTCTTTGAGTGCAAGTCTCAATGTTTTGAAAACGTGTTTACAATTTAATACAATAAGACGGAGTTACTGTACCATAAGTTCTACACAATTATCTAATTAAGCGCCAACAATTCCAAGAACATTCACTATGTATGTATATATATATTATTCCAGTCTCATTTCGTCTATTGAAATATAATGTCTGTTTTATCCTATAGTAATAGCAGAGCCCCGCATCTAAATCGCGAGACATGCAGCTTACAAACCTTCGTTGGAATGTTTAAATTAAAAAGGTTCACCGTTGAACAGAGGCATTCCTCTTGCCTGCCCATTGCGATTTCAGCTGGCAAATCCAGAGAACTAATTTTGATATAACTTTAAAAAGTTAAATAATTTATTACCTGCGGTTTCTGAGTAGCATACAGATTCTCTGGCCTATCAAATTATGCGGCTGATATTGTTTGAGTTTTGAGAGACTTAACAAAGTTAAATTGCTCACAAGTTGAGCCAAGCAAGATAAAAGTATATATGTACTTAGTTGTCGTTGTCGAGATTTTTGCACTGTGAGGATATCAGATGGCTAGTGTGTGTTACACAGAAGATGCTGGTTTCAATAGTGGTAATGACAAAAAAATTTACAATTTATTCATTGATTTATGTTTGAGTGGTAAGTAATATTTCATCAATCAAGCACCCCTGTTCACGCGTGAACTGGAACGTCATCGGGCGGGTACTGGAAGTAACGATACCCATTTTTTTTCTACATCAACCTACCGGGTAAGAAACGCACTACTGTCGGTCTAATTATTTATATGTCATAAAACATAACTTATACATATTATTTTTTTTAATGTGCAAAAGTGGCAAACGAGCTGGCGGTTTACCTGATGTTAAGTTTATTACTGCCCGCCCATAGACATTTGCCACACCCGTAGGGTTTCAAATGCGTTGTCACCTTTAAATAAAGTGGGCCCCGGCTACCTCACTCACCACGCAGAAGTGTAACACATCTATTTTATGCCGGTCTTCTGTGAGGTCGTGGTAATTATCCGGACGGATCTACCCATTCGTGCAACAGTGAAACTGTTGCGTGGCCCTACCACAATTATATTTATGGTTGATTATGCAGTCCACTACGCCTTTTATTCTGAGCTGAGGATCCTAAGCCTGCAATGCAATTTACACTGTTATAAAAGTTGCGGAAACTGTAACAGGAAGGGATGTCAAAATGCCTGATGACCTGATGATTTGTCACCCCGCGGGCAGCGATTTTTTGACATTCGTTTAGCGCTAGGCCAGATAAGTTTTCTACACTCGCTATTCTTGCTAAGAGATGACACATAGATGACAGTTCAAAAATAAAAATTTTGAATTAAAACTGTAACTGAATGCTTTGGACGACGACCATCTTTTTTTATCTTTTTTAAAAACATTGCCCTTACTCTATGATAACATTATCCTGTGTTGTAAGGACATTTTAAAAACATAAATTTCTCGGGAATAAATATCCAGATGCGAAAAAACTATCTGTGGGTCACACAAATAGTTGTCCCGTGTGGGAATCGAACCCACAGCCGAAGCCAATACCTTGGCAACTGCTTCACGGAGTCATCATATTTAGGCTGTATATACATACAGCTTAAATACATACGTATGTATATATATAAACTATACATTTAAAAGGAAAAAATGTTAATAATTCATTATTAATTAGTATATTAATAATAAATAAAATTTACACGCACTTATTTTATTATCATTATTATTTTATGTGAAAATTTATCAAGGTGGTTGTCCTGATGTTAAATGAATACTGCGGCCTATAGACATTTACAACACCCGATGGCTTGTTGATGCGTTGACAACTTTGAAAAAAGTGGTTAACCCACACACCACCTCACCATATGAAACGCAACGAAAAGTTTAATACTTCCACTTCACGCCAGTCTTGAGTCTGAGGCCTTGTGGTACTTCCCCGGACGAGCCTACCCATTCGTGCAACAAGAGAAGCTGTTGCGCGGCTCCACCACAGTAAATTACAGAAAACTTAACATCAGTCGAATGTATTATGTATTTAAGAATCTTATAATTTTGTAAAATATGTTGTAATTATATTGTTAAAAATATACAATAAAATCAAGATTGAAAGGTACAATATTAAATGATATTGATTTATAAAAAAGTAGATTAAACATAACATTTATATAAAATTTTAATCTGTCATCTCACAAGTGTTAAAATGTCAAAATACTGTGATGGATCTGATTGTTTGTTTGTAAGAAAAACTCGTTAGAAAGTATTATTGCTTCGCTAATGTCAAATATAGAAATACTTCTATAGATAATAATATATCCTTTTACAATTAGTTAAAAAATTTTTATAATAGGGTTAGGACGTAATTCACCTTTTAAAGTTGTTAGCCTTGAAGTAGATGTCATATAAATGAGTGTTGTTTATTTTACATTTTAGTGATATTAGTCGTAATTTCACGATTATATGGCTCTGATGTTTGACATATGTTTTGTGACCATTTGGAAGAGGCATGTTTTATCCACGTATTGGGAAGAACAGTGCAAGTTTAGCAGTAGTCGTCTGGTTCTACCTAGCCGTGTGGTGCGCCGCGTCTACAGCTCCTTGCGACAAGACACGCAGGGTGTTCACTGAGCCTAGTGGTGTCATCACCGACGGTCCTACAAACTCTAATTACACGCAAGTCAGTTTACCATTGTAAAACTTATATTTAAATTATGGAAGTAAGCAAGAAAATTACTAAACTTTTTCCTTATAGGATTCACATTGCGAATGGCTTATTAAAGCGGCAAACAAGAGTCAATATATAACTCTAAGTTTTATTCGTATGGGAACAGAATGTTCATATGACTATGTTTTTGTGTATGATGGCGATTCTTTTGATGCTCCTTTATTAGGAAGCTTTAGTGGCAAAACAGAGCCTCAAAATGTTACCGCATCTAGTGGATATGTAAGTATATATATTATTTTCCTTCCATTTTCCTTGTTTTTGTTTTCAATGATTACTTCCTATCTATTTCTTTGTTGCAGATGCTTGTACTCTTGTATAGTGACACAAATTATGTCTTAGATGGATTCCGTGCAACATATGCTATACATAATTGCCCAAATAATTGTACAGGACGAGGTCTTTGTGTATCGCACAAATGTTTTTGTGTGGTAGGTGTTTGGGGTGGCCCAGACTGTAGTGTAGAATTATGCCCTAATGGATGTTCAGGCAATGGTCAATGTAAGGGAGATGGATGCCAATGTAAAAAAGGGTATGTATTCTTAAATACATATTTTAGTGGCTTTTCAAACATGTTTACAATTGCTCAGCACCTATTGTGATAAGTTATGATGATGCTTCTTAGTGTAAAGGACATCTTATGAATTATTTTTTTATGTTTGTTTGCCATTTTCTTCATTGATTTAGTCTTATAGTTTTGAAAAATATATAATTTATGCCAGATATTTTTCAGAGCCCTTTCAATAAGTGCTACATTTAGTAGAGTAATACATTGCTTATAAAAAATTTATACCATGTTTAAAATCACTATGAATTATTTATATTTTCAAATTTTTTTTTTTCATAGAAAAACATTGCCCTTACCTTAGGATACAACAGAGGATAATTATCCTGTATTGTAAGGATTTCTTACAAACATAAATTTCACATGGACAAATACTCAGATGCGAAACAATTATTTGTGGGCCACACAAATAGTTGTCCCGTGTGGGAATCGAACCCACTACACCCAACGTCAAAGCCAATACCCTGGCAACCGTGCCGCTGAGTCCTCAAATTATAATAATTGCTTAAAATCTAATATTTGTTTTTAGTTATTCTGGTGAGTCATGTTCCCTAAAAAAGAATGATAAAGAAGGCAATAGTTGGCATTGGCTTTCACACACTGAAAGTGGTATGACTAAGAGAGCTGCGCACACAGCTGTTTATGTAAACCATACTGACTCTCTATATGTTTTTGGAGGATATGATCTGAATAGAGTTTTAGGCTTATTGGAAATATATAAGTAAGTAATCAGTAGTAATACAAGTAGAAACACCTTTTTTGAATTTTTGAATTTTATATTCAGCTTCTGCTTTAAAAATATGAAAAAAAATATTTTTATCCCAGATTTTCTACTAGTCAATGGTATAATGAAGATGGAAGAGTTTTAAAGCGTTACCCAACCACAGAAGAAAATGATAAATCTTTATTGACCTTATTTACCAAGGTAGGTAAATGATACTTTATTAATTGCCTTTTTACAGTCTAACACAGTACACAGCAATATTTTTGTTGTCTTTTACAGGGTAATGTTGATGGTAGCTGGCAAATAGGAAATAGAAGTTCATTATTTAATTTACTTTTAGCATCTTTTTCTCACCATGACAAGACTACACTACCTCTCATGTATACACCAACACCATACTCAGAAAGCTATCTTCAATTTACTGATAGACCTGAGTTTCTTTCACCTGCATTTAAGTTGAATACTTCTAAACCAGAACCACGGTATGGCCACTCTGCTTGTGCCTTTGGGACTGGATTTGTTCTTTATGGTGGGAAGTTATCTGACGGAAGTTTGTCTTCAGAGCTTTGGTTTTATGATGCAATTTATAATTCATGGATTTTAAGAGCGATCAATTCAACATTCACTCCACCTGGTCTGACTCGACATACTTTGACTGCTGTTAATGATGAATTATATTTATTTGGAGGAAGCACAGTTGATGGAGAGTTTTCCTCAAGGTTAAAATTTTTATACCATGTCAATTTTAGATATTATGTTGTTTTTTTTAAACACTAATAATAAGATATTATTTTAGTTTGTATAAGATCAAATTAGGTGAAGCTAGCACTGAATCATGGGAAAAAGTTCAAGTACGAGGTGGAAAAGAGCTAGATGTACGTGTTGTAGCTCATACTGCTGTATACCATTCTCATTCAAACTCAATTTTGGTGTATGGAGGAGTAGTTGCTAGTGTTGCAAGGTAATAAATTTCTTAAGAATGAGAATTAATTGGTAAAAACTGTAAAGTCATATAACAGCTATATTAATATTTATTATATTACATTATAGATTTTCGAAACTATCCGATCGAATGTTTGCTTTTGATTTGGACTATAGACACTGGAGTGAAATACATTATCCTAGAGCGCATCTACGTGATACATATGTTCCTAGGGAAAGGGCTTTTCATACATCCACTATAATTGGTATGTAACATTTTCCTTATTTTAAAATTAATCTTTTTGGTAAAATTAAACAAAGTATATAATTTTATTTTATAATTTTAGGAAACTATTTAGTGGTATTTGGGGGCTATTCACATCGTCATAATCGTGAAGAAATTTGTTATGATGGCCAAATGTATCTTTACCATCTTGGTTGTCATTCATGGATCCCTTTAGAAGTCTTGGGGAGAACCCGTAAACCATATCCAAAAAAACAAGGAGTGTTTGCTCATTCTGCCTCCTTAAAGCCACCATCTACTTTACTGATAGTTGGTGGATATCATGGAAATGTCAATGGTGAGATTATTTTTATTTAATGCAAATTTAATGTGATTCAAGTGAAATTCAATTCTATGTGTTTCTATTTATTTTTCAGGAGACCTTTTAGCTTACGTAGTTCCTAGTTGGCACGCAGGGATTACAAATAAAGATCCAGAGTCGGCATGTCCGAAACACCGTACTCAACCGGAGTGTCTAGCAGACCCTGAATGTGGATGGTGTTCAGCTGACGATGTATGTTCTCAATTATATAATGATATTTTGCTAAGGAAAAGGCATGTCCAGAAGTAAATATTGCTTACTTTGTGCTAATATGAAATAATTATAGTTAAAGCACTTGGTGAAAAGAATTTTCTGGCCTTATAGGCAGGAAAATTAATCTGGCCGTCATGATATTGACCTTACTATTCAATTTGTAGATCTGTTATGGTAGAACCATTGGTTCTAATTGCACAACAAATCTACAATCTATCCGATGTGGTGGAATTTGCCCAGCACTTGGTGACTGTCATTCCTGCCTCATCCACGGCCCTTCATTGGAGAAATTAAATATTACTCGCAAGCCACTGCCTTCTGTAAGCACAAAATTAGGCTTGTACCAGTGCAGTTGGTGTGTGCAAAATGCACGATGTCATCACAAGGATGGTATGTTTATTTAAATTGACTATGCTATTGTGATATCACTTGTTTTATGTGTTGCTTGCTTTATATCAGTTGATATCTGTGCAATCAATACTTGTTTTGAATGATCATGACTCATGTTTAATAACTGTATCTCCATAAAGTTTAAAGACCATATATTTAAGACCATAAATAAAAAATAAAATCTTTCTATTTAGTAAAAATTAAGAACACTGAAGCTTAACAATAAATTAATGAACGCTTATGTTTCGAAAATATTACCTATTAAAAAAAATATTAACTATTATAACAATATGAACTAACAAAATGAAAATATTAACTAATATAAACTATTGTTTACATGTAGTTTTGACAATTCTAAGTATGCAATATTTTGATTTAAGATAATTACGGCGTTTGCGGAGAAGACACACCATCGGAAAATCCTGGGTGGTGGGGAACCACTGGTACTGAGGTAACAATGCCTGAACAATGCAAAATTTTAGACAAACGACCAGGTCTGACTTTCTTAAGATATCAGCAGCCGGCGGATTGGAACCACCCTGATGGAGTTTCAGTGGTGAACGCTACTACTGTAGATTGGAGCGCTGGAGGCGGGAGTAATAATATTTTCCTCGGATCAAGCGAAGCAAGGTTGCGCGGCTGGCTCCATATACCACAGTATTGGAACGGGACGGGGGAGACATTACATGTTTGCGCGGGTCATTCAAATATCACACTCAATCTAGGAGAAAATCCAGTTTCAGTTGCTAACTTGACGGCATTACCATCCGCTTGCTCTCTCGTCGATTGGCCGGCTCTCTTCCCTGGCAGGCTCTCTGTGGATATGCACGCCAATGACTCATTACACACAGGATTGTATCCGTCGCATCACCATTCTAAAATGGAACTCCTTCACAATAAATCACAAGAAAACGCCAAAGTGAGTTGGACTATTCATATTCGCATGCCCAAATTTTTTTGCGTGTAATGCGTGAAAACTTAATGTATGAAACTCATCTTTTTCAGGTATTCACGTTTGAATTTCTTGAACCCTACTCTAATGGACAGTGCTCTAGCTACGATAACTGCCTGCTGTGCCTATCAGACGCTGCGTGCGGCTGGTGCGAAGTGACAAACCGTTGTGAAGCTAGGAACATTGACGAGAAAACCGCCTGCTCCGCTGACGGCGAGTGGAGATACCTGACTCTGCAACCTGCAGCGTGCCCGAACTGCTCCAATTATATTAGCTGTGAGCGTTGCGTAACAGCCAACTACTGCGAATGGTGGGCTGACGAGGCGCGGTGCTCCCGTCGGGGAAGAGCGAGCGGCGCCATCGTAGACACCAGCGAGTGTCCGGCGCCCTGCCGCATGCGACTCGACTGCGAGCATTGCCTCGACGAGCGCGGACGCTGCGTGTGGTGTGAAGCGACCCGGCAGTGCTTCAGTTTCAGCGTCTACACCAGCGAGTACCAATTTGGCCTGTGTCGCGAGTGGCTCGACAGGGCGTCAACTCCCTCACCCGACGAAATGGCCCGCAAATCGGGCCAGTGTAAATCTTGCCAGGCTCACACGCAATGTTCGACCTGTCTACGCAGCATGGGGTGCGGTTGGTGCCACTCCTTCGAAAACCCAATAAACGGCATTTGCACAGAAGGCGACTTCACTCGATCCCACGTAGACTGCGCTTCGCTCTTAAACGTCACGTCCAACGACGCGGGCTGGGCATACGCGCAGTGTCCCGATGTCGACGAGTGCGGGCTCGGCCTCCACGACTGCCACGAGCACGCAATCTGCAATAACACACACGGCTCGTACACGTGCAAATGCAAGCAGGGCTACATTGGAGACGGCAAGAAAAGTTGCATGCGAACTTGTTACAATAATTGCATCCACGGCTACTGTGTCGGGGCACCGCAGTACAAATGTAATTGCGACTTGGGTTGGACCGGCGCCGATTGTTCCATTAACTGCGGATGCCACAATCATTCAACTTGCAAGACTGGGGTGGGAAGGTGCGATGAATGCCAGGATTGGACGGAGGGTGAATTCTGCGAGTCGTGTAAGCCGGGCAGCCACGGCAATGCGACGACGGGACAAGGTTGTCGCAGATGCGACTGCAACGACCACGGCGACGAGACACGGGGTGTCTGTGACTCCGCGACAGGTGAATGTATATGTAAGGATAATACTGAAGGTCAAAACTGCGAACGGTGCAAACCCAAGTTTTATGGCGATCCACGCCACGGTGGCCGATGCTACTATCAGTGCGAGCCTAGGGGTATGTTAAACGCAACCCAAACCGAAGGAATCGGCTCCTTCTTGACCGATCCCGATATTAACACATTAGGACCATCGAAGGAGTGCCTGTGGATTATCTCGGCTAGCAACATAAAAGATGCCACCATACAGTTCAGTATAAACTCATCACATTTTGACGTGCCCTGCGATGAAAATGCTGTTTACGTGTACGACGGTCTTGGCGGAGTACCAGATCTGAGTAACAATCAACAGAGCCAGCTTTTGGGGGTATTTTGCAATGGCGCCTCGTCGGGGGTAGTGGAGGCGCGCAGTGGAAATTTGACCGTTCATTACAAACAAGGACAACCAGGGCAAGGTTTTGAAGGTGTATACAAAGTTCTGGCCTGTGAAGATTACTGTTCGTGGCCGAGGGTATGTAATAAACGGCACTGCGTGTGCCGAGAGGGTTATGGAGGGCCAAATTGCGATATAGAAATATGTCGAAACAACTGCAGCGTGGGAATTAAAGCCGGCATATGTGACACAAGCTACGGAAGGTGTCTTTGCAATGAAGGGTTTGGAGGAGATGACTGTTCAATAAAACTTGACAAGACTCAACTTGTTTTTACTGAACTATTCAATTCAGAATATCTTTCCGACGGACTTGATCACCTCAGAAAGACCTTGCCGAGATTTGGACACAGTTTAGTAGCTGATAGACGAGGCTTGTGGATGTTCGGCGGCTACTCTCTTTCACACGGGCCGCTAAATGATATACGATTCTTTGACACCAAAAATAATACCTGGATGCAAGTGACCGTAGAGGCAACACCCGACGCAAAAATGCCAGAGGGCCGATACTTCCATGCGGCTGAGATTTATCATTCAAAACAAAATATTTATATTTTCGGAGGTTTGAGTTTACAAGACAAAATCGGACAAAATAAAACCCTCGACGATTTTTGGCAATTCAGCTTGAAAGATCAAAGATGGAGTAATATTAAAAGCAAAGACGAAAGGCCACCCGCACTTGCTGGACACACTTTAACTCTACAAAAATATCAAGACTACGAAAGTCTAGTTCTCATTGGGGGTTTCTCCATGAAGGATGGATTCATGTTGGAGATGTGGGAATTCGACCTTGATAATGAAAAATGGATCAAATTGCACTACTCAGGATCGATGCCAGCTGGTATCATAGGCCACAGCACTGTATACCATGCTCCGTCTCAAAGCCTTTACGTTTTTGGTGGTATAATATATGTCTACAATGGCACGATGGTTTCTAATACATTATTCTCCTTTCATTATCCATCTAAAACGTGGAGCGAATTACCAAGTTTTTTAAATTTCAATAACGCCGTTGACAGTTTGCCCCTCGCGACATATTTACATTCGGCTGTGACCACAAACGACTACATGATCGTATTCGGCGGCAGAACTGACCCCGAAAATAGATCGAATGCTCTAATTGCCTATGTCTACAGCTGCAATCAATGGGTCAGACTGGTTAAAGGTGCGTCTGTTTTCGTAACTTCCATAGTAGGGTCTATTGGTATCGACGGTTGTTGTTTCATAGATTTTTTTTTGCAGGCGTGAGTATCGTCGATCATCCTCCGCCGCGTACCATAGCGCACGCAATGGCGATCGACGTGGAAGCGGAAAATGAAGGCTACATCTATATAATCGGCGGTTGGACGGGCAGCGCGAACTGCCAAGTCACACGCATATCGCTCCCCGAGGATTTGTGTTCTCTGTGGAGTTCGAACAAAATGGAATGCCGCAGCCACATGGGCTGCAGCTTCTGCAGCACCAGCAATTATACCAAGTGCTACTCTGTCGATAAGCCCGGTTGCGAGAGCAGCGACAGGGTGTCCACAAATTCAGGCGCCGCGTGCGATTCCGAACTTATCGCGCATCGCCCGTGCGAGAACTTTACCTCGTGCACGTCTTGTTTAGCTGCGTGGCCTTTGTACCCCGAAGAAAAGCCAGCTTGCCGGTGGTGCGAATCGTGCGCAGCAGCTGTTGGTTAGCATACGAGCCCTACTTGTCGTATTCTAATCAAACAGTTGCGATGAGTTACATCGATGGTTTTGCGTTTTAGGCGAATGCGTTCCAACCGCCGAGTCGTGCACCAGTATCAAGTGTAACGCAGGAACCACGTACATAAGCGACGTCGATCAATGCCCGGAACTTAGATGTCTGGCGTCGGATTGTGATAAATGCGTATCGAACCACTGCACTTGGACACGACATGCGAGCAGAATCGGTAACACAGACTTAATCATATAACATTAACGCCCGGTTTCTGTAACACTGATCTGCCAAAAGGATTGTTAAACTCTGTGAATTAATCAGAATGATTTTCAATCAACAATCCGTTTGGCAACTCAAATAACATTTGAAAAGCCATTTGACAGCTGATTAGTTGACTTCTACCATGATCAGTGTTTCGGAAGCCGGGCGTAAATGTTGCATCGCTTTACGATAAAGTAAACTTTATTAAATTGTTACAGGTCAAGAAACAAAAATAGCGGAAGACACCTCGGAGCTTTTCAACTGGACATGTGCGTTAATTGACGAACCCGGCCGTGCCAGCCTCAGGCCGAGGATCAAGGAGGAGTGTCCCAGCCGTTGTAACCAATTCACAGATTGCCAGTCTTGCCTTAGCTCGGACGGGGCCGAAGGCGGTTATTCCGAATGCCACTGGGCGTCGTATCTCGGTACTTGCATTTCACCGGTATACCAACCAGTGTACTGTGCGGGGGGCGTTTGCGGCCTAGTTCTGACCAAAGCCGATAAGAATAAATGCCCCGCGCCCTGCGATACCTTCGAGCAGTGCTCGGAGTGCTTGCGTCATTCGCATTGCGGCTGGTGCGCGATAGAGGGCGCTAACGGCGAAGGCGTATGCTCGGAAGGCTCGATCGATTCTCCCCTCGACTACTCGACTCGCACCACGTGTGCGGACGTTTATTATGGCGATCATCAGGCCAACAGTACCAACGAAACATTCTCATGGCACTACACCAGATGCCCACCCGAGAACGAGTGTGAGAATAATCATCATCAATGTAAAGCTGAGTCCGAGGTATGTTTGGGAAATTTTACTATTTAGTAATATTATTTAGTACTATTATTAAACAAAATAGATCAATTTCGTTGACAGATACGATTTCGCCTATTGAATAAAATATATGTTATTTCTTATGATCATGCCATCATAATAATCTATATATAAGATTTCCACCGATAATTCACTCATCACGATATCTCTGGAACCATAAGGGATAGAGACTTGGTATTGACTTGACATTTGGTAGGATTATTCCTTTCGCCGAGTAGAGGTCAGCCAAGAAAGGATTTTATGAAATTCCACAAACAAAGTTTTCCGGATCAGCTAGTTATTAAATATTGCTATGGCGTCAATTGCTAGAGCAGCGATTGCTTAGCGGTTTTAATTCAACTTTTGAGTTTGAATCCCAGTGTCATGCGATAAAGTTTCCGTTAACCTGTTACTTACGTAGAAAAATCTCAGTAGCTTATTGAAACGATACGCGTGACATTTACAACTTTCGTACAACGTGTCTCGCAGGTGTGCGTGGACCTGTCGGAGGGGTACGAGTGCGCGTGCGGGGAGGGCTACAAGCGCGCGGGGGCGGGGGGGGGCGGGCGGCGGTGCGGGGCCGGTGGCGGGGTGCGCCGCCGTGTGCACGCAGGGCTGCGTGCGCGGCGCGTGCGTGCAGCCGAACGTGTGCCGCTGCGACTTCGGCTACGTAGGCGCCAACTGCACCATACAGTGCCAGTGCAACGGCCACTCGCACTGCGAGGGCCCCGACAAGCTGGACAAGTGCATCGAGTGCCACAACAACACCATGGTGAGTGTTTTGCCGCGCTTCGCACGCGGAACAACGCATCACGCGCCCTTGCCTCCGTTGTGGACTGGTTGGCGCTAGTAAAAATTATGTGTATAAACTCTTTTGCACAAAAACTGGCTCGTAGCAAAAACAATTTTATTGTTACTATTATATTGTTTGATAACTTTAGGAATCAAGAGAGGAAAAAAGTCTTATCCTCAGAATTTATAATTAATAAAGGGGAATAGTTTTGGTCAATTATATCATAACATTTTGATTAACGTAATGCGTAATGAGAAATGTTAAAATTGAAAACCCTCGTACGGCTTTTTTTATAAATTAAAACGTATAAAAGTTTCGTATGGACCTCTTGACCTCTCTTGTAGAATTTTGAATTTCGAAGCTAAAACTGAAACACGGGCCGGGCGATTCGAATGATGGCAGCGACAAGTCTCGTACTGACCGTCTATAGACTAGTTTTCACTTTTGTCACTTATTCAAGGTATTATTGAGGTCCACATACGAAGATTTGCTATTTATCTACCCTTTATCTGCCCTAAATCGACCATCCCATGGTTCGTTTCATAGCTTTCTTCCAGGGCCAGGCTTTGTGTATACGGAACCAGTCTCATAATAACCACACTTAGGCTCTGACGTATGTAGCATGGGCTGCAAACTTCCTCAAGAAGCTTGAACTTGTTGGGTTTTATCAATTTACCTACCTATTTCAAGATTGCTGAACAGCAATACTAATACTTCGAAAATGTCAAGGAAATGAGATAATTCAATAAAAATTATCTAAAAGTTATTTAAAGATGATATTAACTTTCGGGAATTTGCGCCACAAAATGTGGTAAAAAATAGTTTTCCTTAAAAACCAGCTTATGTTAAAGATTTGAATTTGGAACGTACTTTTTTAAACACCAAGGAAATTTTAGAACCGGTCAGAAACACGTTCAAAAGATTAGGGCCTTGTTCTTTTTGTATTTTTTTCAAGAACGAACCGAATCAAATCATAACCTCCCGTTTTTTTTTAATGCAAATGAGATTATATAAATAGGCCGTCACTTGTTATTATAGATGAAATGAGCATCCCGTTGTACATTTATGGTACCTTTATTGAAGTTACTGTAATGTTTATACAACTGTCAACGTAATTTCCACTACAGGGTAACCAGTGCGAGATCTGCAAACCTAACTTCGTGGGGGATCCAACGGACAACGGGCAGTGCATACCGTGCTCCGTGTTCTGCCACGGCCACACCACGGTGTGCACGAACGACATGTCGGACGTGTCCGCGGCGCCCCGCGAGATCGTGGCCGATGGCGACGACTACTTCAGGGAGGGCGGCTCCAAGGCGCGCTGTGTGCGCTGCGCCAACAACACGGACGGCCCGCGATGCGAACGCTGCATCGAGGGCTACTTCAGGGGCACCGAGGACTTCCGGGACCCTTGTCGATCGTGCGTACACAAGCACACTTTAAAGACATTTTCTGCGTTCATTGCTGGGTCCTACGTGACCCTGGATATACGGAACGTAAGACTATTTACAGAAGTCGAGTGAAAAAATATGAATCTGTCCCGTTTGGGAAGAAACGGGTAGTCTTCGAAAGGTATTATATACATAGGTGCGTATGAGTTAGGGCAGTGAAACTAGTCGACTTAGAACAATGGCAAGCTTTGCGTAAATGCATTTGTTTCCTTTGCAAAACCGACTTCAAAAAATGAGGTAATTCTCAATTTGGTCGTATTTTTTTATATTTGTTACCACGGAACTCAAAAAATATCTTTGCATTGGATTCGGTTTAGCTCCCACGTGGTCCCATATAATTATCCATTCGCATTGTAACTTGAACGCATCAGGGAACTCGGGGTACTGCTACTCAGGTATTCGAAGACCTTTTGTTTTTTATTAATAAAGACGTACCTGTAAAGACCATGACTCAAATGGATCCGAATGAACTTTACATTTAATTCAAATTGACATCGACTCGCAGTTGCGAGTGCCACGGCCACGGGGACACGTGCGACCCGGTGACCGGCGAGAAGTGCAACTGCGGCAACAACACGGAGAGCGACCCCTCGTGCCAGGCGGCCGGCTCGAGCAAGAACAGCGCGCAGGAGTGCTGGCGCTACCAGTGCGTCAAGTGCCGCGACCTCTACATGGGCGACCCGCGCAACGGCCACCAGTGCTACAAGACCATCAACATCGAGAACAAGTTCTGCTTCGACGGCAGGTCCATCGGTCAGTTAGCCTCTGTTCACGATTACGTTTTGTTTCTATTTCCTGCTAACGACCTGCATCCGATCGCTAGCAAACTAGCATCCTTACAGGATCACCCGCCGGGCTAATCTGAAGACTTCCTGAAAATTTCATCTAAATCGGTCCAGATATTTTTGAGTACATACGGAACATAATATAAAATGTATCAAACTTTTTAATGGCTTCTAAGCGATTCACGTGATGGTGGCTGCGGACCGCCGCACTCACCACATTAGAGTGTTGCCGCACTCACCACATTAGGAAAGGGCCGTATACCTCACTTGGGGCACTAGTGTAAATACTTTTAACTTTTGTTTCTGAGGCCCTGTAATCCCCAGCCCAGTGGGCTATCCATGTAGCAGATGCTGTTATAATATAAGCATTTGTCGCTCTACAACACCGAAACCCCTGAACTTTGATTACGCTTCGAAGCTCAAACGATCCGTTTCGTCCGCAGACGAGTGCAAGATAAAGCCGCGCCCGCTCCGCGCCGGCCAGACGGTCTTCGTGGTGGTGAACCCGCGCTACATGAACGTCGACATAAGGGTGATCGTGGACGTGACGGAGGGCGCGGTCGACCTGTACATGAGCCCGAACGACAGCTCTTTCGTGGTGTCGGCCAACGGCACCGCCGGCTGGCACACCGTCGCGCTGGACCCCACCTACTACAAGCACGACCAGTTCCGCAAGATACCGTCCTTCGACGACCCGGTGCCCGACAGCCAGCACGTGACCTACCACTACGAGAAGACCGAGTACTCCCTGGCGGACGTCGAGGCGACCGAGCTGACCACCTTCGTCACCGTCGACAGGAGGAACGTGCTGCTGCGCGTGCGCAACTTGACCGATCGACTGGTGCTGACGCTACCCGAGAAAGTACACGATCTCTCGCACACCAAGTTCTACATGATAATCCGCGCGCGTCACGGGCGGAGGGCGACGGCGCGAGCTATGGTATAGTTTTCTTCCGCCAAGATCAGCTGCATATCGACCTGTTCGTGTTCTTCTCCGTGTTCTTCTCGTGCTTTTTCCTGTTCCTCGCTGCGTGTGTCGTCGCTTGGAAGGCGAAGCAGGCCGCCGACGTGCGGAGAGCTAGGAGGAGACATGTGGTTGAAGTATGTATAAAGATAAGACGATATAGACGGTAGTTTACAAGGCGATCAAACTTTAATGGGCATGTGCCAAAATTCTTTTTGTATTAGCTTGGTTAATGTCCAGATAAATGGTTAAATGATTATTAACATTTTATGGCATAATGCCATTATACGCAAAATAAAACTCGGTCATGTGCAGCTTTCAATCAGCTTCCATATTTAGTGTCTAGCCCAGTGATTCTGAACCTATTTTTTCTCGTGGCACATTTTAACGATTTCAATTTAAGAGTTTCAGTTTAAAAGTTGTTTATTTACCTAAAATAAGAATTACGTCTGTGTGACATGGGCCATCGCATTTTGCAACAAAAGCGACTCGTAGAAAAGCAACAGCGCCGTAGCAGGAATGAGCGTACTTCTATGGTTAGTCTCTGTCTCTCTCAGTACCGTCTCTATGGTTAGATGCTGCACATGGCGAAGCGCCCGTTCGCCGCGGTGCGCGTGGTGGTGAACGGGGGCGCTGCGGTGGGGTGCGCGGGGGAGGGGGCGAGGCGCCGGCGCGCCCTGGACCTGCGCCCCGTCGCCATCGAGCCCACGGCCGACGGGAGAGCGGCGGTCACCTCCGTACTCGTCAAGTAAGCACCTCTTATCTTAAAAATAGTAGTAATACACATCCCACCTTTAGAATTATAGTGACCTATTTAAAGATATCAATTTTTGGAAAACGCAAAATAACGATTTGTGCACATATGAACAAACGCAATGATCGGAGAAAGAGACCGAATTTATGTACTTAAATCGACCTTTGTTTTAGTAAGCGTCGAAAAAGTTAGTTGTTTCATGTCGTTTTCCTGAAATAATGTCAATATCATGGTTTTCTTAATTAAGTCCCCTTAATTCTAAAGGTGCGACAATGTCGACTAACTATGTCATAACTATGTTATTCAGTAGTTAGTTGAGAGTGACCTTGGGGACCACAGTAACTGATCTTTTTTGAAGACGGTGGCGCAGTATTGGCCGGGAGTCGTGGGGTCGATTCTCACACGAGACAACTATGTCTCCTACTAATTTGTCCATGTGAAATTTATGTATGTAAAACATCCTTATAACACAATGTTATTATGAAGAATATTGTTATCCTACATTAAGGGGAAATGTTTACAAAGGGAAGATTACAATAGATCTTTTTGTAAGTAATAAGTTATTAATTACCACCTATTTACAAAATAAACACACACCGTATCAAAAATGTTGGTGCTATATTAATTTTATACATTTTTCCATAATGATCATAAAATAAATGAATATTTAAAATAACGCCGTGACCGTATCGTTAGGTTGCCGGGCGGGGCTCGCGCGCCCGTCAGGATGGCGTTGGCTTCGGCCCTAGTTCTCGTGTCTCGCGCGCCCCAGCAGCGCCCACGCGCCCGCCGCCCGCTCTCCTAGCTTAATACCCCCATAGGCAGCACCACAATCATCCATGCTCAACTATTCTGCATGAAAACAGACTCTCCTCTAAAGTTTTAAAGGTGATATTATATTACAGCTAATGTGTAGGTCTTTAATTTCAAGCGAGTTAAAATTGAAATATGCTATCATATTGTAAGTGTATCAACATTTCAATAATATTTCTATCGATCTTTTTAAGTAATATATAAATATACATACTTTATACAATTTTATTTAGATTTATTAAGCACAAACATTTATATCTGATTTTCTGTCACTTGACTCATGAAAAGCTCGGAAGCGGTGTATATAATTAGTTTAACATATTATTTTACTCTAATTCTATTTTAGATATGTATAAACTAATAAACGACTTCTTGCCTTTGGGGTAGGTTTCACATAAATATTAAGACAGTTATATTTTCATCCCAAAGACACAACATTTTAACCAGATTATTAAAAGGAATACTTTTTATTTGAACAGTTGCCTAAATTAACTGACAAATGTTTATTTAATCCATTAAAATAAATAAAAATCTCGAAAATCGAAAGACTCGGAGACAAATAATGACCGATGTGTGACTCCCATATATTTAATGAAATATAGTAGTAATATTTCAAAGTTAATTGCTATTAAATGAATATGATATTTTTGCACAAATACAATTTTATTTAAGAATTTGTCGAATGGCTTTTGGTGCAATATTTTACTGATATGAAATAGATTTAAATTTGTAACTTATAAGTTACAGTATCTACGAATAACATTATAAAAACAAAAATGTTTTATGAAGCCTCAATCTTTTATGTTCATTTTAATGTATTGTAGATATTAGATGTTGTTAATTATATAAGGCCAAAGCAGTTTATTTTAAAAATGAAAATTATTCTTTGCAAACAATGTTGACGTGTTTTAATAAGGTTTTGTAACCTAGAATTAACTATGCCATATTGTTTTGAATATGAAAAGCCAAAGGAATCAAAATTGAGCGTCGACATGCGCGGGTTGTGAATAGCCAATAGTCGCTGAAGCTGTTGTGTTATTTATTTCAAAATTTTATTATGTAATGTTGAAATAGTGATTAAATTACTATGGTTTGTTATTTATATAAATTTTTTATTTACATATAACATGATTTTTTCATAATTATCTCTTTATATTTGTGAAAATGTAATGTGAACAGATTTATAATTTCTCAATGAATCTCCTTATTTGACTGTCTATTTGTATTATAATAATTTTTAGTTTTTATATTGTTGCAGTATGCAACTTCTTTGACAGCTATTTTTTATAGTTTTGCATTAAAATGTAACAATAAATAATACCTATGTTCATATAGTAAACTAATTAACTGTTTTTCTATTTAATGTTAAAAGCTGATTTAATTAGTTAACTTGGTTAAATATATCTTTCCATTTATTGTAGTAAGAATGTAATTCAAAGAAAGGCTTTCTAGGAAACTTTCTAAGAAATCATACTATGTCCATATGTTTTATAGAAAACATTCTGAGTTTTATATTTACTAGTTAAAATTATTGAAAAGGCTGTGTAATCATGCTGCAAATTTATGTTGTTAAACCAGTGACTAATGATAAAGCTCCAGTTATTCTTTTCAGTTTCTATTCAGTCTTTATGTTGATGGAAATTAGCTAGCTAATATAAGTAACTCTGTCCATAGTATAATAGATATATATTGTTTATGATAGCAAATTTTACTTTAATATTGATTTTGAAAGCAATTCGATTTTAATTAGTCATTATGATCTTGCTAAAAAATATTATTTGTATGTTTCATGTACATTTTTTAAAGTAAAACAAAAGTTATAACATGTTCACAACTCGCTTTTTCATTTTAATTTTATTATGAAATAACTTCGAAAAAAGAGGTAAAAACAATGATAAGAAATCGCAATTATAACTAATATCTATGACACTGCTGAAAGTATTCATCTCTAAGGGATTGTTTTATCTTCTAAATATTTTTATCTTTGCAAGCCAAATTCCTGCACATAAAAATTTGCAACAAAAGTATTCCTAATTGCTCATTAGAAAATAAACAGTATTGCATAGTTCAATTGTCTTTTATGCATGTATATGGGGTTGTTTATTAAAGTAGGTAGCTTATAAGTTTTAATAACCTGTAATTTGTAAGCGAGTACTGATATGAATAAACAAGTTAATGTGTGATCAAATATTAATAATACTTGAAAATTATTATAAAATAAAAGTCCATGATACATTCCATTTGTATATCTTTGTACATATAAAATAGTATATATAGAGCATCAGAGAGCTTTAACAATGTTATTCTAGGGAAAATCAATTGCTCATTATTTCTTGTGAAACCCTTCAATTATGTATATTTAAGAATGCATTAATTTATTATCTTATAGAAAATTTTAAATTTCCTTGATTTTATTAGCTTATTTAATTGGCATCTACTTTTTAATTAATGTTCCTATGATCAATATAATGAATTGCAGGTGTGTCAAATTTTTATTATGTAAAATTTTTTATTACATGTAAAATGTTGATGATATTGGCTGATGTTGGTGTCCAATATATTTTTTTAGTTCAGTCCAGTTCAATGTAAATTTACTTTTTTGTCCAGAAATGTAACATATATTATGTAGAGTTTGTAAACTTTGTTTTATTTTAAGTCAAGAGAACAAAACTTTTAAATGTGGATAGGTAAACCTATCTTAATATACATAAAGTACATGCTCAAGTTAAGGTCTGGTTTTTTTCATCCATCTATTAATTATTATAAAGCAATCAACTATCAGAAATTTACAAAGTGGTAACAAAACCTTTAAAGTCTAATATAGCAAAAATATGCTTCAACGAGGAGTAAAACAAAGTTCCTGAAACAACATTTGATAGTACAATAATTAACAAATTATATCCCCATGCTCCTTTAAGGAATAAAAATGTTTTGTTTCTAATATCTGCTAAGGCATCACTGTAATATTAGTAAAGTAGTGAATTAAGCTTTGCTTTCTTTAATATCATAAATCTCCTTTCGAATATTCCAGTAATAACTTGTCAACTGTATGTAATTTTGTTAATTGCTCATTACAAAAATGCTTTCATGGATATAAATTCAACATGATTTTATTTATCCCTGTAAATGACAAGTAGGTCATAATATAGGAAATAAATAATTTTAATATTGTATAATGTAGTTCCCTAAATATATGTCAAATAAATAGAGAAATAAGTTAAAATTCGTAGACTCCATGACATTTAAAATTGGGGTGCGGTCATGACAGTCTATATGAGATATAAAGACAGTATTATGTCTAATTAAGCAATACATATTCTCTGGTTACTGTAACTATCAATGTTTATTAATAAAATATACTGTTGATTGTAAATGGCGTTTTATTTATTAAAGACTACAAACATAATTTAAAAACAGTTTTGGTGCATAATTATAACAGGAATGGACAAATTATTGATCTTTTTGTGTCAGAAGATGTGTTTTAATTTTCTGTAGTAGTTCCTTCTTCACTGTGTCTGGGACAAGGGCTCGAGCCCTCGGAGTAACTCTAGTTACAAGCATATCGAAATTAATATTATTTCCTTCATTTTCTTTTACGACTTCACGGCATAACATCCTTACTTGATCTCGCCATCCACATTCTATTAACCGCCGCATTAATAAATCTTTAAACCTGTTAAAGAAAGTAGATTTAATATTTTGTTCCTTTAAAAATAAAATAAATGAACAATGTAGTTTTCTGAAAAAAAAAACAACAGTTATGCATACCTTTCACGATCGCCGCTCAATATCAAACGTTGGTGGGCAATTGTATTATTTACAGTCATAGTCCAAATTTGTTCTCCAACAGTTTTTTGATGTCGTCGCGAAATTTATTATTTTGTTATTTACAATAGTATTTTGCGAGTCAATATAATCACTGTCTGTCAAATAAATAATAGAGAAGTGAAAAAATAGTCGATTTTCATATTAATCGATAATTTTTATTCTCATAATCGATTATATTAATTTCACATTTTATTGAAGTAAAACTTCTTTAGGCGCGACTAGGGAGTAACTCAGATTTTTTCTGACGGAAGTAACGTCATAAGTATATGTCATATTTTTAAAATATGACATATATATATATATATATATATATACACATATATATTTAATCATTTCAGTGATATATGCCGTCAAAGCCAAAGAAGTTTTACTTCAATCGCGCGTAAAGGTTACACGCACACACTTTTTTTTTATTTGTAAATAATTTAAAATGTTTTGTGTTTAATGTTACTTTGATATATAGATACTCTATATGCTCCTCTCGCATCGTTAGCTTTAAACTAACTTTTCAACTATTGTCTGTTTCACGTATTTTCAATATTTGAAGATATTTATATCGATATATGTACGAGATATCAGTATTTTTCACTTGTTTGGTCGAGGGATATCGAGTATCCCTTCCTCTTTATTTACTTTTTTAATCGATACAGTGTTTTTTTTTTTAAAATGTCGATATGTTAATTTATTATCTTATCGAAAATCGATATACTTTTTTTCGGGCCCTATGTGTTATTGTTAAGTCAAATGTCAAACACAATACAGAATGACAATATGATTATGACACTCGTTTGATGTCTTACACAGACAATAAAGAAAGCGTTCGGATTCTGCTTGTCAATGTGTTGATGTAAACACGTTGTTGAGTAATTTTTGATTTAAATCTTTATCCCTTTGAGTTGAATACCTAAAATTGTTTCTTTTGCGAATGTTTGGTGGTGGTTTCTGTGGTATTGGTAAGTGTTTTTAAGTTTACGTTCCACCCCAATTCCCCACGAGGGAATTGGGCGAAGATAAGCCACCTGATGGGGAAGGAAGTCGCCCTCCCGGTAATAAGATGGAGACAAGTGACTCCATCGTAATATCTCAACCAAATATTAATACTAACCGTAAGTGACCGGCAGAAAATATAGAAACTTCCGACAAAAAAAAAGTGCTTCCACCCTCGACCTCTTATCAATCGATATACTCCGAAAAAGGTTATGAAAGTGACCCCAAACTTGGTTACAGCGACTATGACAAATCTCCATTCATTGCACACGTCACCAAATCTGAACCTGACTTTTGTTATCTTTTTTTTATGTGAAAAGTTGTCAAACGAGCAGACGGTTCACCTGATGTTAAGTAAATACCGACGCCCATGGACATCTGCTACGCCCGAAGGTTGCTGAGGCGTTGACATCCTTTTGAAAATTGGGCTACGGCCACCTCACTCACCAGACGAAACACGAAAGTATTATACTTTCACTTTACGCCGGTTTTCTGTGAGGTCGTGGTACTTACCCGGATGAGCCTGCCCATTCGTGCAACATCCGAGGCTGCTGCGTAGCCCTACCACCCTTAAGGCCTAACATCTGGCGTGATAATCAGGTTACTGAAATTTGCACAACTGATACACAAATACAAAGTGCCAGGTATACCAGAAGGAGGCATAAATACACAGGGGAGAAACAAGTTTCCAATTAAATTTAAATCTTACTCAGAGGCTAATAAATTCCTGTCTAATGAGTTTCTGCCTACAAATAATTTTATTGGTGTTATTCCAAGATTCCATATTACTTGCATGGGAGTGGTCAAAAGTATTACTACCGACTGGACACTTGAAGAATTAGTAGAGAACATTAAGACCCCTCCAATTGCGGAGAAGTTATTAGGGCTCGCCGACTTCATACAAAATTAAGAACAGATGATAAAATTACCTGGGTTCCATCTACTACTGTAGTCCTTACATTTTTGGGCCAAACTCTTCCTGAAAGAGTATACTGCAATCAATCATCCCTTTCAGTCTCCACATATCAACTGCCTACTATCCAGTGCAGAAATTGTTGCTGATTTGGACAGATTGGGTCTCAGTGCAGGTCTAAACCAAGATGCTATGGCTGTGGGCAGAGTCACACTGGAGATAGCTGTACTATCAGTGAAAACAATTCCTCCCGCATATTGTGCAATGGCAATCATAGGGCAACTGATTCAAAATGCCCTGAGCACTCTAGGCAAAAGTCCATTAAAATTGTGATGTCCCAGGATAAGTTATTCAGAGGCCGCTCTCAGATTTCCCCCTTCCAAACGTCCCAGACATGGCCAGCTCTTCCCCTCAACATTATTATCCAATTCAAAAATCCCAACAATTCCAATAATTTCAATTATCTCAGCAAACTACCTATCCCCTACTTTCTTCTTCCCAATCTAACTCTCATACCTCTTACTCTAAATCTCTTTCTAAATCTCTACGTCCCGTAACATCTTTAGGCAAGACCTATGATGTCTCAGCCCACCAAAATATAATAAGCTCTCCTTAAACATCATAACCTTGTGCTTTATACTCTTCTTTTGTAGATTCCACCCCAACGCTTACCCCCAATGACAACCTCATTGAACTTCTTACCTGCTCCTAATAAACATAATATCCAAATTTTCAGAAGCCTTACCGAACAATGTCATTACCCTACTTCAACAACTGCTCGAACGATTAATTATTAAAAATGGCGACAATTCTTCAGTGGAATTGTAGAAGCATTCGCCACAAAAAACACGATCTTATTTTATTAATTAACCGTTTTCATTAAGCCCATTGTTCTTGCTATCTCGGAGATTTGGTTGAGACCAGGATCCATCTTTAGGATTCCAGGTTATTCGTGCCTCTGACATGATAGGGATGATGGCAAGGCAGGCTTTGCCCTTATAGTTTCAAGATCCATCACCTTCTCACAAATCCAAATTCCTAACCACAGTCCTGACCTTCACATAGTGGCAATTAAATCTAAAAATATTTCTTATATTTCTTGTTATATTCCTCAACCTAATAGCATTGTCATTTCTGAATTAAATAGTTTTCTTTCCACTGTTCCTGGCCCTCTCGTAGTTTCTGGAGATTTCAATTGCCACCATAATATGTGGCAATATGGTCCAAACACATTGAGACTCCCTCTTCCTTCCTTCTTGTTTTATTAGATGATAATAATCTTTGTATTCTCAATAATGGATCTGCAACACGAAGAACGCCTCCTGGGCAAAACACCAATTGGTGGTTTCGGGGAACTTTCACTGATCGTAATACCTATTCCAATGATCCTTCTACTTAAGGACAAACTACTAGCCAAAACCTCTTTTCAACCGACTTCAAAAACGGAGGAGGTTCTCAATTCGTCTGTAAAAGTAAAAAAACGGTTATTTTATTAATGAAAAACCAAACCGACTTCAAACATCTCGCTCTATATTCATTGACTAGCGACTCGCCCCGGCTTCGTACGGGTACAATGTAACATAAACTTTAAAATAGGGTACAATATACATATAAACCTTCCTCTTGAATCACTAATAAAAATTGATCTAAGCATACATAAGGAAAGACAGACAGCGGGACGACTTTGTTTTATTATACCTCCGTACTTTCCCTTACTCCTAGTACCTCCGGATCCCAAGATCCATTAGCAATGAATTAATGTGGGAACTCATGGGAAGCACCAACTTTCAAATTAAAAAAGAACCATCAAAATCGGTTCACTCAGTCAAAAGTTACACTCAGTTATAAATCAGTCGAATTGAGAACCTCCTCCTTTTGAAGTCAGTTAAAAATAGACCTGTTTTACTATAATAAGGCCAGCTTGAAATTCCTCTCCAAAGTGCTTTTATAGTACAAACTGATCTTCTATTATTGCCACCCATGCAATCGATGCATCTTTGCCAACAAAGTGGTAGATTATTGATGCCCTTCATGTAAAAATCAGCTCAAACCTTGCCAATTTATCGCAAATGGACCAATATTGTTTAGATGCTAACATCAATCTGCTGCCAGTCCGGCTGTAAATTGAGTATCATCAGCTTGGAACACAATCGCCGTTTATTCATCATTGTTGACCAAAGTGTCCGACGGTAACCACAAGCTTCAGACCAATAACGGGTTGTGCGTTCGTTTGTAAAGTTCTCTCCGTAACCGTTGTTGATGTTACGTGCCATTTGCGCCTCAGGTGGAGCTCATATTCCGTAATTACACGCATTTTTAGTAATTTTAGTATCAGTATTTAAGTATCAATTTTGACGAAAAATGTTCAAATGTAACTAAAATACAAAGCTAATCAATAAACAAAAGACTGAATTTTGTAAAAAGAATTTCATGTCTTTAAAACAAAATTAATTTGAATTTAGAATTCACAGCTAATCAAAACTTTTTAGTTTGAAATGGCCAGTACTGAAGAACGGCAATTTCTTATGTAAAGGCCTATTATATAATATTATATTCTCGCTTATTGCAACGCAAAAGTGTAAAGGGTACCTACCCTTGTGAAAGAAGTTTAAGATATTTCCTTATTAAAACTGTTATAGGAACCCAGATTTTTTTAGAATATACCATGATATAAATAGCATTTAGTTGTTAAGAATTTTATGATTTTCACAGACTAATGAGTTTATCTTTTTTCTTACCGTTAAATAAGATTACCATTAGTCTTAAAATTTCTTTGCGTACAGTCCACTTTGTTGTTAAGATACATTATATATATATATGTACATGCTTATATAGTGCTAGTATGGCTTCGAATTGTCTAAAGCCAGTTATTTAATTAACTCCGTGCCTCGGAAAGTATTGAGTCAGTGTATTTCAGCGTTAGTAGTCGTAATGTCATGATTATTTTTCGAATTTGTCTGTCGATTCAATCATCATTTTGAACATGGTGTTGAATTTGAAGTTTGCTATTAAAATATTTCTTTTAATCTATTTAACTCAGTGCGTCTTGGTTATCGATGTAAGTGTTTCAAACAAGGAACAGACAAAATATTATTACTGTTAAAAATATGATTTAGTTTATGTAATCTAACAAAAATCAACAGTGTTACTATATAACCCTTAATGTTTAGAATTTGAAGCGTGTTGTATCGTTTTAATTTCAGGCTAGACAATTTAGAGTGACTGATCAAGTTTATTTAGATATACAAAGAGAAGATAAAGCTGTGGGTAGAATAGTTATAGGTTTATTTGGTGACTTGGCTCCACGGGCAGTTAAAAATTTTAAAGTTCTTGTTTCAAAGGGTATAAAAGGAAAGAGCTATAAGGGCACAAGTTTTATCAGAATAATTAAAAGATTCATGATACAAGGTATTTTTTAACATATATGTATACATGTAGGCTTGAATGTAGGTATGAACTTTTTGTTGATGAATTCAAAATATTTTAGGAGGAGATGTTGTCAATGATGATGGTTCCGGATCCATTAGCATTTACGGAGAAGCTTTTGACGATGAAAATTTAGATACGCAACATACGGTAGCCGGATTTGTATCTATGGCCAATAGGGGTAAGATGTGCGTCATATTATTAAAAGCGATTTTTATATTAAAAATATTTTTAATAAGCGAAATTTATTTACTCTAATGCGCATTGTGCTTTAAAAAAGTGATTAGATTTTGAGAAAAAAAATCAAACTTGAAATACACAAGAATATCCGCCATTCAACTAGCCTTATGGTAGGACAAGTTAAATGGTTGTGGCAGTTAAAAACATACGTTATTACATAACGTGCGTTATTTTGTCATCGAGTGCAGGTTATTATCGATCAAGGATTATTGCGACCGATTAGTATACAGCGTGTCGTTACCATCGCGACAATAAATGAACACACGTCTAACGCTACTTGCCAATAATCATAAAAAAATATTAACGTTAAACAAAATCCATAATTAAAAAAAATAGTTTTCAAACAAACTAATTAAGTAAAAAAGAAATAAAATTTGTAACATCCTCCTATACAAGTCGCGCCACAGCGTCGCATTACTAGCCTCTCCTTCTAACAGTATGTTTTGTCTCTTTTAAATTCGTTCAACCCGTTCATATGCTATGTGACCTTTACAAATGAACTTTACGTTACAGTTTTATACGTAAGGGTGATCTAAAATTCTTTGTTTTGGAAAAATTAATAACTCTTTAATTTAATAATAAATATTGATGTTTAAAGAATGTAAATGTTTAATACAATTTTAAAAAGTTATCCCCTATATGTGTGTTAATTTATTGTCGCGATTGTAAAGACACGCTCTATATGCGTAGTGCGAATAGTGTCTAACACTTTTGAGCTTTTGCGGTTAGTTAAAATTCAGTTTTTGGGCGTCGGACAGCAAGTATGAACGAACAACCTCAACAAGCGCCTGAAATTCCAAGAAATATACGCGAATTAGTAAATATATAATGCTTAAGATTATATGATTTCGTTTTGAAAAATTATTATTGTACCTACTTATATTTTTAATACTAATCTGAATCCGAAAATAAAAAATGAAATTTGGCGTGTTATGAAATTTGTAATTAGTAAAGTAGGTACCACTCGAAACAAGATAATGACAAGATCGGTCTGATGGGCCAGAAAATATTTTTATTTTGGATCAATTTACTAAAATCCTAACGATTTTCTACTTTGCGATTCAGCAAATTAGGTACCTATTGCGAAAGGTACGAAAAAACGTACGAGCCAATATATATATTTTATGTTACAATGTCGCAATTCACCACATGCAACAATATTGTGCGTTCTCAAAGTTTACCTAGCCGGACTAACTGTCCTAGGTAAATGTACTCGTCAACAACTTCGAGCTCAGTGCTCCCAACAACAACCGATATTGGCGTGACATGGACATTACACATGATCTTCGTCATGTCCATGTTCATTTTAAGGCCCAACCGTTGGGAGACACTGTTGAGGTCATTGAGTATAGTACCAAGGTCCTCCAACGATTCTGCCATGATGACTATATCGTCGGCAAATCGGAGGTGGGTGATGTATTCGCCATTGATGTACGAACGTTCGTAACGAAGACATCCGCAGTAGAACCAAGGTAACCGACATAGCTCAGAGAATTATCAAACTGAAGTGGCGATGGGCCCGCCATATAGCTCGTAGAACCGATAACCGTTGGGGAAGAAAGGTTCTCGAGTGGCAGCCTCGTACTGGTCATCGCAGTCTGGGACGACCCCCAACTAGATGGAGTGACGACCTGTGCAAATGTGCGGGAAGTCGGTGGATGCAGGTGGCTCAGGATCGTACTTCGTGGCAGTCTATGGGGAGGCCTATGTTCAGCAGTGGACTCAAACAGGCTGAAATGATGATGATGAAGATGATGATCAACGTTTAACAGTGTCATTCGTTCACCAGACAAAATACAAAAGCTCATATTCACTCGACGAACAGCCCGACAAGTCATGCAAGAATAGTTGCTGCGTGGTTCTTAAAATGACATTCCCGAATTAACAATAAAAAATCAAACTAATTTTATGTACTTTATTTTTAGGAAAAAACACAAATGGCTGTCAGTTTATAATAACGACAACTGGAACGCCATGGTTGGATGGACTGCATACTGTTATTGGAAAGGTATATGTGCGCGATTGCGTACTTATTTTCTTTATAAAACAATATCTCGCAATTCTGGTGAGTATAGCTTACAGATAACAAAGTTAAAAAATTAAACCATGTGAAATACTAAAAATAACGATAATGAAATCGAATAAAAAATGTAGATCCAAATATTACACTGGCACTCACCAACAAAAGTGTTGGTGAGTGCCAGTGTAATATTGTATAGCCAGTGCCATTACATAATAATAATAAATTAATAATTTTGGCTTTAAAAATGGAAGTCCTAATTATGTCGATTGTCACTTAGAATAGAAAAATTATATGTTGTTATCATACGTTCGCACAAGGGCGAATAAGCTCATCAAACAATTTTTCTCCCAGATTTTTCAAGTTTAACTTCTTTAGGCATCTTAGGGAAAAATTATGAGACTGAACTTTACGATGTGGCGCGCACAGTGACATGAAATTAACACCATGAGTTTAGTCGATAGATCATCCTATAACAAACATCAATAATGTGTTCACAAAAAACACAAAATGGAAGTATTAAGTTGGAGTCATTTTTAGTTTGTCATGTCAGAGAATTACAACTTCTAGGTACAGGTACATATAAGTACACACACGATTTTTAAATGTTTTACTATTTTTTATTGTATATGTGTATATTTGAAATATGTGTACTATCAAGCGCATATAGCTTGACGAAATGGGTGTTCACTGTTCTATAGTTAAAATTTTTCGTGACGTATTTCATGAACGGCCTCTTTTGAAAATAACTGCAACCACCGATTTAGAGTTGCAGTTATCTTTGGGTTGATATGTTCATAACCGTATACTTTTTTAAGGTCGTAGAGGGTCAGAATTTGGTACACGTCGTTGAGCACACGCCTACGGACGTCGACGATCGACCTACGCAACATGTTTATATTGCCGATTGCGGTGTGGTGCCGACGCCGCAACCGTATTATATATCTGATGACCCTTACGAGTAAGTCTTCTTCGTGATGTTCAAATAAACAAATCTATACCTCATAAGATGAAATGCTTTTATAGTAAGAGTACTAACGACCGAACTGCGTACAATAATTCATTATCTTAATATCATAGAGGCTTTATCACTCTCCCATTTAAAAAAATCTATTAATTAGTACTGTAATCTGTAATATTATAGATTAACTAGCTGACCCGGCAAACGTTGTCTTGCCGTATAAATTAATTCTAAGGAATTTGTAGGATAGAAAAAAATATTTCGGGAGGACCACCCTTAACATTTAGGCGGATGAAAAATAGATTTTGTCCGATTCCCCACCCTGGCCGATATGCACACAAAATTTCACGAAAATCGGTCGAACCGTTTCGGTTTTTTTTTTTAATTTTTATGTAAAAAGTTGCCAAACGAGCACACAGTTCACCTGATGTTGATTGTATACCGCCGCCCATGGACATCTGCTACACCCGAGGGTTGCAGGTGCGTTGACAACCTTTTGAAAATTGGGCTCCGGCTACCTCACTCACCAGACAAAACGCGAAAGTATTTGACATACTTCTACTTTACACGGACGGGCGTGCCCATTCGTGCAACAGCCGAGGCTGCTGCGTGGCCCTACCACCGTAAAAAGGAGGAGTTCAATTACAAACACCATGACACGAGAATTTTATATATTAGAAATAACGCGCACAATAATTAGCTAAACGATAATTATGATCATAACAAAAATGTTCAAATTAATATATTTTTATTTAATTTATTTGCTTTATTTTTATTACAGTTTGTGGGCATGGATCAAGGCTTCTGCGGTCCCGCTCAGCATGTCCTTTTCTATCCTAGGATTCTTTCATTGGATGATAAAGAAAATGGAAATCTAATCTTAATACCGAGCCAGAATCTATTCATTGTAAAATGTTTTGTAGGTACTATATTTAAGTGGTTACAAAAACACAAATGTTGTTAAAGTACCTAAATAGATAAAATTATGCGGATGTTGGCGTTGTGCGGAAGTTTTCAAATCGTAGACCGCGAGCAGTGTGTGTGTGAATTTATTCAAAAGATGACATTTTATCAGTCGAAAAACCTATTAATATAATTATAAAATCGTCAATTTTAATTTGATGAGTAGCTGGAGGATATTGATTTATTTCATTAATTTGTTAGCTGGAGGAATTTTATTTACGATTTATTAAGAGTGTAATCCGTAAGTTATTGAATAAATATAAAATTTAATAATATAGGTACAATAATATATATTATTTGGAAATAAAAATTAAAGTAGTGAATTAATGTTTTATTTCATGTTGAACTTATTAAATTAATATTAAAACATAATGTAGTCTTATGTTGTCCTAATTAAACAAATATTAATTAGTCTTTTTATTTACAAAATGTGCGCTTGACAGAAAATTATATATTTTAAAATGTAAAAGATTGGTTCGGTAAAAATTATAGTTTGCTGTTAAATATTATTACTACACATATTGAAGGTACCAATCCAAAATATGCGTGTTTGTTAAATAATAAATATAATTGTGGTAGGGGCGTTTGGGACTAGTTTTTATGAAAATCCAATTTCTTTTCTCCTTAAAAAATCATATTTTTTAAAATTTTCACGTAAAAGTTTAAAAAAGTATGAGGTACATATATGATTTCTTACTAAAACTATAACTTTGACGCAATTTATAATTGAATTACTAAATGCACGTAATGATAAATCTGACGAATGTAAAAACAACTTAAATTTGAAGTTTACTACTGTGATGAAATTTATATTGATGGAAAATTTAATAAACACAATCTTTATAGGCTAATGATTTTATGTTTGTATATCAATTTAGTATGGGTTGTCTTTACTTTGGGATAACTTGTTACTAAATTATACTCACTAGTAAGTAGTATAATACTACTCATTACGCCAGCTTTAACAACATTCTGATCAAATAAATATATAAATCGTTATTTACATTAGTATGTAGTTATTTCCATACTAATAACTTCCCCTAATATCACTTTAAGAATATTAAATGAGTTTAACTTTAAAATTTTGTTCTCTGATCGTGCAGTCTGGGTGTGGTCTTCGGCATGTCTTTGATTCTTTATTCGTTCTTCGTTCGGAGCTTGTCGCAAAATCAGAAAGGGGTCAGTGTCTGCGAGGATTGAGGAGTGGAGGTTGGGGACAGGTCCGCTACTGCGCGATGTAATCTTGTGGTCAGTCGACAGAGCTCACCGTAACAAAGAGGGGAAATCTGTGGTGATGCACAAAACATAAACTAGCGTCCGATGGAGCACCGTGTGGAATTGTACCGTAATAAAAGTTACCGTAATAAGAGGAAGACCGCGGTGGCGGGGAGTGATGTTGCGAGGGAGAAGGGGCGTGGGGGAGCTTGAACTCCGTACGTAATAAATAAGTAACGAATTGTTAGAGCTTATCGTAATAAAAGGAAGATGACAGATGCGGCGAGGGCGGAGGCATGGAGGGGTGTTGCGGCAGAGGGGGCAGAGGGGGCGGAGGGGGCTGAGGGGCCGTCGGGGCGCGGGGCGGCGGCGTCGGGCGCGCGCTGCTGGGCCGCGGCGCCGCACGCGCGCTCGCACGACGGCCACGGCCGGCACACGGAGCACGCGTTCGACGGCACCGCCGAGAAGAACACGCGCGCGCGATGGCCTGCGCCGAGCGGATCGTGCACGCATTATTCCTATCTTCACTGTATTGGGCCGTTGCTGTTTCACAGCAGTGTATCGCCCGTCAATGTATAACAGATTCTTAGGCATTAATCAAGTTTGCAGAACGATGTTTTAGTGCCGCAAGTGAGCCACGTTCTGGTTACTAGCAGAGCGTATGTTTATATTATTAACTTTGTAGAACTTTTACATGGTCTAGATTTACATGTTAAGATATTGCGTTAGAATATTAAATTGCTTAAAAACGTGTAAAATTTAAAATAAGAATCGATCCATACTTAAATAAAGAAGACTTTACAATATTTATTGACATTTTCTTACGAAACAGCCATACAACACATCAAGTTATAAGAATGTATATTTTATCAGTAAAAATCCAACTAACACTGGCAAACTATATAGCCCACGAGCTGTGTGACTGATGAAGCTTGAAATCGTTCAAATGGCTCAAAGTGAGAATAACTCTCTCCATTTGGATGTCGCCGAACTCAGATCCCGTGCCACAGGAAAAAGGAAATAATAATAATACTAATGCAGGCACAATAGACTAATGAAAATGTGTCCTAAGATACGAAAAGTTGACGCAGTGACTGGCAACGAACAGCAATTACGTGATGAAGAAAATGTTAAGATAAATATTGAAACTGCGAGTCTTAAATTCTTTAAAGATGAATAAAGGATATGATCTCTATCGTGTATAGAAGTGACAAAAGTATTGTATCGAATCAAAACGTAGCGTCTGAAAGCGAATAAGCCCATTAAACATAATGTGAAATATAAGAAACGGACCGAGGTGGTATAGGCCGCGGAGCTTAGTAAGCGTCTGTCGAAAATGCAGCGTGGGTAGAGAAAGCACTCACTGGAGTCGTAGAGGTCGGTGAGCGTGGCCCAGCCGGGGCGCTGGCGGGCGACGGGGAGGGCGCGCGGCGCGGCCAGCGTGGCGCAGCGCTCTGAGCGGCCGGCGCGCAGCCACGCCAGCGCGCGCGCCCCGCCGCCCTCCAGGCGCGCGCCCACCACGTGCCGCGCCGACTGCGTGCGACACCGCCATTCGAATCGCCGTTGCCGTGACATATGCAGCCCGTAGCAACGGCCTACTGTAGCCCTCGGCACACTAGCCACACGGCTTCAATAGTCCGTTGGCGTATGTTAGTCATAAGACTGCAGTACGCTGTTGGCGTATGCTAGCCATAAGGCTACAGTAGACGACCGAGCCAGTCCGTTAAGGTTAAGTTAAGTCCACCTAATAGGCTCGTTAGCGTGTTATAGTCACGCGATTGTGCCAAACTTAACCAAACTTCGTCAGTCTACGAATTATTTTTTACGTGGACAAGGTACTGGATCCAAAAAAGGTTTAATTTTTCTTCTATGTAATCGGGCGGAAACTACAACCGCCGCTGCCGGTGGAACCACTTTATTAGGCTATATTGTTTTTTAAAGAATTAGCAGACTATTGAAAAGGACTAATTGAAGACCACTAGTTCTCAATCCTAGTTACAAAGGGGGCTAGTCCACGACACCGCGTATGGAATGGTATAGACTGTTACTTTACTTTATTTTTAGTAATATCACCTAAAAGAAAAAACTTTTAAATCAGTTAACCTATTGAAACAAATAATAATTAATTAAAATACAGATTCATATAAATCAGTCAAATGTAAGCTTGCCGTCGTTAAGACGTACCGTTAGTTCTGTAATAGTGTTAATGTCCGCCAGGTAGCCCGATGGTAACTGAACGGTGAGCAGGGTCAGTCCACTTTCCGTCTCATTTCCTTGCGGCACGAACCTGCGATTCAGTCAAGTATAAAAGTTTAAACAACAGCTTAAATTACATTGCAGACATTTTAATGACAGAGACCGTTGTAACCAGTTAATACTACTTTACAGTATCGATTGTTTCATGTCCCTTAGAGGACGCCCAAAAATGTATAAATTCATAATTCAAAAATACCATGATATGCAAATATTATACAATAAAATTATTAGAAAAATGAGTTTCGGAGTATGTTAACAGATATAAAACGTTGTCTACTGAAGGACGACGCTCCGCTGTAGGTTTAAAGGGGGATGTCACGCTTGGTAGTAGGAGTTTGATTAAAAAGCAAGGAGCCGCCAGTGCACGCACCCTATGCAGACGGAGAGCTGCAGCCGGTGGTCGGTGGAGACGCGGTCGACGCGCGGGTCGAGCGTGAAGCGCGGCCACGCCGCCGTCACGTTGGTGGCGCCGCGCGCCGAGAGCCCGAGCAGCGCCACGCCGCGCCCCTCCGTCGCCGCGCTAGCCCAACGCGCGTTGCGCACCTAAACACGCTCCTTATCAACCCGACTTCGGAAAAGAAGGAGGTTCTCGATTCTGTTGTTTTTTATGTTTGTTACCTCAGAACACAGTCATTTATGAACTTTTTAAAAGAATTATATACCGAAGATCGAACATCCTCGTCAGCTTAGTCACGAGGGGCTTTGTGTCGCAATATTGGTAACAGGTATGCGTTAATTCGATTCGGGAAACATGTCGATGTTAACGCCAGGAATTGAAATCATATTTGAACCGATTTTATGATCTTATTATGATCTTTTATGATTTATGATCTAATTATTTCCTTTCAAAATACCTAGTGAATAAATAATGCGTTCATGTCATGGGATATTTTCATGTGTATGTTACATACCTCGATTCCAGTGGCAAAAACCTACATTTTAGGTTTTGTCACATTTTTTACGTGCTAACAACAATACACTGACCATTGATGCTGAGTTTTGGCAATTAATACACTTACAAAGATTTTTGTATAGAGTTAACAATCTTTTACCGCTCATTACAATTATATGTTGTGAGATAAATAACAAATGCCAAGGCATGTGAAGGGACTGACACTCTCGCCCAGCCACTGTTTGTCTTGTCTTTAAAGGATTTTGAACAAATATAAAAACAAATGAAACAGTTCTTGTCTACAAACCGTGCATTCTCTCTAAAAACAATTGAAATTTAGATAAATATTTCAAAGCAAAATTTTCTAGAAACAAAGTGAATAACAAAACGTTACTTCGCTTTTAGATTTCAGCTACTTACAAGTTGTGTTTGTATTATGAGTGCGTTGTCGTCGTCAATGTTGAATTGTCTCGGCTCCTCGAAGCCGGTCACGTTAACAGTAACTCGTAATTTCTTGGACGACTTGATCGCTTCGGAGAACTGTGCTAGGGCGTCAAGCTTGAACGAGACAAAAATATTAAATGTAATAAATACAGTTTCTTCTACAGATGAAATTGAACAAAAGAAAATACTATTTGAACGCAAAAACGCACGACCGTTAGTCGTAGTTTTAATACAAAATCAACAATCATGTATTTAAAAAAATAAGCCGTCACGAAACGTCCGGCAGATGTGAAACATACAAGTATAAGAAGCTATAATAATTAATTTTGCTATTAGATTCAAGACATTGTAATTTTAGTGAGGAGGAGCGTATGCGTGCAGTATGTATTTACCTATAAGTCAATATATTAATGGGTGGGACGATGGAAAGGCAGATTTTTGTATGGATGTGATGTGCGAATTATATCGATAGGTATTGCGAGAGGATGCGGTGTGGGAAATGTGAGGTAATGTACAATAGGTCTTATCGTTCAGAAAGCGATTTCTACCAGACAAACATTGCGAAAAGATTTTTTGCTAATGAGACATAAAGAAGAGAGCAGAGGGAGGTGTACATGAGTCATTTATAAACATCGGATGAGGGTATTTATACAACAGAGGGATGGTCAAAGATTTCGGGAAGAAGAAAGGAACAATAGAAAAAAGGCACAATTATGGTATGTGTGCACAATGATCGGTACCGCGTCGGGCTGCAGGCCTTGCGGGCTTTGGGCGAGCAGCAGGTGCCTGGCCACGGGCCACGCGCGCTCCGGCTCCCTGTTGGCCAGCAGCGCGCGCAGGCCCCACGCCGCCGTGGCCGCCTCCAGGCTGTTCCCGCGCAGCCACGGGTTGCGCCACTCCGGCCCCGACAGCCTCCGCGACCAGAACAGCGCGTCGACTCTGCGCGCGATTGTACTTGCGTGAAAACTAAAGTTGTGGTCTATTCATGTTCCCCGCGATTGTACTTGCGTGAAAACTAAAGTTGTAGTCTCTATTCATGTTCCGCGTGATTGTACTTGCGTGAAAACTAAAGTTGTGGTCTATTCATGTTCCGCGCGATTGTACTTGCGTGAAAACTAATTTAGCAGCCTATTCATGTCCCACTGGGCAAGGTATTGGGTTCAGCGCCGGGGTCGTGGGTTCGATTCCCCACGAGACAACTATTAGTGTGACCCACAGATGATTGTTTCCGAACTGCGTGTTTGTCCGTATGAAATTTATGTATGTAAAACGTCCTTACAATAATATAATAATACGTCCTACAGTAAGGGAGCAATGTTTTTGAAGGGATTACCACAGATCTTCTAGATCGCAGTGGTCGTTGGAACTTAAAACCTAACCCCTTCCACAAAATACTAAATACAATACAGGGAATATTAGGGCATAATCCATCCACTGCGCAATGGGACTTTTTTACTTCACATATCTTCAAAATATTGTTTATTATTTCGTTAATATGCAGATTTACTAGGTTCTCCTTCACTGCTGAGCACGTGATAATATTGTTTTTCTTAGTATGTACTTCAAGAACGGACAGTTAGATATTTTAAATTAAATGTGGTGAAAACAACCAAAGCAAAGTCAGAAGAGCGAGGTTGGCGCCCTTTAATAAGTCGAAAACAATGTCAGTCGAGAGCCAAACAAACAAAACATCGTCAGAAGGAATGTATGCATTGAACATCGGACGAAGAAACTCACCCGTGGAATTGACGTACTTGTCCATCATCTGCAGAGCCTGAGCGGCCTGCGGGTGGCGCACGGCCGATAGCGCGTTGGCCACCACGGCCAGGCTGTACGCGTCCAGGTCAGGGGAGAGGCCCCGCGCTACGTACTCCACGCCTCTGTTTATCTGATCTTTGTATAGGATCTCGCTACCCTGTGTCATTTCAAATAACTCTATTAAACCTAGTTGCTCTAATGCAACACGTTGTTCGATAAAGCTGTATTGCAATTTTAGGGATTTTACCGTGGTTTATTTTAGTTTTGCAGGAATCAAAACTTCAAAATCGTTTCGAACATGTCTCAGCGTGCATGGTAACTGGCATCTTTTACTTATATAAGGTGTTTTTAGCTATTTATCAATCCTCTCTCCTCTTGGTGAGATATCGTGAGATTTTTAAAATACATAAGTTAATTTGTGATTGATTTTGTCGGATTTGTTTAACAAGGACATGTGCTTAATTATTTTCGTTTAATTTAGTAACGCGCTCCCTTTATTCTGCCTTTTCTTCAATACTACACGGAGTTTACCAATCTATCCTCTATAATGTTTTATGACTTTTATACTGGAATGCACAGCAGATGGTTTATAGTTCAACGTGATTTGATCTACATCGTTGTCAACTACAAGAGGCTGTTTCCCATTTCGGAGCACTTGCGGTCGTAGCATGCGTCGCTGCTACTCAGCTCGTATGTCGTGTCGTTCATCGAGTCACTCGTTTGAATACGTAACTGGTAGCAGATAAACAATCGCTTTATCGCTATTTTGCGGCTTTCACATCATCATAATCATCTGTATCATCATTAATTTTTTTTAAAACTTCACACTTGTCGAGATCCCCCTTTCCTCATTCGACTTAACCCTTCATCCCTAAAGACTTCGTTATTAGTAGACGCCCCCTCTATCGGTAGTCGACACGAGGGCCGGCGCAAGCTACGCGCTGTGGCGTTTCCGTTTCGGGGCCGGTACCTTGGTGTCGAGGAGGGCGAGGAGGGCGTGCGCGGCGAGCGGCAGCGGGGCCTGCGCGTGCGGGTCGTTGCGCTGCGCGGGCGGCGGGGCCGGCCAGCCGCCGTCGGGCCGCTGCCGGCGCGCCAGCCACCGCGCCGCCGCAGCGCCCGCCGGCGCCGCCGCCACGTGCCGCGCCGCGCGCCCCGCCCACCGCGCCGACACCGCCGTCATGCTGCAACAGCGCGCCCTTCTTCAAACGGACTGACAACTCCTCAACTCGTTCAAGTCGTCTCTATTTATCCACCAGACCCTAAGAACTACGAAGCTCGTTCAATTCGTCTCTATTTACCCACCAGACCATAAGAACTCCTTAGCTCATTTAAGTCGTCTCTATTCACCCACGAGAACTCCTAAGCTCGTTCAAGTAGTATATATTTACCAAACAATCTCTACCGTCTGTACTGGTAGTCTTCGATGGATTTCGTGCGTTTTATGATCTAAACTTGTTTTCTAGGATCTGTGTGCTTTTTCATTATTAGTTCGTGTGTTAATGGTATGTTCTTCTACGGCCGATAAGTTAAGAACTCCTTAGCTCTTTCGACCTCATCGTCTCGGTCCGGGCCATGCCCTTCGATTCACCTACCAGACCATGTCTGCTAATCCTTTTTTGCGTTGTATCGATGTTAATGATAACGTCTTAAATCAATAACTAGAAACCAGGTACTGCATTATTACTTAACGCTGTGGTGTCTCTAACATAGTTACATACATAAAATTGAACAAACGAGCTTACTAAACATCGCCTTCGGCTTCGGGGTCCAGCTCCTGTGCGAAGGAGCCGTCGGGGCGACGGTACGCCAACAGGCGCTGGTAGCCGGCGGCGGCTTGCGCTCGCGCCTCTTTCGTTATCGACACTTCATCTTGGTTCGTTGCCTGCCAATTGATACTTTATGAACAAATGCAAACACGTATTGAGTTGACGTTTTAATGAAAATATTTGTGTGATGATAAAATCGAAAACACTAAAAACTTCAATGATAAATGAAGATGGATAAAATGTATAAACCACCGATAAATTCCAAATTGAACTGTTTGGCGATTTTTACTATTTTTAAAATGTCTCCGCAATACAGAGTTGCATTATCCTACAGGAGGGGTTTCTTTAAAAATAAAAAAAAAAAATATGTGAACAAATCACTATCGATATGACTCCGTGAGAGAAAAAGAGAACAGTAGACTAGGCAGTTGACCGGACAGTAGACCGGGCAGTATACCTGTAGGTAGTCGAGCAGCACGCAAGCGGCGGCGAGGGGCCTGAGGGCGTGCGCGGGGTCGGCGGCGGGCGCGGGGGGCGAGCGCAGGGCTTTCAGGGCTGGCGCGAGCGCGTCGCCCGCCGCCAGCAGCGCGCTGCCGCCGAGCCGTGTGCCCGCCGCCGCCCACAGGCTCACGTTGCCGCGCGCCACACCCCTGCGCGCGTCCAGCAGCGTCCACGACCACAGCTCCTCCTCGTACCCGTCCTGTGGACAGCGCGAACCCTCTCATCTATGTCGAGACTCGACTGTGATCTACGAGTGTGGCGTATTTACCGTAACAGGTATCTTGAGATAACAGACTATACCTGTTACGAGTACGAACATACTCAAATAACAGTTCCTGTTCCACACAAATTGTTCTTTCACACGCTGTCACAAGCTTTTCTTTATTCATGCATACTACTTTTATTTTAGTTAGAAAGAGATAAAAACTTATACACGCTGTAACAGTTGTCACTGCCACGAGCTCTTTCTTTTTCTTGCATCGGTTATATAACTTCATTAGAAAGAGAAATACGGACGATTCCATAGAGTAACATATTGTAACAGGTACACAAATTGTCACAACATAATATGATATAACAGGCAGTTATTTTATAACAGGTATTTGTTGTTAAGTTACAGGAACAGGCGCAACGGGTACTCGATTTAACCTAGTATAACTCATTCCTACTATGATCCCATTACCCTATTTCCCTCCGTTCACAAGAGTACCCGAGTTAGTTTCCATTTAGAAAACTAGATGGCTTCGAGCGTTTCCTGCATCACAGTACAGTGACTGAGATGCCTACATCTATTGTCAACGTTTTCTGTCCCACAGACTGAGAGGTGCACATGTATCGGTCTCGTTTGTAGTCTTAAAACAACAAAACTGCAACATGCTTAAACGAAATTCTTTACTATAGTCATTTTAATGATAGTTCGATTTGTTGTGAAAAGAATTGCTTTTCCTACCGTTTCATATTTAAATAAATCTATTGTCTGAGATTATAAATATAAAAATAGTCATTTCAATAACATAAAAAATAAAAAGTATTTTTGTAGCTTTAAATATTCAGCTGTTTAATTGCTCACGATGTATACGCAAAGTAGCATACATAGTGTACGGTTAAAAATAACAGCTTTGTTATTTATACTTCCTACGTTTTAAAATTAAAATACGAATTGAACCGAAACGTTATGTTCATTCATATTTTCGGGCTTTTGTTTTCACAAAACAACTATTTCGGGAATCATCAACGAATGGTCTCCGAATAATTTTGGTTCAATTTTAGTTTATTGTCGATAACCTACATGAAATGTTTTTAATAAACATTGAAAAAGGTAAAATGTAACAACATTTTTTATAAGTCCTGTGAATTATTCATATACTGGTTATGAATAAATCCCATTATATTATGATATAATTGCATCATCTACGAGTATGTGTTGACATAATATCATCATATATCTTATAAAAACTCTGTTGTTACCGTCAATGAGCGAAGAAGTTGAACTATCTCAACAAGTGAAATGATATAAAAAGAGTCATAGTCGTCAGGCGATGGACAGGAAAACAAGAACGTAAGCGGAACAAGGATGAAAAGAAGATGGAGAGGAGGGAATTCCTCTTCTCAGAGATGGGTACGGCGCGGTAGCGGTTAGGAGGGGCGGGGAGGGGGGCTTGACTCACCTGCACGTCGATTGTGCGGAAGAGAGAGGCGGAGAGGCCGCTGCCGCTGGCCTCCACGATGACTGGCGCGCTGCCCGCCCGCACCGCGCTCACAAGGAACGCCGTACTAGCGGATGAGCCACCCGCCACCGCCACGCGCACGCGCTTGAATAACTCGATCTCTGTCAAGTGCCCAAGAGCTTTCTCATCGACATCCCTAAACCCCATCACCACACCAAGCGATGTGCCATCCTTATATGTCACAATAGCTATGAGATTAAAACAACTTTACGGTAAACCTTACATTCCTGAAGTTTACGAAGTGAGATGAGCTCGGTTCTCGGAAATATGGTAGCACAAGGAATAACACCAAAAAGTGATCATGAACGCTGCAAAAGGTTAGTTTACAAGTCAATTTTATTAACGAAAAACAAAACCGACTTCAAATATCTCACTGCGTATTCATTTTATAATTGCTTTTTAGGAGTTCCCTAAGTATCTCCGGAGCGCAAAATCCAATACCAATGAAATCAATATGGGACCACATGGGAAGCACCAGCTTTCAAATAAAGAATCATCAAAATCGCTCCACTCAGGCGAAACATAAAAGAAAAATACAATCGAGTTGAAAACCTCCACCTCTTGACGTCGGTTAAAAACAGCTGAATTCAGCAACTCACTTTTGGTCGAATCGAGGTTGTTTTCGAGCGGCTCGAACTCGAAGTACTGGTCGGAGTTGTGGAAGGTCACCTCCACGGTCACGTCGACGGAGAGCGAGTTCCTGAGCGTGACGACGGCCGCGAGCGCCTCGCCGCGCTGCAGCGTCTCCGGCAGCTCGGCGCTGACCGCGAGGGGCACGCTGGTGGCGAAGCTGCGCGACGCGGCGACGCCCAGCCCCAGCGTCGGGTGCACCGAGAACGCGCCGATCGTCCACTCGCCCGCAGTGGCCGGGGACCACACCTCCTTGGTGCCCTTGCCGTCTTTGCTGTTCGTCAGCGTTTACTTAGATATTTAAAAAGTTATGCACAAATACGTCTTCTTACTAAGGCACTTTCTGCCAGAGCTGGGTAATTTGTTGGTGGTTGCACTTCCCTTCCCTCTTAATGGTATAAAGTTTTTGTTGACTATGGTACGCAACAAAGGTCTGAATGCAAATAAGATATTAATCCAATACTCAGAAAAGAATCTAGGAACTTTGCCACGGCAAGTTTACGGAACAACTCTTTGTCCGTATTCTATCTAGGCAATTGTCCGGCAACTCACCCGAGGGTTAGGTTGGAGAACATCCAAGTGGGGTGCGGCGTGACCGGCAAGTAGAAGCGCGGTGAAGGCGGGGACGGCAGCCTGCTGAACGCGTACGGCCCGGCGAGCGGCGGCCGAGTGCCAGTCTCCACCGTCTCCATGGGCGCTGCGACGGTGGTAATGTAGCGTTCGTTGAAAAGAGTCCAACGAACCGATGTCAACGGTGTGGATGTATGTCATTGGCGACATTGGTAATTGGTAATGTGGTAATAGAACCAGTGCCCATCGAGTCGATGTCAAAGGTATTTAACAGTGATGGAGTTAATGTTAAATGGTTAAGTAAAGTTAATGTGGACCTGACTGAAACCAATTTGACGCGACCTGTCTAAACAAGAGCTCATTCAGCGGTCATTGTTTTCATAGCCCCATGGTGCCGACCCGTACTTACGCAAAATATTGCCCTGACTCGTTTGCATATGAGCTCATAAGGGGGCCGTTGTCTCAATAGCCCCACGTTTTAAAAGTTGGCATAATTTTTGTTAATTAGACATCTGTTACCATATTGACACGATATACACAAATACAGCCTATTTGTTAATTTCGGATGACAGTCAAGATAAGAAGACAATAATCCGATCCAACTTTTCTAACGCAGGATTAGGGAAGACGTAGCATTCGATTACTTCTGCTGATTATGCTTATAAGATCATAAGTATTCGTATGAATCATTATTAGATTTATGTTCAATTGTGTGGAAATATTACTTAACTGGGGATTCTTTAGAATCGTGTGGGGACTTACCTTTCGGATCGTTTTCGACTACGACGCCATCAGTCAATATCACCAAGCCGGCATTCTAAAATAAAAATATAATACCATTTATTGTTAACGTGGTAAACTATATAGATTTATAATTATAGCAGTTGAAACAATCATGATTAATTTTCTCGACTTTACATTTAGAACATTTTAAAGGTTCTCCCTAGTCCATAAAGCATAGTTACCTGGAACACGTCTGCCACGTTCGGTCCGGCTAGATCTAGCCCCAAGGCTGGCAAGTGCTCTTCGTTCTTAAACACCGAATGCTTGAGACCGCTAAAGCTTTCTACTTCGCGTTCAATCTAAAATCGATGGCATTAGATTTAAGAATCAGCTGTACGAAGAAAATGTGGTACATAGTGATTATTCTTATACATGTCTTTATGTTAATGAAGTAAATTTTAATAAAAAGAATTAAATAATAAATTTATCTCTTAAATTATTACAGAATTACAATCTCCCTAAATTTCAAGTGCGGACAGACTAGGCGATCCGTCGTTCTGAACGTGTTATAGTTTTCTAATACTCGTTTCGAATTTATGTCACATTTAAGAACGGTCCTGCCATTTAATCCTACCCTAAAGAATAGGGCTGAGGTTACTATGGTGCCGCTGGTCTAGTTCCTCCTTGCTGCTGTCGGTTTTCCAACTGCCGCGAGCGTGTCACATTTGCATTGTCCGCGCGAGCACTGCACTGACCGTGTGAACGTCGAGTCCGGCGCCGTGCGTGCCCGCCAGGCCGGCGGCGGCGGCGTGCGATGGCGCGGCGAGCAGCGCGACGCGCGCGCCCTCTGCGCCGCTCACGCGCACCTCCACCATGCCGTTGGGCCGGTACTGCCCCGAGGCCGGCGCGCTCGTCACCGACATCTATAAGGAAACGGTCGACGGTTGTAACAGCTCGAATGTGCCAGTCAACAGGTTCGGCAGCTGTGCGAAACGACCGGAGAAGCTGAGGCGTGAGTTGTTGTTGTTTGCCGAAAAGTTGGAGGGTTGAAGACTGAAAATTAGCAATACTTTGCGCAATTGGCAATACTTTTTTATTATCTTTGGATATCAAATGGCGGCCTATTAATGAATGGTGGCAGTTGATATTAAAACGGTCAAAATCACCTTGTTCGAAAATATAATCGCAGCTAGTTTTAAGCGCTTATAGATGTCGAGTCTACCATCCTATACGCCTGATTTATGGAGCCTTCTTAATATAATTTTTTCACTTAAAACTGTTGACGAAGAACTCTTTCAATTTCAACTTTAGAATTATTTGGTAGGGTTGTAATTTTCGAATACTATCATGATTTGGTTCAGAGATTGGGTATGATACTCTAAACCCTATCTATAAGTCAACCAGTAGGTTATAAGATGTACCATACATATGTTACGAGTATATCCTAAACTCACGTCAACGAAGTCGCGCCTCTAGCTACACATACCAGTAAAATTATTTTAAAACCTAAAAAGTACGCGTTTTGTTCCACTATTCTGATCTGCTTTTACATTTAACTTTTATTTGGATCCCAAACAAAAACTTAAAAAGAGATCTACAAGGAGAACAGGAATCGTAAGGTCGGACGTGCGATTACCTGGTTCTGCAGCAGTCCGGGCTGGGGCACATAGAGGGCGGCGGCCAGGAGCGGGTCGTTGGCGTCGAGGCGCGGGTACCAGGCGAGCAGCACTGAGCCCGGGGCCATCGCGCCGCTCAAGGGCACCCTTATGTCCACGCTGCGCCGCGCTGGGCTCAGCTGTTGGCGAACGAGGCTTTGTCAACTACCGCTCGTCCGCTAAACTTATGAGTATGCAGTATAACACGATATCTCTTTATATAGAGACATACATAGCTACTATTCCCTAGGTAAAGATACTGTTTTTATTTATTTTTTATGCGTATGTTTATTGTACGAAGACGGATTTAACGATATCAGTATTATCTACCGGTCAACCTAGACGTAGTCCAGAAATGGTGAATTGATTATAAAATTTACAAAGTGTACCCTTCAAACGTGAATGCTAAGATTCAACTCGCCGTCTATTAATTCGATCTTGAAATCTTCAAAGCAAAAGTAATACTCTTTTGTAGCATAACGAACAAATTAACAAAACAATTCTTGTCTACAGAGGCGAAAAGGGATCTAATAGAAAGAAAAGTAATCTGACTAAAAGTTTTATAATATACAACACTCCGCAGCCGTACAAGAGATGTACGAGTAGAGAGAAGGTGAACTGTTGACGCGCCGACTGGTACCTCTAGCGTGTTCGCGTGGAGAATGTCGCCCCGCGCGACGACCACGTAGTGCAGCAGGTCCATGGGCTCCGTGGCGGTGATCCGCGCGCCAAGCTCGTCGCTTGGCATCGCGCCCGTGATAAGTTGCACGCTCAGCGCCTGACCGCTCCACGAACCGCTCATTACGTTCACCACCCGCTCCGTCACCTCCTTGTACTTTAACTGTGAAAGAGCAATGACGAATCAATTATTTCATCCATTGTAGAGCTCTGAACTGTACCAGCCAACTAATGCTATCAACGATGGCGAGAATCGGTAAATTAGTTCATTTATCGCAGAGCTTTGGACTGTATCATTACCAAGTAAGCAATAACTAAAACAAAATTAAAATTTGTAGAAAAAGTACGAAAAGTCGGCGCTGTGGGAATCGAACCCACGTCTTCGCCATTCGCGGCCTGACGTTTTAGCTACTAAGCTAAACGGCTGATTTCCACACCGACGAAAATCTTAACGTCTATTATCTACATTGTTTTTAGCATTTGAAGTTTTGAAGCAATGCTTGGCCCATCCATTGTTATATACTTTCCAGCATACAAAAAATTTTTCTACAAATTTTAATGTTTAATCTTAAGTGCAGAGATTAGCACTATAAAAAAGAATTAAATTTCTAAAACGAAATTATTGAATTAACAGATACCAAAATGCAGTTAAATATAATTGGGTAATAAAAAATGTTTGATTTGTTACTTGGAAAAGGCTTGTACTATACAGACTGTACTAAGACAGTCCCTTTTGCTGCCTCATAGCCGACTGGCCGCTTCAATGATATAAAGCTTACTGCCCTCCTAGGGTTTTACTGAATCAGAACTTGTACTGGTAACCTAAAGGAATGCACGATAAAAAAATATAGACTGTTGATCATAGACAAACCTGTATTTAAGGTCAATCAACAATTAAATTAGTGCCAGAAATCGCGGTACTCGTACTACCTAAATTACAGTTATTCTAAAAACATTGAAGAAGACCGAAATCTCTACAACTATTTAACTTCATACTTAAAATTACTGAATGGGATGTATGCTCACCACCAAATTCATAGTGGAGTTGGTGTGGGCGATGTCGGGCGTCGTCGTGTAGGTGGCTAAGCCTCTATTGAAGGAAACCGTGCTTCTGTTCGCGGGGGCGCCGTCGTCCCAGAGGCGCTCAACGATGACGTCACCATCGGCGTCAATTATTTGACCCGTCGAGTTCACTACCTCGATCTGTTGGTGAAGCGAACTTCGTTGTCAAGTTGTTCATAAGTACGACCGCTAAGAAAAGCAGTACAACTGCTTCTCAGCTGATATTGCACACAAATATTGGAATATATAGCCGTAAAGATAAGAGCAAGCGCTTTGGATATAAGTATTATTAGTTGCATTGTAATGAAGAACAAGTGTTTTGGCTATTTAAGTACATATTTTAGTTGGACTTTGACTATATAATGTGGGTAACCCGTCTGCAAAGAAAAAGCATTTAGAAAACAATGACTGTTACAGTTAAGGCCAACGTCCGCATCATCACTTAAAATCAGTTGGGTTGGTTATGGCAGAAAATTTCTTCATTCAATAAAGGCTTATTTTAAATTCCTATTGAACGTCATAAAACTACCTACACTAAACTTAGTGAACCTGTGGTAGTTTTATTAGGTTAGTCTAGTTAGACCAGTCCAGAGAAGAACCGCCAAGAAACTATGTGGTCTTGTTATCTTTTTTTTAATTATACATATAAGGATACAAAATTGTTTCAGTATAAACTCAGCAGCAGCCAGGGGACTTGCAAGTGCAGAGCAAGAGTCATTTCCACTCATCCTTATTATCGATGTGTTCTTCGAAATTATATTATATATATAGCTATTTAATTATTGTGCTTGATATATGTTTACACATATATCAAGTACAATAATTAAATAGCTATAGTTGTAGGCGGTGTTTACCTGAACGACGTACGGCAGTTGCGGTTTGAAGTAACTCGGCGCGGTGACCTTGAGCCGATATGGGGTCCTCAGAAGGAGTATCCTGGAGGAGACGTTCTGCCGTATCAGCGTGTCCTTCTCCTCCAGCACGGCCTCCACTACTAAGGGCCTCGCCGCGTCCTCGGCCAGGTCGAGGTCCGTCTTGAGGTCGTATGTGACCTCGGCTCGCCCGTTGAATTCCACCACCTTCCGCGCCGGCACGGAAAAGACCGGCTGCAGCAGCCCGGAGAAGAACACCGCGTACGCGGATATCGTCAGTTCTCCCTGCACCGGTAGACCGTTGAAGTGTCTGCGCAATGACAAAACATTGTCTGATGCTTGTTAACGGTGGACCACGAGGTTGCGTGTACTACCAGCGGGCGCCAGGTCTATTACAGGAACCGTACATGTTTCCACAACATTACCATATATGGTGCGTTAGCGATGGAGCTGCCGGGATCGAACCTTCGAGACTTCGACCAACGGTTAAATGCTGTATAGTGTGAATAGTGTAATGCTTGTGTTATTGTGTTATGATAAATGTGTGCGTGAATGGTAGTATGTTTGAATATGTGTGATTTGTGAGGCCCCTACACCAGGATAAAACTTTAAATACGTTTCTTTCCGGCCCGGCCGGAAGAAAATTTCGGTAATAAACAATAAAACCCTGATTTACACTGTTCGGTTTATCAAAATTTTGAACATTTATAAAGATCAGTATTACATACATATTAGATATACATTATTTCATTATTACAATAATTTGTTTAATCAGCATTTCAATTTGAATCCGGTTTTAGTTGTAAATGACAATACTTATTACTACATGTATAATCCTCTCGTCCGTTAATATTGAGTATTACGACTGTAGCGTAGCGATATAAGTCACTTTGAAATATTGCTTTGTATCTTTTTAAGACGTTGTAAAAACTTCGCAAGGTTCAGTAATAACAAAACGTTATTGCGGCCCGAACGGTCGTGCTCGATAAGAACTTTACCTCGATTCCAATAAGCCGTGTCAAAAGGAATAAACTCCTGGACCTAATGAATGAAACAACAATTCTATTACATTCTCTTTGAGAAAATTTCTCATTGATTAAGAAATAATTTAAAAGACAACTTTATATGTTTATAGATGTAATAAGAGGTAAAATTTTGATCTAGACAAACGTGTTGAAAGTAAAAGAAGTAATTATACGGCGAATTCCAGGGATGTGATGATAATAGAAACGTTACATAATCCATCACGATGCTTAGCTTTAATGTAATTGTTTTGTATTGTATTTTAATGCCCTTGATTATTTAGTTTCTTTTTACGAATATGTACACAACGTTACATTGACAATGCACGTTTCGCGCTAAAATTTTATATGACATCGTGATCATGTATCGCGACCAAGGTCTCGCGTACTTTGTTTGTTCATTTGCCTGAAATGGAGATTTCATCGTGTTGTTATACCATTAGCTGAAGTAAACCTAAGAATAGTTGGAATATATTACGTACATAATATAACTTGACTGCACTTGCAAGTAAAGAAGTTAAATATATGTAAATATTGTTACGGTTACATAATAAAGTAAAATAACCGGCATTTCAATACCAGTCCAAACCACTAGCTCGTAATAATACGTATGAATGAATGAATGTAATGAATGAAATACGCTTTATTGTACACCAGACAAAATTACAAAAGTAACCAACAACTACATAAAGGTACAATTGGCGGCCTTATCGCTTAGAAGCGATTTCTTCCAGGCAACCATGTTACTGAGGATACAATGATCAGTGAGAAGGGTTTGAGGTACACAACACTACTATACACAAAAAATGAATAAAATAAATAAATACATATATAATTTAATACATATATATTTATATATACAATATAAACAGAAAGGAACGATAAGTGGACAAAAACCATTTAACGGATATTTATTTTTAAATAAATTATGAGAAAAAAAAGAAAAATCATGATACAGAGATAAAATGTACAGGGAGGAAAAAAGTGAGCTTTAACGAGTCTTAAATATTGCCAGTGACTGCGCTCGCCGGATTTGAAGCGGTAAGGAGTTCCAAAGCCTCACCGCTTCGACAGAAAAGGATTTGGAGTAGAAAGAAGTATTATGGGAGGGAATTTTTAAGGTCAGGTTATTATCGGAGCGAAGAGAGTGACAGTGGGGTATAGCTTGAGCAGACATGCAAGTGAATTTACCGAAAATTATGAACTAAGTTTATTAACGTATTGAAAACATTTGCGGTGTTCCATACTTAGCAGTGACGTTGATGTTGAATCGGCCATCTTTGAAGAGTATCTCTTTAGGCATTTGCATGTCCATTTGGAACTTTGGCAACACGTAGTCCGCCACCAGGATGCGCCGCGAGTACTTCTGGCCGCGGACATCCACCTGTACAGCGGTTGCAAAAAAATTAATAGCTTACTTTCAACTGAGGCCATCTTTACGTCGATAAAGAGTGGCCAACTGGACGGTGAATGAACAATTAGAGCAAGAATGAATATATAATTAACTTACGTTGAATAAATAAATGTTTATCTATATCGTTTTTTTGTGTGAAAAGTTGGCAAACAAAGAGGCGGTTCACTTGATGTTAAGTGAAAACTGCCGCTCATGGACACTTACGCCGTAGGAGATGCAGGCGCGTTAACAACCCTTAAAAAGTTAGGCTCTTGTTACCTCATCCGCCAGACTAAAGGTGAAAGTACAATAATTCCATTTCACGTCGGCCTTCTGTAAGACCGTGGTACTTCCCCGGATGAGACTTTTGATTAAAAGCAGAAGGTGCTGCGTGACTCTATCACTATTGAATATGGAAAGACATTCTCGTATTCAATACGAAAAATATCTAAAAGAAGTATTTCTGTATCGATATTGAATCAGTCGCTATTGAAACAGCTTATTTCTGGATAGATTAGAAAGAATACTAACGTGTTTACACGGTGAATTTACTATAAATGTATAAACACAAAACGGTAAAGCACCTCAAACATTCATTAATATTTTCAACAATTTGAATACAAACCAACAGCGATTTTTTGATTTGTTTTAGTGTATTCATTTTTAAGTTTAATGTCTACAGCTTATTTTGTCGATACTTCATGATGTAGTTGTCCCGCCGATTTCTCCGTTGATCTAACCTATACTATCTTTACTCTGTAGAAGTGGTCTATGATAGGGTGGACATTACCTGTATGGTCCACTCGCCGAGGCCGGGCTGGTCAGCGAGGGCGAGCTCGTCGCTAAACAGGCCGCGGTCGAGGGGCGCGCCCGCCCATTCGCGTATCGGCGACCCACCCGCGTCCAGCACGCTCACGTCCACAGTCGTGTTCAAAGGCAGTAGATACCTGTTCACGGTTGGAACTCACGTCTTCATCTGTTAACCTTTTTTTATGTGAGACGATGGCGAGCGAGCTAGCGGTAATCCTAAAATGTTAAGTGTTAATCGTTGTCCATGGATATTTGCAACAGCCGTATGGGTGCAGATTCGTTGCCACCTTTTAATGATGTGGGCCCTGGCTCTACTGAGGGCACTCATCAATCCGTCAGGTATTTTAGATGTCCACGAGTGCCGGTCATCACTTAACATAAGGTGGACAGAATGTTTACTTGCCAACTTGTCGCGCAAAACACAAAATCATAATTCGGGGGAAAACTAGACTTTCTACTAGAAATACAAAATTAAATACTTTAAAGAGGAACGTTTCATGTTTGTCATGTATATTTATAACGATGACACACGCCTCCACCGTTATAGACTTGTAAGGACTGTATACCTGATGGTACCTAAGATGTAATGAGTCATCAATCATGCAGATCAGGGTAATGGGAAATATAGAAATGTATATCGCATGTTATTCTATATCAAATAAACTAGCAAATAGGAAGCGGCTGATGTTATGTGATTACTTCTTTCTTTACTGCTTTCCAAAAGTTATATTTCAAGCGTGGGGTTCAAGTTCTGTTCATGTTTAAACTCGCGAGTCTGATCAGGTGCTAGTACTAAGTCGTCGTCTCTAAGTAAAAAGTGGGAATTAATCAAATGATTTTAAATGTATGCACGCTTTTTACTTCTTCGATGGATTACCAAGCACCTCGATAAAAGCATTTTAAGGTATACTGTTGAATGAAGTTTGTATAGTCAATACAAACAATTGGTATTTTTCCCTATTGCCTTCGTATGATGTGTGATCATCGTTAACTGCATACTTACAAATTTTTAAGTAGTAAGTTTGGATATTTGCATGCTGTTGAATAGCTGAATAGCTTTTCTCAACACATTGTGATGACACCAAGAACAAAACATTTTTGTTTCGGTTTACTAGCAAATAAAGAAGGTATTAATTTAAATTTTGATAACAAAAGTCAACGTTTCAATAACAATTTACGCACGAATGCTTGACCCAGTATAATGTTTCGCTACAACCTTCACTCTTTGGTCACTGAGACGGACCAATATATTCGGTTCGATAACGTTCGCCGACACTTAAAATAATTATGCTAGTTCATTAGCAAACAAAATTTTTGAAGCGTTCATTGCATAAAAAGATATCATAACCAAATCACCATAATATCTTCTGCCTCACATTTTCACTTCGTTTTAAATACAAATACAACGATGAAAGAAATTTGAAACATCACATTGATAGTCAATTTTAATATACTGTATTAAAAAGACGGTTTCGATTTATTAGTAATGTCAAAATAGAATTATTAAACATTAAGGTAATATAACAAATTAATTAGGCAATCATATCCAAAAATATTAAAATGTATGCAACCATCTTTTTCACAAGTTGAATAAAATACCAAGTCTATAATGGAAGGTTGCTGCCATTGCCGATTTTCGTAAGACAACATTCGAAATCTATGTTATAGTGTAGTTTGGATCTTTGTTTTGGTACATTTGGAATAATGATATTTGGAAAAGATTAGTATGTTTAAAAGTCAAAATTAATAACTTTAAAGCTGTTTTGGATTCGTTTTCTTTAAATATATACTTAGTATTCTTAATAGATTATAGCAGTAGAAAATTTGTCAGCAACAATTAATTTCAACATTTAAAAATGACCCCAAGCACGTTACAGCCGGTACGAGTTTCATCTCAAGGCGCACCTCTCAGTCATATTTATTTCCTCACACGCGCCATTCAGGAAATGTTCTGCCGTGATCCAGCATTGTGCAAAGCGATCTCATCACAACTCTCAGCCTCAGCTAATGTGCGGTCAACGACCGACGCGAGCGGTACGTAATCCTACGCGTGCGAACTTTCTTTTTACTGTGTCGCTATCGAAACCGAAAGTATATTTTGCCTTATACAACAAGATCGATGCAATCATACGGCTTTTAAAGTAACGCTCACTGTGCCGAGTTAATGTCGGCGCTGGAGAAACATGTCGTCTCCTTGTTTTTGTATCGTAATGTCGGCATTGCGGGGTGTACCTAATTATAATTTGAAGTAACATAATTTAGGCTAAGATATTCTGAATTGTAAATATTAACCGGGTAAACGTTTTTATGTGCATTTTCTGAATAAATAATTGAAATGAATACCTGTAATGTTAAAAATTTACCCATGCACCTTTACATATTTCCAATTAATATGTGTTACCAACACAGTCCAGTTTTTTATAGTCCAATTAGTTATATATCTTTAAGAGTTCCCTTAAAATAATCCATAACTGCCGTGATAGCTCAGTGTCCGGGCGCTCGCCTTTAATTCAATATACTCGAGCAACCTGAGTTCGATCCCCGGTGCCGGCACCAATGAAGTTTTTAACTTTAAGTCCTGACTTATCACGTGCTCCGCGGTGAAGGAAAACATCGTGAGGAAACCTGCATATTTTCGAAATAATAACAAAAAAAAATAGTTCGAAGATCTGTGAAGTCGGCCAATCCGCAGTGGGGCCGCGTGGTGGACTATGCCCTGATACCCTCTGTAAAGAGGAGGCCTTTGCCCAGCAGTGGGACATGTATAGATTGTTACTTACTTTTTTTTTTTACTTAATCTATAACTGATGTTCATCATCATCATCATCTTTTCAGCCTGATTGAGTCCACTGCTGAACATAGGCTTTCCCCACAGACTGCCACGATGCACTGATGTGGTTGTTAAGTTAAAATCGTCCTTACTTATCCAGTGCGATGACTCGAAAGTTTATGACGTCTTCTGGTTGATAGACCCGTTTGTCTGTCTGTACGAAGACGCAAAAGCTTCGCGGCTGGTACAGGAGCGGCGCCGACGAGGCGAACTGCGGCCCTGAAGTTGAACGGGCCACCAGTTTGTACTGCCCTGGCCCGGGGTCGCCTATCTAAAGACGAAACGATCAACGAACTGTTAGTAAAACATATACATATGATTAACCCAATACTAACAGTCTGACGGGCCACCATTTTGTACTGCCCTTTTTTATGTGAGGAGGTGGCAAGCGAGCTGACGGTTCACCTGATGTTAAGTGATAACTGCCGTTGACATTTGCAACAGCAGATGCGTTGCCACCATCACACCCAAAGACGAAACAATTAAAAAACTGTCATACAAACAAATACAAAAAATAAGTCATACAAAAACAGACACTGAGAGCCGCACTCAGAGAATTCAGTCGATTTTTTGTTAAAAATCTACCTTTAGATATTGAACTTCAGAAATCGTTTTGTCAAGAAAAAAGCGTTGGGAAATCTCAATAATCAGTCCAACATGACGGATTGGCTATAACAAGCTATAGCTTATACAATAGGGAAAATTTTTCGCTGACGTAAAAGATCCATTGTTGGATTGGAGTAGATACATAATAGGGCCAATACTAGACTAGCAGTACCCACTACTAGGTAGCAATAGAGCAAGTATCATAACTCATGGTCACTGCTGTATTGGACATTTAAGACACCAAAACTAGCAAAAGTAGCCGGCTTGGATTAGTTATTAATGTTTATAATCTCATAGCATATTAAGATAAATGTTTGAAAACAATTACATCGAGCTCGATGAGCCTGGAGGTGGCTGGCGGCACCTGCACCTCCCGACCCTGGCTGAACTGCTCGCCGCTCTCCCTCTCGACTGCCACGTACAGGTTGTGCGCGCGGGAGCTGCCCGCTATCGACACCTTGTACGACGTGTACGGCCGCAGCACACGTGGACCCACCACGGACAAACTGGCCAATTGACGAAGGACCCCTTTATTTACTCAACAGACACACTTAACAGTACTTTCAATGAGTCTAAAAGATACAACATTTCTTTTAACATAAAACTATAAAACACCGCTGAACCTAAAATATGTGCAGGAATAATCCTGCAGAATAGATTCGGGCGTGAAATATTACTAAAACATGAAAATGAACAATTATCCATAATACCTTTTTCATTCCCCGCACATCAAATTTTTTTAAAGGTTTATGTCTTAGGCTTAAGGCCGCGGCTGGTGACAAGAGAGCTGGTTCTTTTCTCGCTCAAAGGCATAGCTATTAAGCGAGGAAATGCAGCTAGCGTTCTTAGCACCATGCCACGTGGATTAGCTTTATTACATATGTAATTTTAGATAGATTTAATCTTGTAAATATTAGACAAATAAAAATGTTTCAAATATCAAAAAAAAATTTTAAGTTACAAATAGAGATAATTGTCTCTATACATTCTGATCATAAAGAAGATCATTTTGATCAATTCAGAGAGTTTGACAATCCTTTTGGCAACTCAAATAACATTTTAGATAGATTTAATGTTGTAAATATTAGATCAATAAAGATTGTACAGAAAAAAAAAACATTTGAAAAGCCATTTGACAGCTGATTAGTTGACTTCTACGATGATCAGTGTTTCAGAAATCGGGACTTAGTCTACTAATCCCTAAATATCAGCAGATAAACGAAACGTTGAGATAAAATTAAAAAAGATGTTACACTAATATAGTTTCATATTTTACTTTTAAAACTTCATACTCACCATGTCACGAAGCCTGACGCAGTCAAGATGAAGAAAAAGCACGACACCGTAATGGTATGCGTCATTTTTCTGTAAATGGTAACCGAAATTAACTCAGAGATTAATCAAAACCCTGTAAATGTAAAGCGGAGATTGAGATGCCGAGGTTTATGTTCAACACATGTAATGGAGTCTTTTTTGAAGTTGTCGGAAAATGATCCTGGCTCTTTTCGTTTCAACTAACATTGTTAGTTAGTTCACAACTCTACGGTAACTCGTAGAGGCAACACGTCTACCCTATCTCTCCGTTATTGACCTTTTTGGGCTATGCGAAGGCAGTACCGGGTTAGTTGTTTGTATTCGGGAAGAGATCACGCCATATGTAGCGTTATTGAATAATCAAATATATTTACAAATCTGATCGAATTACTTGAAATTTATCAACGACAGCTGTGAAATGATCAAACACTACGTTTAATATTATCAAATGCTGGAAATAAAAGTATATAAGCAATACAGCAACGCACATGAATGTGAACATCTTCATTACTGTCGTATCGTAGGTGAGCAATCATCATACATAATATATTGCATCTATTGTATTCGCGTGTTTACTGTGTCTGTATGTTGAGCTCACCGTCCTTGTGTCGCAGGTCCAGCTTCTCTGACTCATTGTATAAATACTACACTTGCGTCGAAACAACACGCTATATCGATGAAGAGATACCATATTTTTAACTGCCATCGCCACTAATAACACTTGATGTAAAAGGAGGCAACTTATTCATTAATAAAGATTAATTAAAAATGTAAGAGTAAATTAATGAAGACTGAGTGTGTGAACATTTTAAAGGCTTTCTCTAAAACAATGTAAAGTTTTCTCATTAAGGTGAAATTGTCTGCTAGTGACGTATGAAAGAAGTGGCAATTCCCTTAATATGAAGCATAAATACCACACTTACGAGGAAAGTATTTACTGTTTATCGTCAGTGTATTGTACTTGAGTCTTCACTGGTCGCACAGAAGTGGGTTATACGTCACCCACGAGATTGATCACAGTATTACCTCAGTTGTGTTTAATAAACTTCACTTATTAAAGTAAACTTAACACTATATCACAGATCGATTGTTTCGAGTGCACATAGTTGAGTGCGGTGCGCGTCGAAGCAGCACTCGGGCGGCGCAATGCAGCGTTACTGGCGGCAGTGGCGGCTCGGCTCGGCGCCTACGCATACAATGGTGGGGGCACCAGAGCCTTGCGAAAACCCTCCTCGCATAGCTGCACCCACACCACATCCAGCGGATATCTGTGACCGTCAGCCAGCAGGAAATACGGCCCACGCCGAAACTACGTCACTCATTTCGAAGCCCGTCTGGCTTGCGTAACTCCATAAAAGAGCTATATTGCATTAGCCCGTTTATTATGGATTTATGTAGGGTACTTTACTCATATGGCAAAGATAGGAAACATGAACTGTGATTTCAATGTAAGTTATCATTTCCTCGAATATCATTTAAATTCCTTAAGTATTTAAGTGATATGTTCCCAAGGAGGGTTGACGTCAGGCGACCGGTAGTAAAAAACTTAGCCAAAACCACTTACTTGAATCACATGTTGTGCCAATCTCACATAGATAGGATAAGAGCAGGAGGATGATGATAATGTATTAAAATGCCCTTTGCTTCAAACTCATTAATGAAAAAAAATGGCTCGTCAACAATAAGAGTCAGACAACATTTTATTTTAATGCTAAATTAAATTATCAAAAAAATATTTGAAATTTTACACCAAAAGAAATTGACTGTGTTAAGATAAATTTACTTGTCTTAAACCATTACTGGCATTCATTGCATTCTTTAAAACGTGTTGTAAATATAGAATTACTTTATATAGAATACCGGAACAAAGTCCATATTTTAAATTTCATGATCATTTTACATTTGGCACAAAGTCAGGGCGACCTCTAAAAGGTTCGAGAAGACACGACGTTTGCGATTTGAGAAACCTGTTTGGAATATAAAATATCGCGTCTGCATTGGTAAGTTCTCCCACACATCATAACTAAACAGCCTAAAGTAAATTCTGACTGCTCCTTCGATCCGATCGAAAATGCGGATTAAATTTGTCATAAACGCATTGCTTGATTTATATTTATAGTAACAATATTAAAGTCATGAAGGCCCTTAAAAGAAACATACGAAAAGCAATTTACATTAAATTTTTATTAAACTTTACGGAAATATGAAGCACTGTATGAAGTCATCTAGTCGGCTAGAAAAGAGTCAATAGGGGACATATCAGTAGCGATGGCGTTTTCTTTTGAAAGCGACGTTTGTCTGGACGTCGGGTTTTCTCTTGTGTGAAGGTGCGCAGCGAGGATTGAGTTATCAGACAACGCCGCTGCCAAAGCCTGCTCGATCTTTGCTGCCCCAGCTCGTTCTGCCTCCAAAGCAGCTCTCAACTCCGTTACGCTGTCCAGTTCAATGTCGGGAGCACTGTCGACCTTAGACTTCCCATTGCAGTTATTTTCTGTTAAGCGGTATTGCAACTCTGACACTAACGAACCGAGTCTGGCGATTTCGGCTATAACAAAATATACCTTGATTACGACATCAATTTGATCTATATAAATAAAATGATAGAGGTCTGCCGTTGTACGGGCGTCACAGAAAAACTACTGAATAGATTTGAATTATGTCTTCTATGTTTTATTTCTCAAACTTCCGTCTAAAAAACATTGTGATATCTTCGTTTAAGATAAAGTTTTGAAAAACAACGATTTTTATAAGCATTACGATTCAGTGATTTGTTTTCTCAACTCAGATGAAATCGCGGCTATCAACTAGTATTAAATAAATCGATTGAAATTGTCGACTCCTGACTAATAATTAAAATTGAAAATAAAAAATATACACTTCTGAATCATGTCTTATTTTTTTTTTTAAAAACGTCGTTGGTAAATAAAATCCAGCGACAACAACATAATGAACCCTGTTCGGTATAAAATTGATCTGGATATAACCTGAGTTGGAACGAATGGCAATGGAGTAACACTGCCTTAAGTGCGAGGAATGTACTGTTTAGGTCATGTACGCCAAAGCATCTTATCATTGATGCTATGTTATAAAAGGCGTTTAAATTGTTTTAAGTTTTTTGACTTGACTGCGATTGGTTGTATATAAGAAACTTCAAACTACTTTTGGTGAGACCTTGAAATAAATGAAGAAGGATACGAATTCTGGTGAAGTGTATAATCGTAACACAGCCTACAATTAGTACACAGCATAACAAAGACCTTTTTTATTTATATTCTCAAGTCTTCCCTTTTTTGGATTTTTTTGGATTGAGAAAGATCTAGCCGCAAATACCATAAATCTTACTATATCATCTCATCAAGATAATCACATCAGTATTCAAACAGGTTGCCTGTTAAACAAGCGTTAGCAAATACTTTCACCGTTACATAACTTCAAGTAATCGTTACAACTATTTTATTATTATGACCCTCGCTCCTCAATACATTGTAGGATATAAGTTTCGAAATGTTATGGATTTTAGGGTTGATGCAAAGACGGTTGAGACAGTTTACCATCCATGTTATAAGAGTACGCAATTATAAAAATATCGACAGCACATGCCTCTCGCAATTATAATTAGTTAGAGTAATAATAAGTTTTCTTAGCTTACAGTTTTTCTTCCTGTAAGGAATAATGAAGTCCTTATTCTCTACATTATGAGTTCTGATAAGTTTTAGTTACAGATCTAAGCTGCCCTACTGCTGCTTATTGCAATGATTACCTCTACCAGTATCTCTGCTGATACAACATGACCATCTGCGATAGACCCACGCAGAATTGGCTGCTGGATGCAAACTGCAAACTCGCCCGGGGAAGTATTACAGAAAACCAGGTTGAAGTGGAAGAAGAATTATACTTTCGCTTTTCGTCAGGTGAGTGAGGTATCTGGGGCCCCCTTTATTATATGAAGGCAACGCTAGGTGGTAAACAACACGTTCGGTGTTGTATCAAATGATCACTTAACGTCAGGTGAATCACATAAAAAATCTTGAACCGTGGGATCTCATTAAAACTCGTGACAGGACCTTAACTAGCGTTCGCAGACTGTTATCGTTCGAGTTTCACGAGCTTTGAACGATAGCCCCTGAAGCGTTATGCACCGCTTGCGGCAGGCGGAGGTCCATTTCAGGAATCGCGTCGCAGTCTAAACTATACGGATAGTACCGTTTGCGGCCTGGAGGTCGGCGGCGGCGCGTTGCGTGTCAGCGGCGGCGCGGCGGCGATCGCGCGCGTGAGCGGCGGCGGCGAGCCGCGCCCGCTCGCGCACTTCCGCGCCGCCGCGCGCGCACCGCTCCACGCGCCGCAGCTCGCTCTCCAGGCGGCTCGCTTCACTGTTACCGTAAACCGGGGCTAGTCAACTTCTGATCTTATTCTTTCTTCCTTACTTTTTACGTTATACTTCTTTTGGCGAGTTTGGAAAATGATTCATCATAATTTCAGCTTGTTAGATTCCACTACTGAAACTAGGCCTCCGCCACAGACTGCCACGAAGCACGATCTTGAGCCACCTGCATCCAACGAATTTCCGCACATTTGCACCGGTCATCACTCCATCTAGTGGCGGTTTGTCCTACATTCCGAAGGTCATTAAGAGGCTGCCACTCGAGAACCTTTCTTCCCCAACATTATGAGAGTAAATATTTACAACGGCGCACACCTACAGCTAAAAGACGACATGATGAAGTTGGTTACAAAGCTTTACCATTACCATAAGCGACCAATAACAGCTTTTTGACATTTACCTATAATTCAAAGTTATATTATAAAACAGTAACTGCATTTAATATCTTTTACACAAACAAACAATATCTGGCACAGGGTATGATATATTTAGTTCCTTTTGGTTCCTTTTGTTACACTATAGAAGTATAACTTATTATGTACGTACATAATTAAACACACGTTTATTTGTTGCAAAAACGTGTGTTTTTGTCTCGCATTCGTTCCTGCATCGTTCATTAGATGACAAAGCAACACTATCGGTTTATTGCGCGTTTTCGAATTGGTAGGTATAAAAAAAAAAACAATACCAAATCGGTTTTTTTTTTTTTTTGGGGGCTTGACGAGCCACTGTTGGCCTTAGGGGCCTTTACAGTTCCGACGGACTTGAGGTGGCACCTCGCGTATTTATTATTACGCGTTATGGGGACTAAGCTCGAGGGCTCCCGAAGGAACCTCGGCTCGGGCCGTCACGCTATTTAGTTCACCGGTTTGGGAGGCCGCCAAGCTCTTAGGGCGCTTTGGCGGGGGCTCCATGGAGTGATCAGGCTCAAGGGTCCCCGAGAGGGGACCTCGGCTTGGGCTGTCACTCAACACGCGTTTAGCATTCCGATTCCCGAGAGGGCCGGACCTCGGCTCGATCGGTAGCTGTTATCTGACTGGGGGATCTCTAGAGCTATCGTTACTACCACTTCGTAAAGCGTTGGCGCTGGGAGAAGAAGTGGCGGAAGAAACTCCAGCAACGCTTCTATCTTGAACTGGGGAGAACCTGCCAGGTACGTGGCGGAACCTAGTATATGTGTGCCGCACTCGCCGGCGAGTGCGGTTTGTGTTGATGTGTTTGCGAAGTTTTTTAGTCCTTTCGATGGCGATAGTCGTCTCATCGTCAGGGAAATCGAGAACGTGTCGCGGTCTACGGTGATTGCGGCGGAACGTACCTAGCGGCAGGGGTCTGTAGGTGGCGGCACCTACGATTAGCGGGTTGGGATGCGCGGCGGCGGAATCGAAGTATCGGCGCGACGCCGACTTCAGGAATTGAGCGATGGTGGGCAACTCTAAATCGACATGAAGGTCGATATTGCGCATGTACCAGGGTGCTCCCGTGGCTCTGCGCAAGAATCGATTTTGGATGACCTGAAGCCGGTGTATTTGCTTCGGAGCAATGTGTGCGAAAACTGGGCTCGCGTACGTCATGATAGGGCGAACTACTGCCTTATATAGAGTCACCTTGTTCCGAAGGGACATTTTAGACGTTTTGTTGAGGAGCGGATGGAGGCGACCGAGTACGAAGGCCGCCCGGTTCTTGACCCGAGTCACGTGCTGGTTGAATCTAAGTTGGGAGTCAAGGACGACACCTAAATATTTAATTTTGTTCACCCATGGTACCGGACTATCCATGAGTTTAACGGGGGTGGTTTATCTACGTTTTTATGTGAAAAAAGGACGGCCGCGCTCTTGGCGGGATTGATTTCGATCCTCCATTGCCGAAACCAGTCACCGATGGTGATGGCTGCAGCTTGGAGGCGTCGATGGATAATTTCGGATGTTCTGCCTGCTGTATAGAGACAGGTGTCGTCAGCAAATAGGGCAAGTTCTACATCTTTGACTCGCGGCATGTCATTGGTGTAGAGCGTAAATAGGACTGGGCCCAACACCGACCCTTGAGGCACCCCGGCTCGAACGGGATGCGTTGTCGAACACACGCCTTCGACGCGATAGCGAAAGGTCCGATTACTTAGGAAGTCTCGTATTATGCATACGAGACGATCGGGCACTCCGAACCCGTATAACTTGTATACGAGCCCGTTGTGCCAGACTTTATCGAAGGCCTTTGCCACGTCTAAGAAGAGTGCTCCGGTGTTGAGTCCGCGTTGGCGTTTGACTAGTATGTGCTCCGTGATGCGGTGCACTTGATGGGTACAAGAATGTTTGGCTCTAAAGCCAAACTGTTCAGGGATGGGGAGCCCTTTGGCGTCCATAAGGGATCTTAGTCGGGCTAATATTAGTCTTTCAAAGATCTTCCCAAATGTTTTGAGAAGACTTATTGGACGATAAGAGGTTGGGAGGGTCGTGGGTTTGTGAGGTTTAAGGAACCCTATTACGTCAGCTTCTTTCCACTCGGACGGGAAGAAGCCTTCGGTTATAGCCGCGTTGTAAATTAAGACTAGTATCTGAAGGATGCTAGTAGGGAGAAGTTTGGTCACCTTATTGGTGATACCATCTGAGCCAGGCGCTTTGCGTGGGCGCAGTTTGTTAATTGTTTCTGCGAGTTCCGAGCACGTGACCGGGGGAACGGGATCGCGGAGTGGTTCCGATGCTTTCCTTTCGACCTCTTCGTTCACCTTACGGAGGTGATCGGGGTGGGTCGGAAACAAGCTGGGGGAGCATTGGGCCTCTAGACTGTCAGCTAGGCATTCGGCTTTCTCTTCGTCCAGCATTGCTGGCGTTCCTATCGGGCGAAAGCGGTAGTACGGTTAGCAAAACGGTTGGCTGGTTCGGTAACGTTCGGAGCCCACTGACCGGCGCGCTTCCTCGGTTGCAACACGCACACGGCCTTCCAGCTCCGCGTATTGGCGTTGCAGCGAGCTCTGAGCCGCCTGCAACGGCCGCAGCTGTTGCACCTCCCTTTCTAAAACACTAGTCTTCTCCGTCAGCTCGCTACATTTCTCTTCAAAAAGGCGGCGTTGGCGTTCCTTTCGAAATTTTAAAGTTTCAAGTGTTTATTTAATTCGAAACTAGCCAGTGCTTGTCTGCCATTAAATTCACTATTTTTTTACACATATAATCAAAACAATGTACCTATTAATAAATAACGATCACATCTATAGGTTTGTTTAAATTATTGAATTATGGTTATGAAGCTAAGTATGTGGTATGTTGTAAGAAAGAACATGTCGTAAAAATCATGACAAAACCATCGCGATTGGTTTGGATTCTGAACAACAAAAATTCGAACAAGTTCTTTAAAACATTTGGTAATTACTGAATCAAACTGTTCATAGTTCGTAATATGTCCATCAATAAAGAACCAATTAGCCAACATCCGTCTTCCAATGGTAAAATAATCTATTGCAGTAAAGATTGAAATGGTTTTTAATGAAGCAAATCATTTACTGTCTACTGTTACCTGCTTATGTTGAAGTGCTCGAGCACTGTGGTTTGTATTTTTTAATTTAGTGAATATTGGCAAACAAAAACGGACAGAACAGTTTAAGTAACATACAGGAAACAAATATTACTTCAATAAAAATAGAATGCTATCCATGTTTTACGGAGCCAGTTGAATCACAAACGCGATACAGCGGGCACAAGTAGCAGGCGACACTTTTTTTACAAGTAAAAAAAAAAAAACTGTGAATCATTCGTGAATGTGATAATAGTGTAATGTGTATATTTTCGTATCCCTTGAACCGATAAATTATCCTACCGACAGTTCGAATTTCGTCTTAGTGGCGGCTAACTCGTCGTGGACAGCTGCTAGGGCGGCGGAGGCCTGGGCGGCACCAGCGGCGGCCGCCGAGGCGCTCGCCCTGCAATCGGCCGCCTCCCGCCTCGCCACGGCCAGTGCTGCCTCAGCCGCCTCCGCTCGTGCGACCTCCGAGCGCACCGCATCGCGGAGTTGCGACTCAGAGCTCTTTACGAAACTTTTGTTTAAGCCGAAGTATCTCTCGCACGATTTTGCCCATAGTTATCAGTTAGTTAACGCTGGGTGTGATTAATCGTGTTTACCAGCACGTAAAGAACGGGAAAGCGGAAAATTTCTTTGATGCTTGGAACTTTCATTCGAACTTTATACTTCAATGAATGAAGTAACTTGATTATAATCTCTCTGCCTTCATTAATAGTTTCCCTTGAAAGTTATATTAGCGTGAATACTATTACTTATACATGGTTAAAAGAAACTGCTTACGGATTAAACACTTGAAAGCGTTTATGGACACGGGACGTTGGGAAAATAAAACGCGACAATATACGAAATTATTTTGATACTAATTTCGTCAACTAATAGTTTCATTTAACCATCTAAATCCAACTAAAAGTTAACCTCAAAGATCGAATTCTTCTATTACATCTTAGCACATGAAATAAAGTTAGGATACAGAATTGGTATAATAAATCAATGACTTTCAGTGTTATTTTTCACATCTCATCACATGTACGGCCTGTAGTTGTAAACGAAAATTCATGTAATAACTGTTGTTAACTGTCGATGTTGAAACAAAAATGAAAGAAGAAGTTACACAAATCGTCATCCAGTGAACAAATTGAACAAACTTTTAATACCATACAAATGTTAAAAAAATATTATTGCTGTTCTATCTTCTTACCGTAATTGATTGTAATTGTCCGATTATTTCTGTGAACTGTCGTTCAAAGGTTTCGAATTCTGTTGTAACAGCACACATTTTCATAAATTATTAATTAGACCTATACAAAAAAAAATAGCTTTTTAATTATTGATGTAGCTATCATAAGACTTACTTAACCTGAGCGCGGGAAAATTGTTTTTTTTTTTTTAATTCTTCCAAAACTAAATATTTTAATGTACATGTATTTTTATCTCTTTAATTACACGTAATTAATAAAAATCAAGTATTACATTAATGAAAACATGTATGATCGATACAAATAGCCTGAAAAAAAGGCATAATCTACTGGAAAAATGTGTTCACTGGAATAAACAATTTGCAGCCCCTAACCAGATCAGTCCATTTAAGGCTGTTTTAAATAATTGAAATACGTCAATTTTCACGCTCGCTTTGATAAGAACGAACAGCGAGGGGAATATTAAAAAAGGGGGGTGATGTTTTCACGGGGTGAACTCGCTATATAAACAGCAGGCCTTGTTCAAATTCGCCATTTCCAGCGCCTTCTTGAAACGGTAAGTATTGTACAGTGTTATTTTGTTTTAACTATAGTATTGTTATCTAAATTATTTATATATTTCTCTTTATTTTTAGAATTAAAAACTCAAAATAAAGTGTTCACTTGACTTGTGGTACTTTTTTTTAAAGATTTTATGGCCGGGTAACAAGTTGATTGGTACTTTTATTGTGGAAAAAAACCACAATTGAAACCTCTAGTATTTTTAAAACCATAGTCAATATCGTAACAAAAAATTATTTATTCCCATAATCCTTTGTATGCGATTATTATTGATGGTACTTCCCAGTAACTTCTTTTATTAAAACATATTTATTTATTATTGCCTATGATATTTTGCATGCTAGGTAACTTTTTTCACTAATTACTTATTATTACGCATACTTTTTTTATTTTTGGAAAATTCCCTTTATATTTTATGAGAAAGCAATAGCTATGAAAATTATTCCCAAAAATGAATTGTTATTTTATATACATAAAAAGGTTATGTAACCTTTTTAATTCTAATTTTTGTACCAAATGGTTTTTATTAGGTTAGGTTTTATCGGTACATTATAAAATTTAATATAATTGATAGATTTTAAAAATATATATATCTATAGTCATAATACTTTGCTTTGTTATAGTTCTATTATTTTGTTTTTACGGTATAGTTAATTTTGGGCAGAATTTACTGCTCAATATTTATAATCACTGGAAAGGCAAAATTACTTAAAAGCTAATCATTTATTTGGCGGTTAAGTAATTTTGTTTTCTAATGACGATTATCATATAACTATACCTCGATAAGAAGACAGAGCAGAGCGTACAATGTTTATAATAATTAAAAAAATATGCTATAAACGTCTCGGCCAGCAAATATACTTTTTAAATATTTTTTTTAATTTATGGTATTTTATTTCAAATCGCTCTAGGAATGTGTACTCTAATCTACCTATCACGTGATTTTATTACATTTAACGATAAACATCACGTAAATTCTAAATTTTTTAAATTGTTAATTTCAGACTTTAGAATACACAATAAACAATGCGGGTCGTAACGCTTGTCGGGTTGGCGCTGGCCGTTGCGCTGGTGATGTCTATGCATTGTTGCGAGGGTGCGATGATGCGCAGCATCTCCCTGAATGACGAAGAGGAAGAGTTTCGACCGCGTCGCCTCTACCGCGACTACGCCTTGATGAGGAGTCGCGACACCCGCGCTGATGACTCCTTCGACGACTACGGGCACATGCGCTTCGGCCGCTCCGACGACTGACGCCTAAGCTCACGACGCCGCGCCACCCACCCGTAAAGACGACGGTTATACAAAACGAAACGCTTACGACCTTAAATCTCGCCGTCTGCTGCAAGCGAAATATCAACGGCTGGTACGATATTTCCTTGCGATATAGTAGTCTTACAATATTATTGTTGGTTAAATTAACTAATCAATTACTTACTTGTATATCAATACTCGATAAATAAAAAGTACTGACTACTTACCTTAGTTTTACCTATACTCGATGTAAATTGTACTTATATTGCAATGATTTATGAAAAACTTTTCCCTTGTAATTCTATAAAATAAGACACTTTTTTTCAGGCCACTACACAGTATGAACAAAAAAATTAAACTGTAACAAAATATTTAGAATAGAGTAACTTTTAATCTTTGTATGGGTAGATAAATAAAGTATAAGGAAATGTATACTTATGGATTTATTTATTAACCAATAAATACATTTTACAACATATAATTATTCCAATATAATGCATTAAGTTATATTCTTGGATATTTCCGATAAAATAAAATTTAATTAATTAAATCACTGTTAAGGCATAATTGCAGCTCTAACCCACCACTTGCATTAAAATTAGCGTGCATTTCACTTATTCAATTCAAAATTTTTGCTTTATAAATACCTATATAACTTCATTTTTTTTTCAATAATCTGAGATTGGTGTACCGAAGGGTTGTATGCCAAAAACATAATAACGTAGTTGTCCTTCAAAATAAATTGCAACTGCAAATACATTTAACTATACAAGTAGATTATAATGGCATTCTATTCGTTGTACTTATGCAGAAACTATTCTAAGCGACACGTGTCCATTAACAATTGAAAATGATGACATTTTAAAATATAAAGCTCCGAGCTTCGTTGATTTCACGATAAGGCTAAATTATTCACGTAACATTAAGCACGCATAATACAACTATTCTAAATTAAATTAATAATGAGACTAGTTAGTTTCCTGTCTATCCTACATTAATTGTTAACTTTAGACGAAAATAAACTTATTAATTAATATAATTGTATTGATTAATTGTATCTGGTAAAGTTATTAAAAGTAAAGTAAGGTAAAGTGTTAAAACCAAGGCCAAGTAAATGATACAAAACATTGACCTTGACAATTATATTATTTATGTCATATAGTGATCTTTCACTATATGTATCTGCATGATACAATAGATATTAAATAAATTTAATAAAAATGATATAATAGTTTGTATGCTATACTCGATCTATGAGTATTTGAAGGAATTCATAATGTAAGGTAAGCACTTATAACAAAATAAGTATAAATCAGCTTAAATGATGTCCCTCTTTTGCGTGTTTCCGAGTAGTGCCTGCAAAAATAAACAAACATTAGAGAATTGCTGCTAATCTTTGTCCGTATAAAAGAGGTATCGTAAGCTGCAGTTACAAAACTCGACTTTGTATGTCACTAACGTTAACATGTTAATTACAATTTTTTTCGTTAAATATTTGATAATTGGTTCATAATTATATTTTAATTTATGAATAAATAAATACCTTGTTCACGAAGTTAACAATAGCCGTCGCCGGCTGTTCTGGCTCAAGTTCAGCGAATACATGGCACTGGTTGTCCGCCCCCAACGACGTTCGCGCCACGAAAGCAAAGATGCGTCTGCGGCAAAATATTATGATAATATATTAACATGCTTTTAAATATTGCCAATTTATCAGAAGCATAAATATTACTATAATGTTTTCTTTTGACAGCAAGTGCCGTTAAAACACTGAAAAATTTCCTATGACTATCAAATGTTTCTTAGATTCTTGCGTTTATTACATTTCACATGACATATAATGACATGCGGTTAGTTTAGAATTATTTAAAATGTTTTATGTCGTTATAAGATTAATTAAATAAATAATTTATTTATGACGGCAATATTTTACGACACATTGTCCGTAAATTGTCAACTATTTAAAGTTGCCTTTTTATATTTTTGGTGTGATTAATAACACTGTCGATACAAAACAAACAAATACGTATTAATTGGGAGCGAAAGCTCAAAATGCATCGTGAATCGCATTGAATACGAACTTTTCGGTGTGGTTGTTGGCGTCGTCTCGGTGCGTGTAGCGCCGCTCGTCGGGGTCGAGGCCGGCGTAGGAGAGCGCGGCGGCGGGGTAGTGGCGGCGGAAGAACAGCTTGCGCGCAGAGTCCGTCAGCGTGATGCCGCCGCCGAACACCTTCAGGTGCACCACGTGCGCCGCGCACTGTACGCCAGTTCTTGCTCTCACTCATTCGCATTTAGGTTCTTTTTATGTAAGACGATAGCAAGCGAGCTGGCGTTTCACTTAATGTTAAGCGATAATCGCCGCCCGTTGACATTTGCAACACCCGTAGGGTGGAAGATACGTTGCCACCTTCCAATAAAGTGGGCCTCGATTACCTCACTCACCGGACAAAACGCAGGATATACTCCTTAACACTTCCACTTCACGCCGGTCTTATGTAATGTCCTGGTCTTGTCTGAACTTACCCTACTTATTCGTGCAACAGCAAAGACTGTGTGGCCTTACAACAGCACTTTATTACTTGTTTGTAACTTTTGTTGTACTTTGTTTGTGTACTTGTTTTTCAAACCATTTTAAATACAATTGTAAGTAAGATATGTCTAAAATTGTTTCAATTCTAAGTCCTGATTAAATAAATAATAACCAGTGAAGACAACATCTACAGTAGAGTCGGCACCAAATTAATGCGGCGTATTTTTTTAATATGTATGGCGAAGGTCATTATAATGGCCAAAGTGTATTTGAATATTTTTTCCCGAGGGATCGGTTTGGCATGTAATGTGATTTGACATAGATCCCTGCTTGGGCGAGTTTGGGTCATTGGGAGATTGGAATTTATTAATGGAATGGAGTTAAGAATGTCTCCCGAATGAAGTGTATTGCAATACTCTTCCCGAGGTTTAAGTCTATTCTCCATTTGTGAAAAGAGTCACCGAGGTCTTGGGCTACGTTTTGGAGACAAAGAATCATTTGGCCAAGGTGTTTGTCCGAATAAAAGAGAGCAGAGTCGTCCGCATAAGCGCGAGATCAATGATGAGTCTTTAGGGATGTCTCTCGCGTAGAGCGAAAAGAGCAAGGGAGAATATGATCCCCCAGGAATAAAAAAGTATGCCAATATATTTCTATTTGATTGATACGTTCTGCAGAGAAATCATCAACAAATTTTGCAAGAAAGTAACGTGAGTTGTGCAATTGGAACACTAATGTAGGTATATCTGGTATCCTTGTCACTACATTAAATAAATGTTTTGTACCTTTTTCTGTAACACATTTTGAACAGCGCGTTTGACGGCGGCTGGCCCAGTTAGAGCCTCGGTGTTCTCCGAGCCGAGAAGCAGCACGTGGCAGGCGGCGCCCGTGGCCAGGAGCGCGCGGGCTGCTGCGTTCACACTGCCGCCCGGCCAGGGGTCCCTGCAAGGTGGTCACATCGTTCAAACAACCAACTTACGCTTTCAAGGAAAGCTAATAAATGTTTTAAATGTGTGTAAGCATCACTAAAGAACTCTTTTACGGCCGGTTTCAATATTATATCTACAAATAGATTTTGGTTACTGGAGATAGAATTTTGACGTACATATTATGAAGCTATGTGTCAAATACATATCACTAGTAACCAAATTTACCTTCTGTAGATAGAATATTGAAACAAACTGTTAGTGGATAACGGTATTTAACGAGTTAAAATTTTTTGTCAAGAGAGTACGTTACTTAACAGTAAACAAATATGATAGAAAGGAAGTAAATCGATAAACTCGAACCTTAAATGGTGGTAATTATTGTTAATGACAGTCAACGCGAGTACACACACAGTATTTTCAATCAAATTTTGATTCACCCAACAAAATTATTCTTCATGAAATAGTTTAACGACCACCGGCTATAAACAGTATCCCACGAGACAAATCTGTACACGGAGCATCTCTATAGGAGACTTCGTTAAAACGAATTGCGCCAATGCGACGCGAAGAACAAACACGTACAAAAACCCAGTACAAAAATAGTTTCTTTTTATGTGAAAAGTTGCCAAGCGAGCAGGCAACTGAGGTGAACCGCCACCTGATGTTAAGTGAATACCGCGCCCCATGGACATCTTCTACACCCGAGGGTTGCAGGTGCGTTGACAACCTTTTGAAAATTGGGCTCCGGCTACCTCACTCACCAGACGAAACGCGAAAGTATTATACTTCCACTTGACGCCGGTCTTCTGTGAGGTCTTGGTATTTACCCGGACGAGCCTGCCCATTCGTGCAACAGCCGAGGCTGCTGCCTGGCCCTATCACCGTAGTTGCACGTGGAACACTAGCGTTGGCTTGGGCTCACCTGTCGGGCAGCCGGAGGGGCACCGGCAGCGCCAGCGGCGTGACCGTGTGCTGGTACACGAGGGCGGAGAGCGAGCTGAAGACGGGCTCGTCGGGGCAGCCGCGCAGCCGCACCCCGCGCGCCGCCGGCTCCACGAGGAAGTGGCGAACGGCCCCCGCGCCCCCTGCCCCGCCCCCGCCCGCCCGCACCGCCAGCCCGAACGCACCCGGGAACGAGTTCGAGTCGCGCACGATGAAAGCGCCCTCCTCCAGGTGCTGCAGCGCCGCTATCGCTGCGGGCGCACGTTTTTTGTTACACACACTGTCCGTTGACTAACACTCGCAGATGTCACGTTTCGCTTAGATTGACTACTACCCTATATGATAGCTTAATACGAAGCGCTGCCACTGCTGCAGTAATTGCATTTTTCACTGCACTGAGAAACACTTCGAGCACTGCCTAATTTTAGCTAACATAACTCTTGGTAAACAGTTTTACAGTACTTAAAAACTTATTTTAGGTTAAGATTATCGATCTTCGTTCATGATCAACATTATCATGTTAATTTTTAAAAGCCCACTACTGCAGATAGGCCGTCCAGCCGGTGATGGCCGGCCTATCTGCAGTATATATATAGCATAGCTCAATGAGATTCAACAATTTCTATAATCCAGCAACCTAAGTTCCAAAACCGGTACCAACACCAATGAAATTGTTCATAGTAATTTCTAGTGCTGACTTAGCGCTTAAAGAAAACATCGTGAAGAAACTGCAGTTTTCGAAATAATAAAAAATGTATCTCTAAGATATGTTAAGTCCGCCAATCCGCAGTGGGGATCCATGGTGAAAAACGCTCTAAGTCGAGCAGTGGAAAGTACATAGGCTAGGATATAGGCATATAAGTATCTAGGCATTACTACACCACGCTTTTTTTCTATGACTTTCACGCACCCTGTCCTTAATACTGGCCACGCCACACAAAAATCTTTATAGTGCTATCAGTTTATCTTATTCGAACACCTCGCGATAGAAATGCAAAATGACAACGAGTAATCAAATGGGTAAAACGGGCAAATTGGTACGTACCGTCATCGCGGGAGATGTTGGGCTTGTACCAGTAGTGGCTGGTGTCGCGCGCGAACCGTACCCGGTCCGGCGCCACGTGCTGCGGCTCCGAGCCGGCGCTGCCGCGGCGCTGGCCGGTGCCCAAGCTGCCCACGCCGTTATAAGTGCGGTACTCCGATTCTGGGCTGCTCTCGCGCTCCTTTCTGCACGGCGAACAGACAAGCATGGATGTGCAATTACGTAAAGAACGGCTTCAACCTTACAGCACCAAATGAATGTATCATACAAATTGCACGGTACGTACATAGGTTGTTCCGAAATGTTTTGCTCGTTATCTTTTTCTGCATTTGTAAAAAAGAGAATGGTGGTTTTGAAGTAAGTCTCACTGGAATAAAACCTTTATAAATAAAAAGTATCCAGGTCGACTGCCAACTGCAATTATCCATGAAGAAACCATCAGGCTTGATGGGCTATCAATCGGGAGTAGAGAAAATCTTATTTCAAAAGATTAAGGAGGGTTATTTTAATGTTCAAGGTAAGAGGAGCAATAATCCTTTTTAGATTGGTGCAAGTTTAAATTAGATCAATTTGAAGGACTTCAGAACAAGTATTCAATACCCTGACTACCAATAAATTTTGGATTTACAGATATTATTGATCTAGGAGTAATCTACAAAATTGGTGTCTGAAAAAGTCTTCACACAGCTCAGTAGTGAAGAAATTGAATCAATGGAAGAAAACGCATCCAAGAACACCTCAGATTTTTGAACACAAACACAAATACGAAGATACGATTTGTTTTTCTTCAAAACCTATAAAATACCTGACTTCTGAGGGGCTATTAACGAACTCAGCGATGTTTTCGAAGACCTCAACACGTCGCATATCATGTCTATTCGAGTCTTTTGTTAAGAATAAATAGATTGTGGTCTTATTGCAATTATTTTATGATTTGCGTCAATTTCTGGAACAACCCAAGTAGCAAGTATATTTGATCGAGCAGGCGTAAATAATGATGCACAGATTATTATACCAAATGTGACCACAAAAGACAGGCTATAAAAAAGTTGAATAGTTCTGGAAATGATTTATTTTAGATGCCCACACTTTACTCACCTTACCATGCTCGAAATAAATCAATTTGTACTATATAAAAGTGGAAGTCCGGTAAATGCCAATAAAAGTTAACATGCTATATATGAATCAAATAAGATATTAATATAAGCAGGCAGAAAGGTAAAAAGTAAAATAAAATTTGTAAGGTTAAATTATTGTATAATAAAATTAAGTAAAATATGAGAATCAAACAAGCGTGTAATTATTGTGACAGAAAGGGAAAAGTGCATATCGTCACACAAAACAAAACAATTTTATTTTTAAACTGAATATAATAAACGTTATAAGTATTATTTACATAATTTTCAAGTGAACATTTTAATTATTCCTTAAAACTTACATGTGTAGAATTGTCTTAAATGGTTGCGTAACGTGGGTCCTGATGCAAAAAAAAAATATAAAAAGCTGAGACGCCTATGAAATGAAATATCAGAGGAAAAGTAACGATTTAAGTCTGTCAAAAAAAGCGTTAAACGATTCGTGGAACTTGAATAAGCATTAATATAATGCCAAATAAAAGATATTCATGCTACAAATTGACTTACTGGCTGGCATCTATGCGGAATGGAAAGTTAATTTTCAAAAAATAAAATGTTATTATATTATCTTAAAGCGATTATGAAGTTGTTAGCGATACTTAAATCTAAACCTATTGAGACACTCCATTTTTTGTACAGTAATTCAGTGAATAACTTAATTTTAATGGAAATTTACGTGTACCTATTCTAAGTCGGGTTATAAGTTCTGTCACATATTTATTGTGATATAATTGACATATATGTGAATACAGTAACCATTTACAGAACCAGTAACAAAAGGAACTTACTACTTCTTAAAAGAGTCACAGGTATTATGTGACAAAACTTATGACTCGACTAGGTATATGTATACTTGTTTGTTCGATTAATACTTAATAAAATAAATTAAATAATAAAACAATGACGTAGCTCGTACACACCATTTAATTTGTAAAGGTGTTTATAATAAAAGTGAATATATGCCAACTACTGCGGGAGTTGGAAATTGGAGTAGGTACCTGGTGACGGGCGGCGAGCGCGGCGGTCTGGCGTTGGAGGTGGGCGTGGGCGTGGGAGTGGGCGTGGGCGTGGGCGGGTAGGGCGTGCGCGGGTGCGTGGGAAAGGCCGGCGTGCCCGCGCGGGACTCCGCTCGAGATTCGTTACGGGACTCAGTGCGCGACCAGCTCTCCGACCTTTCTCGGCTCTGTAATTTATTTACCTAATCTTGACATATGTATAGACATTTAGCTAGAAAGTTTTTGATTGCAAAATTCTTTTCGAGAATTGCGTAAAATTCTTTCTTTTATTCATTATTGATAGACATGGTGAGTATGAGCTTCAATTCTTTTATTTCATTACAGAATATCCACAACAAGGCAAGAGCACTTTTAATCAAATGATAAGTTTTTTCCATGAGGCAGCATAGCGTGGCCAGGTTTAACCAGTATTATATCAGAAGCTATTGATTTTGTACTACCGTTCCCAGTAGATGGCACTGTTTGACAGCAGCAACTACGATCTACAAACGATAATAACAACAATATGAAGTTCTAAATACAATTCATACTAGAATATTAAATCAGTCTGTCTCATTACAAATCAATAATTAATACGCAATATGATATATAAGAATATAATACATTATTACCATAGTATCGTGGTTAATAGGCTCCGCAAGCGACAGTAATCCGGGCGTCAGGGTGCTCGTAGGCGTGGTGCTTGCACTCCATTCGCGCATCGTCATCTTTTCATACATGAACTTTTTAGACGAGGTTCTGAAAAAGAACATTAAAAATTACTTATTAAATATGGTACGTACATTAAATTATTAAAAATACTACATCAACATATACAGGGAGACTTACGTATACGACGCATTTATGAATGACTACCGCATTGTCAACAAGTTCTATTTTTTAGGGAATGGAATGGCAATTTTTTGAAAAAAAAGTTTGTTTTTATTTTTATAAACGATTATACTAACGCCCTGTATAATTGGTTAAGTAACTAACAGTTTCTCTGTTAGTTTAATTATACAGGTTTATTTTATCAACTGAATCCTTTCGATTTGTTGTTGCTATTTATAATAATGCTTTGCCTTTGAAATTGATTACCTATGTTTAACTTATTAACATTTTGGTACCTGTCTGGAGCTTGAGGGCTGACACTGTCAGTCCTAAGAGGCGTGCGCGTGTTCACGTGTAGAGGTACGGTGAAGTCTTCATCATCATCGGCGAAGGCTGTTGTGTCACTTGTGTATCCATCCACACTGAAGTTAAATGAAGAAAAGTGAAGTTTAACAAACACTAAAATTATTATATAATAATGTTGAAATTATTATAAATAACCATTTTATATAAAACGTATAAAGAATTAACGAGATTAGGTCACAGAACTTTAATAATGTGAATATTGAAAAAAATGGTATAGATCTTCGATATAGAATGGTGGGGACCTCCTACCCTAATTTGATTACAAATGCGAGATGTTAACGTAAAAGTATAATAAATCCAAAATGGCTGATTATTGCATTTTTTTTATGTTAAAAGTTGCCAAGCGAGCAGGTGGTTCACCTGATCGTAAGTGAAAGAACCAGACGAAACGCGAAAGTATTATACTTCCACTTTACGCCGGTCTTCTGTGAGGTCGTGGTACTTACCCGGACGAGCTTGCCCATTCGTGTAACAGCCGAGGCTGCTGCGTGGCCTTACCACCGTTAAAAGCATTAGATGCACCGTTAGATGCATTCCACTGGACGTAGAACTTATTGCGATTGTGTGTCTGATAATGTTAATTTCACTATCACCTTACTTTTACTTACGTTACGTTTACTGTGGTAGGGCTACGCAACAGGTCACGCACGAATGGGCTGGTCCGTCCGGGTAAGTACCACGACCTCATAGAAGACCAGCGTAAAGTAAGATGTGTTACACTGCTGCGTTTCGTCTAGTGAGTGAAGAGCCGGGGCCCACTTTATTTAAAGGTGGGAACGCACTTGGAACCCTAGGGGTGTTGCAAATGTCCGTGGGCGGCGGTAATTAACTAACATCAGGTGAACCGTCAGCTCGTTTGCCACTTTTTCACATTAAAAAAAAACTAAATTCATTAAAATTAGAATTTGCAAAAATAATACATAAACACAAATCATAAATGTGGCAAATTAAATTACCGGTGGCTGGCAGAGCGGCGCACATGTCGGGAAGACGTAGTATCCCACTCGAGCGGTAGTCGAGCGACTCTTTCCCTTGCTTCTTTCCTTTCGCGAAGCTTCTGCTGTTGCCTCTGCAGCCAAGTGAGACCTGAACTTCCTTCGGCGCTGCTCTCCGACCTTCGAGATTCTCGCCCTCGGGAGCTCTCGGGCCAGCCCAGGGTGCTGGTCGATTGCCATGTCCCATTCTCTGGTGTCGCCTTCCTTGCACTGCTTGGAGGCCTCTCTATCCATTCCGCGTCACCGTTCTGCCATCTGATAACGACAGTTTACAAATTGCTATTATTTCTCGAAAGCAGAAACCTTGCTGTAAATCGATAATAGTATAACGAAATATTGTTTGAAGTTTGGAAACTACTAATTTAAAAAGTTATTAATTTTGGAGTTAAGATGTTTCTAAAATATATAAATACGACCTTAAGGTTAAGCTTCCAGTAAAGGAACCTATTGAGACAAGCTTGATTGTTTTGAACTCAATGTATTTTTAAAATTAGGTTTCTGAATGTTGTAGAAGTATAAAATTACAATTTTGCCCGTTCACGATAGTTGACATCAATATCTGATCCTATATATAAAGCTGACTATTATCACATTTAAATATTTTTACTCCCAGTACTTCTTTAAAGTAAAGATATTTAAAATTAACCCTTCAATTTGCCGTTTTATTCTATAGTTATCTTTAAAAAAATATTTTCGCAATAGAAAAAAACAACGACTTCGGCTTAACACATGACAATGAGGAGTTCGTATAGAAAACGCGGATCGACTCAATACTAGTCGTTGACCAGACAGTTTTTGGTGTCGCGTGGGTAACGGCGATTAAAAAAGTAAGTGCTTAAGCCACTGCCATATTTGTGCAGTCCATTAGTGAAATAACTAAGTATCAATTGTATAACTAGGCAAATAATCGTCTCAACTGTAAAGATGATGTTCGCGTAATGTGTGGCGTATATTCGGTGAATTTATTAGAAAGTAGGTACACTGTGTTACAGAGGTTCCTTGTGGGCAAGGCGCCGCGGCGTCGCTCGGCGGCCGCGCGACCGTTTATGGCGATGTTTATCTCGAAATAGCAACCCGTTTGGTTCGCCGCGGTGGCAATCGCACGCAATCTCACCAAATCAAAATTGCATGTTCGCCTCATAGAACGCCAGATAGATTTATGACCTCTGTTCGTGCAATAAATTGTGCATTGATAGCATATGGCACACCAGAAGGCAAAAACGGTGGAAAATGTTATACTTATACGCACCTGTACATACTTAAATTGTTATAGACCTGTAGTAATATGCATTTCATTTCCACCACCATGCGGTCCTCAAAATGCAAGATAATTCCTTAAAATTTCATAGGACTTAAATATAATCGAATCGATGAAATATAATCGATCGAAGGACTTAAATATAAATCATTTTCAGACCCAAAAACTAAAATGTGCAAATACTAATGGTACGGTGCATGTGTAATAACAAGATAGGTAAGTTAGGGAAATGTTCAATTCGTACCTATATTATTACACAGTTGATAATAAAGTCAAAACAATACATGATAATTATATTCAGAAACTGGCCGTAAACCTAAATTGCGATACGCTCTTGTTTGTCTTTGCTTTAATTTTAAAGATTCTGCTGTCATTACATGTGTTTTTTTACGAAACCAATTACATACTTTCCCGGTTGTATCAAAAAGCAAAGTCACGTAGAGGTATAAGGGATGGCAAAACTACCGTATAAAAAACTACAATGGCATCTGCTCGATCTTCAAACCATTCATCCTATTAAATTACTAGTTAATAGTGGGTGTCAAACTGATTTAAGTACATATCGTATTATACTGTCAAAAGTTTTATGTTCAACATTACTTTCATTAATAATTTTGGATATTCAATAATTTCTCCTATTCAGATAAAAAGGTATTAAAATAATAAATTCTTCGTAACAAAAACATAATCGACTATATCGTATCAAAAAGAAAGTAACCCAAAACAAATACAGGCATCTTTTACTGTTGCAGAGCGACGAGCACTAATGTAACCTATTAAACTTTTTCGCAAAGCTCACGGGGCGATAGAGCACGTAGGTTCGTTATTCAAAGAGACGCTTTGTGAGCCATCACTCAGTAGGCGCCTGATAAATAATTCGTAGTAGACAGTTTATAGTACCGCACGTGCGGTCGTGGTTAATATCGAGGATTGAGCGGCCGCCGCGTCGCCACTCACCCACGCCTTCACCGAACCTTCGCTTATATTAACCATACTATTGAATCCTAAAGAGCTTCCATCGATCAGTCAAACATAGATTTTATTTAAAAATACGACAGAGTCGCGCACTAAATGAATATAAACATTGCGTAACACATGCCTAATGAGGTACCAGGTATCTTAGCCGTACTTTGCCTTTAAGATTAAGATACTAATGTGGATTCAAATATTTCACTTTATAATATTTTTTTTATTATAAAGTGAAATTATTTTTTCCTTATATAAATTTTTGCTGTGGCTTTTTTAGATTATTATACAGCATTAAGTAACTAAAAAGCATTTTCAAGTCCACAAAGGTCGACATTGACAAAGATGCCTTAGACGGAGAGTTTGTTGCCATTATCAATAAATAACTGCCCTTGAAAATGTTTTATGTGTATTTAAAGTGTACGTGACATAAGAATGGGTAAGGCAAGTTTTTCTTTACATTCCTTTATTGTTTTTGTCCCGTTTTTATGCTGTTCAATCGACACCTACAAGTCATCCCACGTATCAATCACACATCAAGTCAATTAACAATACGACGGACGTGCGTTTTAATGTTGTAAATACTTGCCTTGTCTATTTTCGTCTAACAAGAGTTATTGGCTAATAGAGGGCAGTGCGGTAGTACATTGCGAGAACAGACCATAAGTTGACAAAGGGAACTCGTTGTTGAGTGGACGGATTGGTTATGGTACACTTTATTGCCCTTCTTCATTGAGAGCGAAGTGGGTCAGGCGGAACGCGGCTAAATAAATTAATCTGGCGACCACAGAGTAGCTATAGCTGAGCATGTTAAGGAGTATTTCAGTCTTAACTAATATGTCAAACATTTATTATAGTATAAATAAAATAAGATTAAGTTTTGAATTTTTCTTTACATAAAAACTTTTGTTATTATATTAATATAATGAAGAAAGATCAGTTAGTGCGATTTAAAAGGTGAATTTTTTTAAATGAATTGACAAAAACTTTCTGCGCTGCGGGATTCGAACCGGCTTGACGATACAACAACAAGACGCAAGTTATGTTCATTTACCAGCAAAAATTCAAATGTTAAGTTTCATCAATACTACAAATGAATCCTAAAACTAGGGTGATTTAGTCTAAACAACTATTATACAGTAGCGAGCCTTATAGAGGAGCTTTTTATGTTTGAAGTTCTATCATTAGTACTAGGCAGCTGAACTGATTTCAATGAATGACTGTTTATTAGATTCGTCATTATTGGTCAAGTGTCATGGTATTAATGTAATAAAAATCAAAATGGTGTACTATTGGCGCAATGATGTACTTATCAAAAAGAAACGTACCATACTCGGCTTATTTAGTTGTTTTAAATGTTTTAATGGTAAAGACAAATAATTTCAATGTTTTCAACTTAGGCAGACATTTCGACGTTGATACAAAAATGTATGTTTTTAAATGATAATTTGGTAAAACATTTAATACTATATTGGTATTTCAATTATTATTATTATACTGTTGTTGAAAACCTTTTTTATTCTAAATATATGGCTTGTAAATGTAAACAAACCGCAAAGCACTAGCGTAGGTGGCGTGTAACCTCGACGCCTCCAGTATTGGACCACATGTTTACATCTGTCGCTCTGTTTTCCCTTCTTTTAATTACAGAGATTTATTACTAAAACGGGCTAGGTGACGACAAATGATACCTTCCCTAGCTTTTTCCTATTCAAAATAGTTTCAATAAACAGTGGCATTTGATTTTGGTTTATACATTCACATCGCAAAATTAAACAGCTGCTGTGCATAAATAGCGAAACTAAATGACTAATCTTACAATCTTTTACTTTCGTTGTAGTTGCTAATTGAAGTTATATATAATATAGACAGATATAAGAGGCAGAAATTACTTTGAGGAAGAGAATTTTTGAAATCATTTAATTTTACGATACTTTTTTGAGCCATATAATAATAGTCGTCTGCTCGAAAAAGCGATATTTTATTACCTACCAGATTATTAATTCGTTTTCTAAGTTTCACTGTGCAATGATATTTTCAAATACAATTAAAGATTCAACAAGTATTTGTCAGTTTGAATCTCTTTTTGTTATCGCCTACTTACCTTCCGTTCTGCTGCGGCGAGGAGTTGCGTGGTGTCGCCGAGGTGGTGGTGATCGTTTGTTCGTGGATGAATTTGCGGAGGTTGCGCGGCGAGAGGGGCGTGCGCGGCGAGGGCGGGTCGGGGGTGACGGTGCGCTCGTCGTCGTCGTCCTCTATGGGTCGGTAGGGGCGGTCGGGGCCGAGCGCGCGGCGCACCAGCTCGGGGCTGGCGAGGCGGTTGGAGGCGCGCAGCATGCCGGGGCGGAGGCCGGGCGCGCCGTACGTGAAGGGTGCCGAGTCAGCGCGCGCGTGGTACGGTATGTCGGGCGCGCGGTCGGCGTTCGACTGCGACGGCGCGCCCACCGCTGGCGGCGGATCCGGCAGCGCGCTCACCGTGCGCAACATGTCGCCGAGCAGCGCGTCGAGCTCGTCGGGCGGGCTGGGCGCCGCGCGGCGGCCCGCCGACGAGATCCCAGAGTCCATGGAGGCGCTGAGCGGCGACGAGGGCCCGCCGCCCGGCCGCACCACCGTCGCGTAGATGGAACCGTCGAGCGGCCCGAACGTGTGCGCCCCCTCCGCCCCCTCGCCCGCCTCGCCGCCCGAACCCGAGCCCTCGGCGCTGCCGTTGTTCTCACCTGCACCGAAACGCGCTCATTTCTACGGGTGCTGGTTCACCAGACGCTAAGCGGTTGTAACAGTGAAACTGGTGTGTTGCCAACTTTGAAGAGTGTGGCCCTACAGTCAGGTACACCAAACGAAACGCAATAGTATATATACTTTTAATTTACGCCAACTTTACTGTTAGACCGTGGCAGTCGAGTTAGTCCATTGCAGCAACGCATACTGCTGGCCCCTTCCACATTGAACTGTTAGGTACATAAACTACTGCGCATGTTGTTCGAGAAAAAAAACACCACACAACAGTCGACCGACTATTTTGGCCGTCACTCTCGACGTATCGATTGAGTAAATCGGATAACTCGTTTGTCCCAGTTTCGCTTTTAGATGATGTGTCGTTTTGATGCAAGCAAGCGCCTTAAGCAACAGTTTAATTACGAATAGCTTTTAGATTGGATTCATTAAACTTGCCTGCTCTGTTCGAACAATGGCCAACGAGTGCTTTTATAAAACAAGATATAGCATTGAGCTGGCGAAAGACTGTACCTAATTACAATTAGCTTGCGCCGCCTATTCACATACTTATAATCGTACTCGCGCAAGATGGGAAGACTAGCAAGGAAATGTACTATTCATTAACTGTTTATTCAGCGCATTCAGTGGCGCGCAGTTACAAGTGGACCATGGGCCGTGGCCTGACCACATCCGTAAAAGGGCTAAGTTCGCTTCCCGTTACCCGTATCCCGGTTGTCACCGTTGTTTGACGGTATGTGAGATCGTCCTTTTTAGTTAGAAAATAGCGCAATGGTTTTATTAAGTACAGAGCCATGGAGGTAAGAAACGTGATTGTTTTCTAGATAACGTTCATATTTTGTAAGAACTCATTTTTTCTTCATTTCAAAGTTTATAAATTGAAATAGCGATAATTCTATTATTTCATTTTAACAAAACCTTCGATCATATGTTTTTCTATTTTATATTTCTCTTTTTTTCTTTCATATTTTAGATTACGGAAAACAGTTGAGTAAAACTTGAAATCGACCTATATAGCAAAATTTTCTGTATGTAAATCGGAGAAGTGACTTTTTTACTTTTTTTAAGGTCCACGAAAGATTTTTATATTATAAAAAAAAGAACGAAGTCTGCCCGGACAGCTAGTATTTAATAAAGTTCTACTAGTTATCCATAAATACGAAGTATGGATCAAATAAAAAGCGATCAGTGTGTCAAGCGTCTATAGTTTCGTAAGAAACCTGAACGCGATGTTGTCAATAACGCAATTAGCGTAAAGTTATCAACGTCTGCGTCCGCTTGCAGACGACCTGTTAAATAAAAGCGGTTTATTTCTGTGTTGTCAACCGAAATAACGCAGGTTCGGCGGTGGGGCGACTGTTGTTACGAAATACAGCAACGTCGCAGGAAGAGGATGTATGCCCCGCGACAGCCCTGCCTCTAGTGCAATCTTACGCGCCATCTGCTACTAATTGGTGAGAAATAGTTTTCGTGACTTCAAATGAATAAATCCAATTAGTACAGAGACGCGTTTATAAATAGATTCGGGAGCCGTCTACGATCCGAGGCAAAAGCGCTAACAGTTATTCCGAAGTAGTACAAAAATTTCATCGCGAACCCAAAAAAACCCAAAACCGTCTAAAATAAGACAAATATAAAATTAAAAATAAATTGACACACACTTCTTAATTGGTGCATTAACTAAGTATTTTTGTGAAAACATATAAATTAACAGATTTAAAATACTGGTAATTAAGAGAAACATTCTAAATTGCAAATTAATGTAACACTCGTTTATCACTGCGATAAAAGGCATGTGGCGTGGCGTTGCGGGCGCTCTAACAATTTGGGGGCCAATTCTGTCGTTTATTCACGAAACTTGGACTTGAAACGACTTGATACAATCGCGGGCAGATAGTCGGCATGAAGGTGAGCGCGTATACGTGTCGGGACCATGATGTCATCGAGCCGCTACACCTTGTTTCTACGAACCTCTAAGCTCCATAAATTATTATTACCGTGCGTTGCTCTCCACGCTATCTTCGTTCGTTAGCGTGTTCAGCTTCAAATTGCAACCCGTTTTGGTCTTTTACATTTTTGCACATATTTGAATAATAACGACTCTGTCAGCCCGCGCTTCGTATATTTTAAACCGAATCACGATATATTATGAGCGTGTTTCGAATAAAAAATGCTTAAAGAATAGCTTCGATCAAAGGGATTCTTAGAATGACAATGGCCTGAATTAGAAGAATCTTTTTAGTGTACACAAGGAATTTAGAAAGGTGATGTCGTTAAGAAAATCATAAATTATGGACTTGCCGCATAACGCAACCAAATGACCGATAACAAAAAATACTTTTGTAAGCAGATCAATTTTGTTGATACGAACATAGAATTGAGACTTAAATGTCTCAATTCTATGTTATATGATATCATAAAATGTTTTTTACCCTTTACGTGTTAGTTTCGTTTTGAGTACAAAACACTGCATCTCCGGTTCCAGAAGAGACTGTTTGGGAGGTGTAACCTGAACTTTTAATAAACATCAACACGACACTGGGTGTTAAGCACACGTGTATCACAAGGGCACTCGACTTGTTGACTGTCGTGAAACTGCAACCACTACCGATAAACAACGCATACAGGCTACAATCTTAGCGTTCAGTGAATGAACGCATGTTACTTTCATTACATAATTTATTGCGAGGACGGAGATATTATTTGTCAGCAGCGGGATACTTTGCAGGTATTTGAATCGTGGAGTGGACGGACTGGTTTCGCATGCAACAAGTAAAGATAAAAGGCGATAAAATATTGACGTTGAAACTGAAGAAGTGAATCCTCGGTTTTATCTTGATAAGAATGCACGCATTATACTAAACACACATACAAAACATTATATAATGACGTCTATACTTGAAAAAGAAAGTAGATACTAAATCGACAAATCTAATAAGAATACACCATCGAAATCGGTGAAGTGAATTAATCAAGGCTTGACCGTAACGGCTTGGGCCACATAAAATTCACATTAAAGCCGCCGCTGGTCACGGTCCATTCGTTTCGAGGTGGAGCGTGTCCGATGAGTAACGGGCAACGAAGGGGGCGCCGGTGACATCCGTCAGCGATTCTCCACGCTTCTCAATTAGACCAACACCGTGGCGCCGATGAACCGTCCCACCATTACCCGTAATAAGTACCAATTGATGTACCACACCCGTACATAAATCAAATCAAAAAATGCCGACTGGTGTTGTCAATTAATAATACCAAATAACGAAAATTCGGCCGAAACATTGACGTCGAACGCGCCGGTTATTACATTGGGGAATCGGTGACGCTCCACTTACCGACACCAACGTTTTCGATTGCGACGGAGAGGTCGGAAGCTCACGGTGGGGGCTCCGTGCCATCCATATTGTTCGAACGTTCCTATCACTGGCGGCTTATCACTGCGAAATTCGATTACGATATGCGGCCAAGAGCGTCGCGACTGGGCGGGCGGCTGTCGGGCGGCCTGCCGCTTACTAAAATAGCCCAGCACCTGCAGCGCCGCGGGTAGCCGGACCAGCGCGCTAACCGCCGCTCTTTCCACTACTAACGTGACACATATCTTCTCACCACGACGCTATCGACTCCGGCGCGTGTCGCTATGAGTGATTCTCAACTTTAACAGTACTCTTTCGCAGAAATAGAAAATAATTATAATTTAAATATTGAGAGTGAGTTTTCACGTCAATAATTAATTACGTTACTTCAATTTTTAACGGCAGCTCTGCTCTTAAATATAGCAAACTTAAATATTGTATTTTCATTGTTTTTTTTTTTTTTATTTGAAGTACATTTTTGTATATATTTAAAACTTTAGTTAAGACACTTTACCTATGATACATTTTTACGTCAGAATTCCAACAATATTTTCGATTACAAGGAATTACAAATGTAATTATTTATAAAGCTTCAGGATCATAAACTTTCAGGAGGAAGCATCAATGAAAATTTGTGAAACGCCTTCTTCAGTTTTGTCGCATTCACATTCTGTTTGTAAGATTACCCGGACCGCGGTGTCAATTTTTTTTTTTCAAATTTCATAAATTTTTTTGCCCTCTAAGCTATTTTCATGATAATATACACGCGCGTATTCACAACGCATCAACCAACTAGATGACACAAACTCTATTCAGCGCGTGTGCTGCAATTTGCGCAATTTTGTAAGGCGGACCGTCGGCAGACAAAGTAGCTAAGTCGCGGATGTCGTATCCTCGCCGGCGGCGTGTCAGTGGCCACTAACCACACGTGCGATCGCCGTAAAGAGTGCTTTCCGACTAGCCGTAAACGGAAATAGACTGAAAATTACGGATGTTTGGGCGATAAAGTGGCACTTCGGTTCCGAGCTTCGCAGCAGGTTCGGCGCATTTAGATCGACACTTGTCGATTACCGACTTCCACTATCGCAATAACATAGCAACAGTGAAGTGATTATTAGTTTGGTTTTCATTGCATCGAATTGTAAAACTAAGTTTACAAGTTAATTGCGAATTGCTAAAGTACATACCATTACTACTTATTGTTATCTGTTGAAAAGTAATTTATCAAAAAGAAAGAATATTATGTTTAAACCGATCTGTTGTTTGATATAAACTTGTTGTCCTAATAGACTGAATGGTCACAAAAATTAAGCTTTTGGCTAGATTTTAATAAAGTTCACTAGTAATAAAAAAGTGTTTTGTTTCTTAACTAATATTTGAAAACTGCCTTAAGTACATCGATTAACTAATTTAAAACATAGCTGGACTATTGTAAGAATAATATAGGCATATATTAGATACTGTTCTTATTATTAGGGCAATGTATTTGTTTCTCTATTTTATCTATCTATTAAGTTCCTTTTCAATCTAAAAGACGCCGACAGTATTATTAGTCGTTATTGGTGAGCAACGATCTATTTATAAGCACATCTTATAAAGTTATCTACATCGTTATAAAATTGTAAAGCTGTATCATAATTTAAGTGCGGTTCATTCAAAGAGTTTATATTTTAGGTGCCGCTAAGGACCACATACAATTAAATTGTTTCAATGGGAGGAAGCTGTAATGTTGAATGAAATGTATTCTAAAAGCATATTGAATTGACATTTTCTTGTGCGTTTCAAGTTTAAGTTGTAACTGTAAGTGAACTACTACATTATTATATTAGGAAAAATACTAAAATTATGATGATTTCATTTGAGGTTAACTGACAAAATCTTAGCTTTTCGTGTGTTTAAATATTTCGAAGAACCGTACCTTCAACTTCTTCTGATTATTTTATTGGGAAAGGTTACGGGTGAATGCCATCGTATACAAATATTTTTAGAACTTAATTATAAATATTCTCCTTTAACGCGGCTGCATTATCTAAGGGAAACGGCACAGAATATCGACTTTCTATCTGAGGTCCTTAGTTTGAATGTCATGAAAAGTGTTCAATTATAAGTTAGGGACTGAGCGGAATATTATCTCTCCCATGTGGTGGAAAATTATCTCATAAGTGATCGACCATCTCGATGACTTAGTGGCGCAGTAGCTAAGCTGAATTTGTGTAACCCGTAAATAGGTGTTCCGAATCTGAGTTCATAGGTTGCTGGTTCAAATCCGGCTCGAAGGACCATTTTGTGGCAGGTGTAAGATTGCGGTTAGGTTAATTATAAAGTTTGAGTGATATTAAAATAGTTTATTTAGATTCCACAAAATGTTCTTAATGTTAAAATGTTATAAGTAACTTAATGTTAGGTAAAGTAGTAGTAATCGGTAATGTTAGGTGCACCCGGCCAGCACCCGATTTAGTGGTAAACCGTCATTATATTACTAATTTCTTGGCGTCGTGTAGGTACATATTATAGTGTTCAGACACAAACGAGTACATATAGTGTTCGGTTACTAAGCCCGATCAGTCTTTATTCGGGTCGACGACAGGCAAGCGGCGGGGTAAGAAAACCAAGTCAATACTATTAACGATAAGATTGATATATTGTAAAGGGCATGAGGAAGAAGATGTGATCTACCGTCATCACTTACCGGGCTCGTCGTCGGTGAGCGCCGAGAGGGGGCGCAAGTGCTCGAGCGAGTCGGCCCGCGCGAGTGCGTCGGGCGCGGCGCGCAGGGGTGCGGCGGGAGTGGGGGCGGGCGCCGCGCCGCTGCTCCCCGCACCGCGCACGAACACCAGCTCCACGGCGCCGTCACTCGGGAACGACGCGTCTGGTGGAGGAGACTCATGTACTTGGGTACTATCGGCAGCCCACTTGTACTGACGTCGATTGGGAGGCACGCGAAAGTTCGGGCTTCTGACGTCACGAGTCTCATTGTGCAAAACAAACTACGCAAATCTTAGGTTTAGGACGAAGATATTCTTGGTGGGACGAGACTTGACTAAAACCGAAAAACCTCGCCATAATTCGATAAAAGGAATAGAGCTATTATCGTCTGTTAAAGAGAATAGCAATGAGGATAGATAGTGGTGCGCTAACTATGGTAGGGCCATGTAGCAGCTTCTGGTGTTTCACGAACGGGCAGGCTCCACAGAAGACCGGCGGGAAGTAGGAGTTATACTTTCGTGTTTCGTCTGGCGAGTCAGGGGCCCAAAGAAAAAGTTCTAAGGTTGGTAACGCATCTACAACTCTTTGACCATGGACGGTGGTATTCACTTAAAATCAAGTGAACCATCTATTCCTTTTTCAACTTTTCAAATACTTTTTAGCCATTAAAAAAAGTTAAAGTTAATGGTATTATTACAATTTTAAAACTAAAACTTAAAAATATGATTGTTGAACAAAGGCGGTACGCTATTAAAATATTGTAAAAGAATAGTATAAAAGCAAAATACATGTATATTTTAAGTTATAAAATAGTACACATGCACAAATGCAATTAGATGTTTTTGTTTATAAAATTGGGTGATTCTGCAATTTCACGATTACAATATCCTTTAACTCGTATAATACCAATACCTTGCTCAAAATCGGGATTACAGAATCGCGATACGTATGTCGAACACGAAATATAACATTATCATACATTGTACAACCGTAAAAGTAAAGTAACAGCCTATACATGTCCCACTGCAGGGCAAAGGCCTCCTCTATACAGAGGGTATCAGGGCATAGTCCACCACGCGGCCCCACTGCGGATTGGCGGACTTCACATATTTCGAAAATAAATATAAATTTTTGTTATTATTTCGAAAATATGCAGGTTTCCTCACGATGTTTTCCTTCACCGCGGAGCACATGATAAGTCAGCACTTAAAGTTAAAAACTTCATTGGTGCCGGCACCGGGGATCGAACTCAGATTGCTCGAGTATATTGAATTAAAGGCGAGCGCCCGGACACTGAGCTATCACGGCTCTTTACAACCGTTACTTACTTCAATAGAATAGAATATGGATTTCTTGGTGCCCGTAGAAATGATATTTTCACTTGCTTGCTTTGCATACCAATGCGATTAAAAGTGGCAAGTTTAATGTTTATCTTAATGAGAAACACTATTTCCTAGTTATTTATTAATATTATTTAAATAAGTATCGATAAGTTAATATCATGCAATTTGTGTCTACACCACCTAATAAATAGGTTGTAGGGTAGTCCGCCTATACACAAGATGTGTATAAAAGTTAAATAAATAAACATGAGAATATTAAAACTCTAAAAAATGACGCTCTACCACTGATTTGAATGAAAAGTAACTAGAACATAATTATTAAAACCATGAGTTGAGTCTCCTATTTCCAACAATACTTGAGTTTCCGATAACAGTGTACAAAAATTACAAATAAACCTTTATACGGATATATTTTTAAAATAAAAAAAATATTACTAACGTTTAATTCAATTAAAACCTTGAAACATACTCTACCGTAATTACTTTTTAATACTCATTAGTTAGAATGGATATGACTAACGAATTAGACCTTGAATGTTGCCGTTCAGGTTAATTATTGTGCTCTAATTACCTAGAGTGAAGAGAATTTAAAATTGTATGTTTATGCTATTATGTTCCCACCAAAAGAAAAATATTTATGTATTAATGGATTAGCTTGGTTGAACACTCGTTTCGTTACAATAACAAAACTAAGATAAATCTAGTAGTCACATTTAAATTCATTTTAATAATTCAAATTAAAACTAAAATATAATTTTTAATTTCATTGGCAAAAGCATAATATCTCATTAAAATTTTCTTTGTTAAATAGTTATACGAACTGAGGGTGTAATGCCTATAGTCAACTGCCGTTAAGCTCAGTTGGCTAGTGTCCGGGCGCTTTACCCAGAATATACAGGTTCACATCACCAAAAACTTCGACAATGTATCCATTAAACTCGCCTTTACATTTTGTTAAAGAAGACAAATTTATAACATAGAAAACACGTATACGCTGTCCTGATAAAACATGGAGGTTTTGGATGGTTTTCGGAAAAAGTAAACTTGGACACAACCAGACTTCACGGCATCCATGCAAATATGCGATATATATATATATATATATATATATATATATATATATATATATATATATATAGAGAGAGAGAGAGAGAGAGAGAGCTGCGCACCATCCGCAGAGGCGTTACCGTGCGCGGCGTGGTCGAGCTGCTGCTTAGTGAGGGAGAGCGTGTGGTCGGCCACCGCGCAGGTGTGGAACTGGCAGGCGAACACGAGCTGCCGCTGGGCCGCCGCGGCCCCGCCCGCACCCGCTGGCCGCCGGTAGGCCCGCACAAGCACGTCGCCGCGCAGCGACAGCCTCCCCACTTCCACGGTCCAGCTGCCGCCGTTCACCATGTACAACCCTGTCCGTGGGGCAAAGTCAAAGTCAAAGTCAAAATTTCCTCATTCAGTATAGGCAAGCAATATACTCAAGCAAACTACGATTTACTAAACTAGACCTGACCAGAAAAGAACCAAAATTATTTTAAATCGCCGAATGCAGTTGGCAGTCCTAACCAGGATTAAGCAACACGGAGCACTGAATACTTCAACTCATCCAAGATTGGACATGTGCATTGCAACGGGCATGCAATTTCATGGTGCATTGTTAATTACATCAATGTGGTAAGAATGGGTAAGAAAAAAATATTAGACGGAAATTAAGATTCAAAACTGCTCGAATCGGATAGAGATGAGTTGAAGTAAAAAAAAGCATAATCATCTCAGGTACAGACACATTCAGTAGTAATTCATTGAAATCTTACCCGAGGTGTAAACGCAGATGAAATTCTCGTATATTTTGAGGAAGGCGATCGTCGGGGTGGAGGGGGCGGCTAGTGAGCCAGCGACGCTCACGTGCGTCAGCTGCAGCGGTGCGGCGTTTACTCGGATCTGTCCAGCCAGTAGCCCGGCGAAAGTGTCTATGTATCTGCATATGAAAAAAGAACTAGAGTACTAGTGCATATGAGTAGCACAATAAGATAAGACACGTATAAGTCCGTTCTTTTTTTTGTCAAAAGTTGTCAAGCGAGCTGGCGGTTCATCTGATGTTAAATGACTATGGTAGAGCCACGCAACAGTTTTCACTGTTGCACGAAGTACCACAACCTCGCAAGACCGACGTGAAGTGGAAGTGTTATACTTCTGTGTTTCTTCTGGTGAGTGAGTTAGGCGGGGCCCACTAAGGTGCCAACGCATCGGCACATCTAAAGCGTGTTGCAAATGTCAATGAGCGTCGGTTATCATTTAACAGCAGGTGAAACGGCCAGCTCGCTTGTCACCTTATCACATAAAAAAAGTAACACCGACACCCATAGATATCTACAACATCCGATGGCTTGCAGATGCGTTGAAAGAGCGAAAGTTTAATACTTCCACTTCACGCCGGTCTTCTGTGAGGCCGTGTTACTACCCCGGACAAGCCTGCCCATTCGTGCAACGTCAGAGTCTGTTGTGTGGCCCTATCATAATACAGTGATGTAATTCAAATCCAAATTGAAATGGTTTTAGACGACAGTTACAAGCACGAAGTAAGCGGATATAAAGGCAAGTGGGTAGAGTGAGCATGATCTTGGATAGTTGTGACTAATTCTGCGCTGAGTGACCTTTTGTTCGAAGGTAGTTGGAAGACGGGCACGCGGTCGTCGAGGTAGCGGCGCATGGCGTAGCGGTCGAGCGCGTGTTCGGGAGCTCCGCAGATGGCGGAGTAGTGCATGTACGCCGCCACCAGCACGCCTAACCTCTCGCGGTTGCCCCTGCGACACAAAAATACCAACAGTCCATAGCCGGAACTAGATACGTTTTCACTTGCTAACAATTCAGAGCTACGATTGAACGGACTTGATATCTTTGGACGAGTAATATTCATATAATGTTAATTGACATTAATTTTATAAATTTTTTGTGGTTCTTGCCCTCGCGTGTAAACGGTAAACGGTTATTTGCGTGTTCGCCGTCGATGTTTACCGTTATTTTTGCACCCAACGCAACGTGGGAGCAGTGAAGATGCTTACATAAGCCGCATCGTTAGTCTTTGATTTGTGCAGCTACTTTGCGCAGTGTCTAATAGCCCCATTCACATCATAACAGTGAACCCGTGTTGTTTTGGAGCACTTCTATTGAAGGGGCAGACAAAAATATACCTTACCATGCCAGCAGTACGGCTACATTCCTGGGGTGGGCAGCGAGCCAGCTCTCGATGTGTTTGCAAGCGGCGCAGAGGCGTTCCAGCGGCGGAGCCAGGTCCCCGGGCCAGCCCAGACTGTGCGTGCGGCCGAACACGCCGCGCGCCGTCCGACCCTCAGGGAAACCGGCGCACTCCTCACCACCGCTCACCTCAAACACCTGCAACAATCGTCCACACATCCTCTGTAATATCTCGCACACATATTGGCGATTTTACGAGGAAGATGACTCGGTGGCGCAGTTGCCAAGCTATTAGCATTGACGAAGGTTTCGATTCACACACGTCACAAACATTTGTATGACCCACCGATAATTGTTCGGGATCTGGGTGTTTATTCAAGGAAGGTCGGCCGGTGTTAAAAACCTAGCCAAATACCATTAACAATATGACTCACATATTGCAATATGATTCACATGTTCTATAGATGTAAGAGAAAGAAAAGGATGTTATACAAGACAATATTTCTAGAGCTTCTGGTGTTTTATTTTATTGCGTAATATCAAAAATTCGGTATGTTTATTCATAAAATTTTTACATGATACGATGACTCGGTAGTCTCAATTCCGAAAAGATTATTATAACTGCCTCTTATGGAATTACCGATGATTAGACGCCACGATGTACCTTTATATATACTTTTTTTAAATACCATCTTTTTATATATAATTTTATATAGCTTTTTGTGTGATACGTTCACTTATTTATGTACTGGAACCATTATTTTTTTAAGTTTTACAGTAAAAATATATTAATGCCATTTTTATTAGTCCACGGTCTTGTTTATGTAAAATACGCGTAAGATGAACGTGAATATATAACAAAGTGAACGAATTAATAATGAACAAAATAAATTTAAATAATATTTTTTTTATTGTTGTTGAACTCAACATGACGTAAATTGATAATTATCACAAGAAAAGTGGAATATAAGTAAATACTGTCAATGTGATTTGGCTATCCTTTAAATGGTGAGAGTAAACAGAAAAATTTAAGAGAGGCCTTTTTGTCAGTGAATTAGGTAGAGAATTAAGAGTCGGTAACTCACCATATAGTGTTCTCCGTGTTTATTGGAGAGCATATGCGCCGCCTGTGCCTCTGCGTGTGCATCTCTGTGCTGGAGGTGGAGTGCCAGCATGCGTTCCGCCACGTAGCACAGGTCCAGCCTGCTGGCGCCCGCACCACCGGGGTAACTCGCTGATCGCGCGCCCTTACACAAACAACAAGACATATTATGTACTCATTAAAAAAAAACGGCCAAGTGCGAGTCGGACTCGCGCACGAAGGGTTACGCTCCGTACTATTACCTATAAAAACGAACAAAAAATCTGTGTATGGGACTGTTATGTCTGTTGTATGGCATCTCCACATAAATATTTTTCTATTCAGTTTTTAGTACTTGTTGTTATAGCGGCAACAGAAATACATCTTATGTGAAAATTTCAACTACCTTACTATCATGGTTCATGAGATACAGCCCGACGGACGGACAAACAGACAGACGGAGGAGTCTTATTACTAAGACGGAAGGGTCCCGTTTTACCCTTTGGGTACGGAACTCTAAAAATTAGATAGCCAATATACTTACCAATTGCGAACAACATTGTGTTATAACTATCGTAGACTTGCAACACCTAATGACAATTTTATGTAAATAATAGCCAAGATGACATCTTTCGTTCGAATTATCATTGTATAACGTTATTTGAAATTGTTTGTGTGCTATTAAAGACATAACAATAGATGGCGCCAATCATACGTTTAAATACGTGCGTCGGTGTGGCCGAAGGCGTTTAGCTTACCGTCGTCAGTCCCGCGACGGTGAAAATCTTTTCGTCCATTTTTCTACTAATTTTATGTATCTACTATCATTTGTTAAACATTATTTTTTACTACTTACGTTTAATATTTTAAAGAGTATGTAACGACACCCCAGTCCGACCAATGACCATAAACGGCGTAAAGTGTTCGAATCATTGGGAGTTTTAAAAAAATGAATCGTAAGCTAGTTTTATTAAAATATGAATAATAGGTTAATATTATTATTATTAGAAAAATAGATTTAAATATAATATATTAGCATTATGTATGTATACGAGCCCCTATAGCTCAGTGTCCGGGCGCTCGCCTTTAATTCAATAGTACCTGCAGTGCCTGGTAAATCGTGTATTTCGGAAATAAAAAAAATAAAAAATAAAGAAAGACAAAAAAGAAAGAAAAAAAATAAAAAAGTAAGTCTGTAAATGATCGTGACACGAACCACGTCATATTGGAATGATATTTTTCATTCCCTGAAAACAGGGATAAAGGGACATTTTCTAAAAATAAAACCTAGCTTGATCGATTTTTCGCCCCCGAATCTATGCACATACTAAATTTCATGAAAATCGGCGGAGCATTCGTTTGTGTTGTGTTAAAATGTCCTTTTATCCCTGTTTTATATATATATATATATATATATATATATATATATTTAAAGGATAAGAACGTGATGGCCCTGATACCCTCTGTACAGAGGAGGCCTTTGCCCAGCAGTGGGACATGCATAGGCTGATACTTTAACTTTACTTAACTTATTATGTTGGATAAAGTTTGCGAACGTTCATTAAATTGCAAAACGGTTGAACGAAAATCAGATAACAGCCTATTAATAAAACAAAGTGCAACATTAATAATATTGTAATTCACTTATATTGACTCAAAGAACACTACGCTTACCGAATACCGGTGTTCGAACAACTAGTAATATTCATCAATACATTATAATATATTCTAAGAACGATTTTATCAACCCGTTACACACGATCGCCATAGAAACGTGCGTAGGTAAGGAACGTGCTCCAAACGGCTTGAGAATAAACAGAGAAAAGCTCAGCTTGCCTTTAGTACATTTGTGTCAGATCAAACACATAATGTTGTGGGCGGCGCGACATAACTCCGTGAGAGTGACACCAGAAGCGTGTAGGTGTGGAGAAAACGCGTGACGCTTTGTACTTCGACTTCGATACCTTCGACCCAGACACGTCGAAATTACTTTGGAATTACTCTTGTAGCATTAGTTGGCATTAGATTTTGTATTGAAACATCCATACTATAATATTATAAACGCGAAAGTAACTCTGTCTGTCTGTCTCGCTTTGACGCCAAAACTACTGAACCGATTTAAATGAAATTTGGTACATTGTGGACATAGGCTATTTTGGAATTGGATTTTTTTAAGGGCGCCAGGCCACCTCAAGCCCTTCGGAACTGTAAAGGCCCCTAAGGCCAACAGTGGCCCATCCAGCCCAAAAAAAAAAAAAATCGCTCAAAAAACGTCGCTTGCTTGCATGGATGGAATTTAACGAGCTGATCATAACCGATCAAAGCGCGAGAACTCCTGAATGCAGTTTCGGTTTCGGTCGTAGTTTCGGCAGGTTTGGCGCCGAAACCGAAACTAATTTTTTTGCCGAAACTCGCAACTACATAAATTATATCGAAATTCTAGTAGTACTCGCTTTTATACAGGACCTATACAAGAAACCCGAATCTTCCATTCAAAGTTTTAATTACCATCATTTGGTATCAGATATTCGAACGGTAAGCATGAGTAGTTTCTTGTCAAAATAAATAATAGTTTTTAAAAAGATTACCTTTGTAAACGAAGTAAAAAGTAGAAAATAATTTTCAATAAATCTAAATTATGAATAGTGTGATAAACAATTATTGCCGAAAAGGGCGGGGTGCTTGAAGTCAATGGCTGTAATATTTTACAAGTAAGACAGTATACAAGTATACAGCATACTGGTAAAAGCTAAAAATTATAATGGAAATATCTTAAAGAGCCGGGTATTGGATTTGGACTTGTCCTGATAGGCAATATAAACAGTATTAAGAAAAATATTAAGTGTTGAGTAAAATGCTTTTATAAGTTTATGGCAACGTTTAAAACACAGCTTCTATGGTGATGGAAGGAACTGTTGTATTGGCGTAAATACAAGAAAGTATAGAAAGATTGTGTCACAATTTTAAGTAAAGAAAAAGGTCATGTGACAAACCTGCCAAACTAGAGAACAATAAAATTAATGGCTAGCGTTCATAAACATACATGTGATTAATACCGGCTATATTTATTAAAGATTACAGCTTTTATTATCCGCGGGCTATATTACTTTTCCTCTTAATCAAAATCGACAGCTCATTTTTCATGTAAAGATGTCTGGAACACGAGTTAGTTTAGCGGTATCTCATAAATAAATCTAATATATAAAATTCTCGTGTCACGGGGTTCGAACTTGAACTCATCCGAAACGGCTCGACCGATTTTACCAAAATTTGATATGCGTATTCAGTAGGTCTGAGAATCGGCTACTATCTATTTTTCGTCCCCCTAAATGTTAAGGGGGTAGTCCACCCCTAAATTTTTTTTTATTTTTTATATAAAACTTTTTGTTTCTATTTTTTTATGACACAGCATACAAAAATACATACAACCCTAAATTTTCACCCCTCTACGCAGACGTAGTCGCGGGCAGCAGCTAGTGATTATATAAAACCAAGATGTGAGAAACACATGCGAAGCGGTTGTTCCAGCCGGTGCAAAATATAATTAGCATGGTGTGTGATATATACTCCTCGTGCATCTTACTATCTCTGAATATTTATCGCTTCTTTAATTGTCCTTGGAAACAATATTTGCCGAAACGATATGTAATGTAATGTAATATAACATATTCAGATATAATTTTGCTTTCATAAATGATACATGCTTTGCTTACATGTTCGCGTGTGTAAGCCGGAGTTCCTGGCGTAGCTGGGGCGCTCACCGCTCGAGTCTGAAACAATAAAATTATAACTTCTTAAAATGGTTACAATATTGTAATCAATGCATTACATCATCGCAAAGTGTTCTAATACTATTACTATTAGTACGCGTGTTACTAGGTCAGATACGTTATTGCGAGGAAAGTAAAAGAATATTACTGAATACATCAAGAGGAATTTTTATTAAGCTAATAATGAAGAAAATTTGTAGAAATACAAGTTTTTATTCCATTGTTATTTGAGATTCCATGTGTCATGTCTATACAATAATGCATGTTATCTAAAACGTATAGCTTAGTTTTGTCTTTCATTTTTGTTTTTTTTTGTGATATGATAATTTGATTGGCGCCATGGATTCCCGCCTCTTCAAGTATAATTTTATTCTTAAGTAAACGCAACATTAAAACAAATAATAATTTAATTGAAACTATGCCCGTCCATTTGCAAGTCGCAAAATTCGGTCATGTACCTATTTAAGTAATATTTATTTCTTTATCTATCCAATTAATACGAAAAAACCTGGACCAAACACCGGAACACGAATAAAAAAGGTTCGATTTAAAATTTGGGTACAGGTACAGGACCTTAACATTTAAGATAAGAACAAATAAAAATAGAACAGCAGAGTTGCTAATGTAAAACATTAAAAAAAATATATTAACTGTGTAAATTTTAAACACAACAAATTCAGTTTGCAATAAGATCAGTAACTAATACTGTTTTAAATCTATAACCATTAATAATATATCGTACTTTTTAATATTGTGGTAATCCATACTGAAACTGTGACAGACGCCTGTCACTTAATGCAAACGATCTTAAATTAAGAAAACAAATAAATTTCATATTATTCATTTTCTCATCATAATTATATCCCTCAATTTAAATAACAAAGCACTAAATTGATTTTATGGTGTGATATGAAATGTATATTGAGAAATTCCGGACACGTGCTCCGATGTCCAAGTCTTCAGCCTATAAAAAGTTCACCAAAGTTTTAATAAAAGCTTTTAAAATTACAAGCAAATACCGAATATATGTTAAACCACTTTCTCATAAAGTACCGCTTACACCTATCGCGATCGGATGTTGGGATAGGGCTCAATAAGGCTGATAAATGGGCCTCAAGCGGGGCGCGGCTTAAGTGATTACTGCAGCTTTAGCTAGGATTCAAGCTAATTTAACACCTCCAGCAACATTTATTAAGGTTACTAAGTATCAATTGATATCTCTCATCAAAGGCGAACCACAAAGACACGTTAGATGGTACACAAAAAAGTATTACAAGAATTAATTTTAAATTTTTTGTAGCTCGTGACAATTTTAATTTCGTTCATCTGTTAAGAAACTAAATATACTAAAAACTTCCAAGAACATTATTTGATTGGACATATAATGTAGAGAAAGTCTCTAACGCGAACCGGCTATATAGTAGCAAACTTCAGCGATATAATTTGCGGCTAATACGGTGAAAGGACTAATACAGAAAAGCATCAATTATAATAAATTTATTGAGTTTGCATATTACGTTAATATAACCTAAACTGATATATGTTTGGGGATTAAAGTATGTTAACTTTCATAAAGGAAGATCAAACTATATTGGTTATGTGAGGAGTTCCGGCGAATGTATAAAGCGCAGCAATGGGCTGAAATTGGCATCATTAAATTATGGCCACAGTCCGACGTCCGCCGCCGAGAATGCGCCCACAACACTCAGACTTGTTATTTTTGTACGGCACACTAATGACCGCCCCCTGATTTACGCAAGCGCAGCACTCGAGATACTTTATTAACAGGAGCCTGGATTTGATCCCAATCAACAAACACATCTGTAAACGAAGCTTTAAGAGTTCAGTCAATATTCTTTAATTAGATAGTAATTATTATTGGTGTATACCTGTTTGCATGATTTGTATTTATGCCATGATGTATGTAACATTACGTTGAATAAGTTAAGTATTTTGTTCTATCACAATAAAATTTCAATACATTTGTACCTAGAAACAATCCCGAAATATGACGAGTTACGAAAGTACTGCAGTACTGTACATTACATTCAAAACTCTACTCTTAAAAAAAAAACTTATAATTAATTTTGACTGGAGAAGGATCAAAATGGCAATCGAGTAGGTCTTCCCCCTCATGTTAACTTCTACCTCACGTCAGTCTCTGTGAGGCCGCGGGACTTCCCCGGTACATCCAACTGATTCACGAAATAAGAGGCTAGTGCGCGGCTCTACCACCGTGGTAATAACTAATTAACGGGCGACGTAGCTACAGCAGTTAGCACGAACCGTGTATCGCCTTTGGCACGGGGGTGAAGAAGCCGTGTCGCACTGAGACCGCGCCCGATTCGCCCGCCATCTGCCCCGCTGCAGGTGGAACGCCGCGCGCCACAAGGCGAACGCGAGCCTGTGCAGCGCGCGTGCCGCTTCCGCGTCGCAAGCGCGTCGCACTCGCGGACGCATCCCTTCCTCGTTCGTATTCCTTATATCGCAGCACATAAACGTCTTTTCTTCTTGAATTAGTCCACTACAATTTTGACGTTTCAATGCTTGTTGGTAGTAACATTATTTATTGCACTTAACTGTTCCAACATTGTCAAATACAAAAGAAAAACCCTTATAAATTAGTGCATATATATTTTTATAAATGGTTGAGTATTGTTGCCTTTGAAGTCCTCTGTCCGTTATTAGGATTTTGCTGAGTCAACACAGGACTTTGCTATGTAAAGTAGCTGCGGGTGCGAAGTATGTGGTCGGTTGGGCTGCGCAAAATAGCCATCGTCCGGCATTCGCTCCAGACATGCGCCCCTGCACTGCGGCACCAGCATACCTTGCTCCTTGATACACACGCGTCTAGACCGAACTCAAATATCCCGATCGACTGTCCTAAAACTTTTCATGTTGAACACGATCCTGATAATAATTTATATTGCAACCAAGATCAAGAAAGGATTAGATTTCATTGTACTGGGTTTTGTTAAAACATTTTTACCTGCGGTCAATTATTTCAATCTTTATGTGAGCGATTCACTTTCTATCGGAGATAGTTATGGCGCGTATAAGACCTGACCTTCGTGAAACCTTCATCCCGCGTGCCCAGCGCGTGCGGGGTTGAATAACCTCATAGGAGGGGCTCGTCTAAATAAAAGATCGTCACATGATCGTTGCTGCGTGAACGGTCACCGACTGTCGACACTCGTGACGTCCTTTCATAGCGATCCAGCTGTTTTTGTTTTCTTTTGATGCGCATCATATTCTTCGCTCGCTGGCGTGCGTCTTTTCTTTTAATTTGCCGACAAGGACTTCTAAAGGTTCAGAAATTAAGTATTATTACATACTATTCAAAACAAAAAGCAACTCCATTTGCATGACTTGAGTTTACACGAACGATACGTATTCAGGTGCGTTTACTTTGCCTTATCTCGTTATCTTGAGTAAGGTATTCAACGTACATATATTGTACTATATTATCTTTCTTAATTGTTAGGACATTCGTGTTGTGGACTATTATAACGTTATACAAAATAAAACGTAAAAAGAAGTCATTTAGAACGGAACAAAAATGTTCTGATCGGGAAAAATCCTTATTATTTTTTTTATTATAGTTTAACGTCTTCGTATTTCTCCATACAGACAATAGTTATACCGCCATTTGGATATCAACCCCGAAAAAATCCTTTGATTACATTGACACACAAAAACTGACAGTTCGTTCGTTGTTTTGCAGTGCAGCTTATCACCAATCTGATTATTGCCATTAAAACTGTATTGCAAAAATCGTCACGCAGGGAAAAAAATGCGCTCGACGGATTTTGGATTCGACGAGCACTTCACTGAGAGCGGTCTTCGCAGTAACTCCGCGACGCAACGGGCGCTCGTGACTGGAGCGGGAGTGAGGCGCGGTGAGGCGTCGCGGCGCCGGAGAGGCACTGGCGCCGCAGCAGCGTCCCGGCACTCGGCGGGCCGGCGCCGCGTTGCCTGGCAACCGCGCGACGCCTCTCAGCCCCAAATGCATCGACATGCCCTTCATATAGCCAATACGGAACCAATATTATCTGTGACTATTCCGCATTCGAATTTTATAATTGGAAACAGTTTATGGTCGTTTCAATAAATTATTTGTAAATGCTTTGCTTTTGTATAATTCTATTAAGTGATTCATCGTATGTTATAAATCTCTAGTATAATGACTAAAGTAATTAATATCCAAAAACAAATATTTTCTATGAATTGATGAGTATCGCTAGTCGCTACTCTAGTAATAAGGACGTTTAATTAGAATGGATATTCTAATTAAACATCTACAAAATGCGTTTTATATGAATGTTAAGAGTCTGTAGTAATTACATTTTAACATATCACGAGCTTTGTTAAGACGTCAACGTGCATTCATATTATTAGACAGGCGTAATAGAACAGCATGTGAGAAAGTTAGATATAAAAACGTTCATTCACAGTTTTCATAGGGCGAGGTGCGCAGCGGCTATGAGCACTTCCGTAAACAAACTCGGATCGTGTCGATTGCAACTACGCTGCAATTTACGTTTTTACGTATTACGCTCAAGTATATATATTATGTAATAACTATTAATATCGTATCAAGATCGTATTGCATATGAACAGCACCGTACGCTGTATTTTAATCTATGGTGCTATCAGGAGATTCCAACAATGTTTTTTTTTTTTAATTTTTGAAATTGTTTTTTTTTTTAATCATTTAGTAGCACTTTGTTTTTCCTTATAATTGACTTAAGTGATAATTTCTTAAAATGCAAACGAGTTTTGACGTGACACTACAAGCACAAGGCCAACTTATCGTGCGTGTACGTCAATCATGAAACAAGATTGCGACCATGGCCGTGGAACCTACATGGCCGACAATTCGGAACAATCCATCACGAAGCCCACGTAAGGCTTTCACTGCTTCTAACGTTTAACATCGTTCTTCTACGTAACAGGTTCACGGAAATAATGTCGCGAACAGCTTAATCCGCGTTTTACAA